CAGTCGCAGTTTGCTGCATTTGTTAGGTTGTTGGTGGAGTTCCCTGCTACTGGTGGGGTGCTGACCTCCTGGGAGTTCCAAACAGTCCGATTGATACGATTCGTGTCGAGCTGGGACTACTTTTTGGCTGTGTGTGAGGTGGCATTCTGCATATTCATCCTCTACTATGTGGTGGAGGAGGTTCTGGAGATCCGCATCCACCGCCTGCATTACTTCAAGAGCCTGTGGAACTGTCTGGACGTTCTCATTGTTGTGGTGTGTATGAGAGTGCAAGCCCAAAGCCTACTTTTGGATTATTCAAATCATTCTAATTGTCATCCGTTGACTTTTTCTTCTGCTCCTATTTCAGTTAAGCGTTGTCGCTATTATCATGAACAAAACCAGAACCGCCATGGTTGGAAACCTTCTCAAAGGCCTGTTGGAGAACCACACTGCTCACCCCATCTTCGAGCCTTTGGCAAATCTGCAATTTCAGTTCAACAACGTGGCTGCAGTTATCGTCTTTTTCTCCTGGGTCAAGGTAGAAATACTCTCCTCCTAAAACTATCATAGTGGAAAAAGAGTGACACGTTGACTAATGCTGACAAATAATCTCTCTCAGCTTTTTAAATTCATCAACTTCAATAAGACCATGAGTCAGCTCTCCAGCACTATGTCTCGGTGTGCCAAAGACCTCGTGGGCTTTGCCATCATGTTCTTCATCATCTTTCTGGCGTACGCTCAGCTGGCCTACTTGGTGTTCGGAACTCAAGTTGATGATTTCAGCACTTTCCAAGCTAGCATGTAAGAGCGTTCAGAGTATATGTGGTTCTTAAATGTACAAATACATCCAACACCTGTTGTTGTTGTTGTTGTTGTTTCTTCCTGTTTCAAGATGTTGAAATATTGTCTGTTTAGTTTCACACAGTTCCGCATCATTCTGGGAGACTTTGAGTTCTCAGAGATAGAGGAGGCCAATCCAGTGCTTGGACCGATCTACTTCACATCCTTTGTCTTCTTCATTTTCTTTATTCTCATGGTGAGTAGAGCAGTCACGCCTGTTGTGTTCTCATGTTGCTCCTCAACTAATCAAGAATACCTTTACTATATATTCTTTTACTACACAGAACATGTTCCTGGCCATCATCAATGACACGTACTCAGAGGTGAAGGCTGACATGTCCCAGCAAAGGTCTGAAATGGAAATGACTGACCTCATCAAAAAGGTATTGTATATACATTTGGAAAGGCAGTCTTCCATTATACCAACATTAGCCACCATGCAAACAACAACATAACATCTTAAGGATCACAGAATTTGCCTTAAAGTGATTTTTCCTCCAGGAGCTACTCCAGATCTTCTGATTGTAGAGTCTGGTTGTATTTACTGTACGCAAAGAGGTGTTTGAAATGCTTGATTTAAAAACATATTAGTGAAGACAGAGGCTATTAGACAATGTCTGTCTTTCCCTCACGATAGTTGTTCCCTAAGAAACTTGATGTATTTCATAAAGCTGAAAAAACTTCTTCTGATGTGAGCTGCTTTATAGTTTGCTTCAGGAGACCCTAAATTTTCAGGGTTCTTTGATATCATCATATCAGAGTTCCCATCCATTTATAAAATTTCTCTGTCCCTCTCGCCACATCATCATTTTGCATTTTTAGTTTAACCAAATTAAAATAACAAACACCACAGCACATCTTCATTTCCCACACCACAGTCTGAATACAGAGATGGAGAGAGCAGGACATTGGCTGTAATGACAAATGTTTGTACTTCATGAGACCATCTTTTCAGTGAGCTTATTTCAAAGGGCTTCATCAAGCTATTCTCTTAGAGAAGTATTGGTTAGGTAACAGTGCAGGTTTTCAGGGATCCATTTGATCAGATGCATGAGTAAAGCATGTATTTTTCTATTCTTGTCCCTCTCAAAATCAGGCATGTTGTAATGTTTTTGTTTCTCTGATCCGTTCCTTCAGGGTTGTAACAAAGCCTTGATGAAGTTAAAACTGAAGAAGACGGCAGTAGACGACATCTCTGAGAGTTTGCGTCATGCAGGGGGAAAACTGAACTTCGATGAGCTCCGCCAAGATCTTAAAGGGTAAAAAAAAAAAATGAAAATATGCTTGAAGCTTTTGACTAAAATGTCTTCATTTGCTTTATTAGTATATCAAACTAATGCTGCCTGAGTGTGTGTTTCTGTATTTTTGTTGCTCAGAAAGGGCCACACAGACGCAGAGATTCAGGCCATCTTTGCAAAGTACGATCAGGATGGCGATCAGGAGCTGACAGAGCACGAACACCAGCAGATGAGAGACGACCTGGAGAAAGAGAGAGTGAGTGATGATGCAGCCAGCTTCTTTTGCATGTCTAATAAAAACTCATGTATTTAGTTTTTGACCCTGAAGAGAGACGCAGAGGCACACAGCACGAATGCGCGAGCGCACACTTAGCCCGAAACACCTGCAGATGTTCAGTGTGTTTCCATTCCTATGCTAGGAGGACTTGGAGCTGGAACGCAATTCGCTGACTCGACCTAGCAGTGGGCGGAGCTTCCCCCGTACCCAGGACGACTCTGAGGAGGACGACGATGAGGACAGTGGCCACAGCTCTCGTCGACGTGGCAGCAGCTCAGGAGGCGTCTCCTATGAGGAGTTTCAAGTGTATGGAGCTTTTATTATGATCATGTTGAGACCGCATTAAAACTGTAAGAAAGTGTGAAGTCATATTTGGAGCAAAGGCTTGGTCATAATCACACACACACACACACCCACATTTTGAACAAAAACGTCTTCATACTGACGCATCACAAAGTGAGTCAGAGGTTTCACACAAACTAAATGACAGTTTGGCCGGCTATGACTTTGTTTTATTGTCGGTAAATCTCCAGTGTTTTTCCTATCACTTGATTCACGTACCCATGAGAAAAAACACTCAAAAAATATTTTTACACAAAACCCAAAGTTGCATCATAAAAATTGCTTCCAGGCACATGTCCAACATCCAACACCGATCCACTTGAATATGAATATGAATCTCTTTCTGTCAGGCTGGTGAGGCGTGTGGACAGGATGGAGCACTCTATTGGCAGCATCGTGTCAAAGATAGATGCTGTGATCGTGAAGCTGGAATCCATGGAGAGAGCTAAACTCAAGAGGAGAGATGTGCTGGGCCGGCTGCTGGATGGAGTCATGGAGGTGAGCTGCAGCACATAGTCAATTAGTTTACGAGCTCTTAAAGCAACAATAATCAAACCGAATCGAATTGTAGTATCAGTTGACCACATGACTATTAGAGTTGACAGAACTACAGATGATCATCACGCTGCAGTTCCTCTGATTTCTGTGGAGCTTTGCCCTCATGAGCAACACATCCTCTATAACTCCTCATAGCAAAGAGAATATTTGACAATTTGCACTTATGAGAGTTGTTGTTTATGTATGGTAAAGCCATGTTTTCATAATAAGGTATGGGACACGTGGGAGTGGGGGCCTTCTGAGCATTCTGTTTGTAGATTCACAGTAACGGCAGAGCAGGCTGATAGATATTATACACCTTTTTGTTTCTTATGTACATGTGAACATACTGAGGGAGTTCTTCTGTTTTCTTGTGACAGGATGAGCGCCTGGGACGGGACACAGATGCTCACAGGGAACAGATGGACATTCTGGTGAGGGAGGAGCTGGAGCGCCTGGAGTCTGATGACATGGTGTCGCAAGTTAGCCATCCTCAAACTGCCACTCCTGTCGGCCCCAGGCCCCGTCCGTCGTCCTCCTTGTCTGCCGACGGCCCCGATACTAGCACTAGCGGGAGCGGCCATGTGTGAAGACAGTGGTTCGCTGAAGAATTTCTCTAATCTGGCAAGACACTCTCTGATCATTTCCTGGTTACTGTGACAAGTAACTGAAGACAAGGGATCACTTTTTGCAGAACAAAAATCAGATGAAGGTGTTTGAATTTCTTGAACATTACAAAGGAGGTACTTCACCATAAATACTTTAAATGCACTGAGAGGGAGTGAGGTTCCTCAGAGGTCCATGAATTCACTAAACTGTCACTTATCAAGAGTTTGAAGAATTATGAAGGAGTTAATGTACAGTGCTACATCACAGCAGTAGACACAGGATTGTATATAAGACACCAGCCTTCAAGAATATGCAGTTGTACTCAAATATACAGCTTGTGGTTACAGGACATTTGCTCACTTGCTTTTGATTTGATCTTTTCATCTCTTAGCATTTACACAAAGACCATAAAGGGCCTTTTCTCTGCTCTATTCTGATAGTATTGCTGATTATTCTTCATGTTTTTAATACACATAGGTACAAGTGTGGCACCTTGTGTCATATTTACTCATCCTTGGTACATTGATGAAGCTTTGAATAACTAGCTTATTATCAATTTATGATACATATTGTAACTTAAAACAAACTTCAGTTTGGAGTGCATCTAGTGTTCATGGGAAACCCATGCATTTATTATTTGTCCCTGTGCCTTAATGTTGTTTTTTACACAATCTTTTTTTTTTTAATGCCAAATAAAGATTTATTCAAAAATTAGCTTGTTGTTTATGTAATTATTTTCTTTTTATACAGTGACTTGAACAACCATACACATGACTAAACATGATCTCTTTCTTTTTAAATGTTTGAAATAACCGATGATCTTTCCAGAAAACGTCCTTGGAAAAGATTAGGAAAGCACAAACCTTTGAAATAAATGTTGTAAAGTCATCTCTTAAATATGATTGTCTCCGTCCACATTTGACTGAAGAAGATCCTTTGGATGGAAACGGTGCCTTTAATAAAGTTGCTCATTGGGAGCTGAACAGTGTGAGGACCTTTCCCTTTTTTCTGCCAATAAGATTGTTTCCCAACATTGACCATTTAACACAACACGATCTATCAAGAGAAACTGTAAACTCCTGTATGGACTGCACTTTAAAAACACAAAGACAAAGATGACATGATAATGTTTATACTTATCCTTCAAACATTTGATCAGAATACAAATTTTAGGTAAAGAAATTGTATGAAGTACAATAGAAAAGTTAACCACATCCCATTTATGTGATACAACAGAACAAAATGTACACTTCATCAAGACATCAAATCAAGAAACGTAAAGTGAAAAAGGTAGCGGAAAATAGTCTGAAAATGTTAATACTCTTATTTTACAGAGTTACCTTTAAACTTGTAAGAAACCATTAAATGTTTTGTTTCAGCAAATCTTCACTTCTTTTTATAAAGGCTGTTATTAAAAAAAGGGGACAGGTATCTATTTACCTGTGAAGAATATCCAGGTAGCCTAAACATTACACACTTTTTGAAATTGGTCGACACTTTGAGAAAAATGGGCCAACTAACTTATTAGTGATGTGATAAGATCCATACTACGATTAATGCAATTTTTTGCCTGATCTAATTTGTCGTTTTATATTAACAAGTAATAGTATTCACAGTATTTTTCATAGTCAGATATCAACATTAGGGAGCATAAAACTCGCCAAACACAACAAACTACCTTTCCTGACAAATCTATCAACAATTCATGTCAAACGGCAAAAATGTAGTTCCAGTCCTTTAATACAGAAATGTATGGTGAACATCTGCTCGCCTGCATGCAGAATCACATATTTAGGTGAATTTCTTGATGTAGCGGAGTTTCAGATAGGCGATGATGAGGAATATAAACGTCATAATAATCAAAGCCACATGATTTTCCCACAGCCCCCAGGTGGTGTACTCTATCCCCAGGTAGTCCAGATACTGCTCTCCTGTACATCTGCAATAACACAAACACATCAAATATCAACATGTATACCGTTTAATAAAGTCAACTCTACTTCAGACTAACATTTCTGTTTTATTCTGAGGCATGATGGACGAGCAAGGTTTTCTTTTTTAGATTTGTATCAACTAGAAAAATCACAGCCATAGCTCATACAAAGTGCAAGTCTACTCACGTCAAGCCAGCTGTGCTCATGCTGCAGTTTGTCTCTGTAATCATGAAGGTTGTGTTTCGCATTACAGATTCCTCGCAGAACTTCAAGTCAACAAACTCGTTGATCTTCAAGGCCTGAACACAGACAACACCTTCAATGTATGCTGAGCAGAACAAAGTCAGATGGTAGTGTGGATTCTAGTCTACAAACTGTGTACTTGTCTTCAGTAATCAGTGGAGGGACATGGGCGGTAAGGAAATGGTTCACACTCCTCTGAGAGAGATAGCTCTATAACTTAACCAGAATTATTTTCAAAATCGTTCTTTATAATTGACTTACTGCGAGGCCATATCGAGGAATGCTGAGGTACTTCAGCCAAGCCAGCCAGTCCATGATGCTGGGTAGGTTCACAAGAAGACCTGAAAAAATCTATTTAAAAAAACAGACAGACAAGGCAAACGGAATCCACAGGCTCTTAATCTAATTGTTGTATAAATTGCAACATTTATTATGTGTACATGAAGAGTGCAAATTAAAAAGATAATGTATAAACATCGTAAGGTTCACAATTTGTCTCAAATGTTGTCACAGTGACATTTTAACACACAGTATCCTGTTCTTTTATTAAAGGTTCATCTTAAATATATTTAATTTGCATTTGTTTATGTCAGTCTTATATCCTTGCTAAAACATGAAACCTTTTTTTTTTTCTGTTTTTCTTGTTTTTCCATCGATAGTTTGAAGATGTTTTGTGCATGAAGCTGATTCGTTTTGTTGACAACACTTGAAATGATGTTCAGTTCTTTATGTATATATATTTAAAGTTATTTTATCATCCTTTTTGCTTTGATAGGACAGCTGGAGAGAGAGAGAGGAAGTGTTAGGAAGAGATAGTCTGGGATGAGATGCAGCAAAGGGCGGAGGTCAGTTTCGAACCCTGCGATGAGGACTGTAGCATTCGTACATTGGACGTGCGACATTACCCCTAAGCTATCTGGCGCCCTCAGTTCTTTATAATGAAAACTTCAGAAATGATTAGACCAATGATGAGACTTTCTCATTGAGTTGATTCATATGTTTACTTTTGTGTCTAACTGGATACTTTTTCTCTGCAAATAGAGTGCAAATTTTAACTAAACTACCTGGAAAAAAAGTCCTTAAAAGAGAAAAATTAACCAATACGTCGCAATCACTTTTTTGTCGTTGTTGCTATTGCAGATTTTCTCTTCATTTCCAATTTTTGTTTTTATCAAATTGATACTTTAAAACAGATGGCAAAAATGTGATCTACCACATATTCTATTTAATTAAAGTTAAAGATCTGAGTGTTTCTTTCAACCCTGGTGGCGTCTCTCACCATCATGAAGACGAAGGTGATGGTCATGAAGATGTTGGCGAGAGCTACGACACTCTTATCAGCTGAGATGGCCATGGTCATGGCTGTGGCTGTGTACGCCACCAGAGTCACTGTCAGCGTGAAGACGAGGAAGGCTGCTGCCGAGGATTTGAGCCCTGAGGGGACATTTACACACACACACACACACGCACGCACGCACACATGTACACACACATAGCAAAGTTGTAAATTGAGACTAAATACTGAGACAGTTAAAGTTATTCATTGCTCTAATGTTCGGATCATTCATTTTATTGTGTTTTTATTCCTACCGATTAAAAAGTAAACAATGCAGCTGAAGATGATGGAGGTGATGGTGCGCAGAGTGATGTCAGACAGGATCTTAGACAGGAAGTAGACGGACACCCTGTAGTAGCCACTGATGTACTCATGCCTGTCACAAGAAAACCCAAAACAGAAATGCCATCTTAGCTGTCCCCACTAGGTCCGATCTATAATGAATTATCCACATCGATGTTGTAGTGATGTCAGTGTCCTGTGCGCTTACTTACACAAACAGTTTCCTTTCAATAATGAAGAGCTCGGCTGCAGACACTGTGCTGAAACACTGGTTGGTAGTGATGAAGAAGAGGGCACCCATCCTGTAAGAAGAGACAAAACTGGATCCTTGAGTCCCTCTCTGACATTTGTTGCAACATTTGTATGTCATGTTTTCCATAAACTTTAGGATGCTGGCTTCAAGTGTTTCTTAGAGAGAGAGAAAACAATAAAGCAGGCAGACAAGTCATGAACAACTATAGTAAATAAAAACTGGCATGTATCTGTAAACAAACAGCAACTTAAAAAAAGAGAGCTGCAGCCAGTTGCTGAGCGACAGCTTCTTCCACTTTGACGTCCACCTGTTAGTTACTAATGCACTTTCAATTAAGTTTCTCTTCAGACCCTGACATTCATTCTCTGTCCAGAAAATCAGCAGCATGCCTTTGCCAGTTCCCTTCCACTTATCTCTACACCTGGTTCCAGAGATTATTGATTGGGCTCTTTGCCTTTATTGGAGAGATGTCGAGTAAGAGCTCCATGAGACTATTTTTCTCATGTCTTTAGAGTAAATATGAAGCTTCAGCCAGTGTCCTGTTAACATAACTTAGCAAAATAGCTGAAAACAGCTAGCTTAGCTACAATGATAAAATGCTACAACCCACCTCACCTACCAGTAAATGTAAAGGTCACTAATTGACCTGATTTATCCTGTTTAATCTGTCGAAGCCATGATAAAAAAATAACAATCAACACAATTTGCTTCTACATGTATAATAAATGGCATCTTCTTTGAGGGTTGACATAAAACGGCAGGAAAGTTCAGTGTTCTGCTACATGTTTGATATTTCTGATATTTTACAACCACTCGGATTTATTTAATAAAAAATGTTGCGGTTTGGACCTCAGAGGGTCCAAACTTGACAGAACAAAAACATAAAAACACATTTTTTCAGGCATGTGACCCACTGAACGGCTCTGCGACTCACTTTTGGGTCCTGACCCAAGAGTTGAGAACCCCTGGTTTACAAGAACCTAAAAATAAAAATGGTAATAAAATTACTTGGAAAAATGTAATTAAATCAAATTGCATTGTCTTAAATTTAAGGACAGCATTTGACAGTCTTGCGCTGACAAAGAGTTGACTGAATAGTCAAAATGATAGGTCATGGTACCTAATATCCTGTACTCCATACAGGGACTTCAAAGTGTCTGACTCCACTATTGCCCTGAACCCAGTGAAACAAAGGGAGTGGTAAATAACTTGAGACATTTAAGCCTTGTACATTGGTTTCTGCCATACTGCTTATGCATTGACCATGAATATAATGACATTAGGTCCTTATACTCTACTCAACCATGCACAGGGAGAACAGAGGGAGACCATTGAGATTTTTGAGTGCTGCACTGGGTTTGTGAGTACCAGGTTGTGCCCAATAGAATATGGTAAGAGGATTAGCCATGCACAACTAGCTCTACTTTTCACACTTTTTTGTATTTAACCAGCGACTCACTCAGAAATCCTGAACAATCATGAGGAAGTAAGTTGTAATAATCCACATTGCCACATTGTACAGCCATATAATACGATCGATTCATGAATGATCTAAATAATCTGTCTGTGAGCACACTGTAACCAATGTACAGATTATGAAAGCAATAATTTATTTGAGATTATTCAGCATTAGGTTCGCCTACCCTCTGCCCCACATCCAGTTGATAACACTGCACGTGCTTTTCTGGACATAGGCTCATATATTTCCTGTATGTGGGAAATACGCTGAATTGGTGCACCTGTAAGATGCTGTCAAATACAAAAACGTTTTCTGATGTTATGCGCAGTGAGTTTTGCAACTGCTGTCCCACCTGTTCTGGATGCCACTCTGATCATCTTTAACACCGAAGAAAATGGCTCCTACAACGAGGCCAAGGAAAATGTGGACTCCCACCTGCACAGACCAAACATGAAACATCAGATTCAATACATAGTTTGTGTTTTCCAAAGTTTCCCTCTAAACAAATAATTGAAAACAAGTGGGCGGTGCCATCTAAATAATAATAATATATAATCAGTTAGAGGATTCTGATGTAAATGTGGCTATATTGGCATATATTTGGTCAAATCTGTCAGGATTTTTGTTGAAACTAAATAATTGTCTGACCAACGTCTTTCAGACTGTGGTAATTTAAAGGTGACCATACGACACTTTGCAAAGACTATTTAGACGTTTCAAGATGTTTAACAATTTGCTGTAAATGAGCGATAATTTTTTTATTAAACCAATTATTCTAAGTGTGGACTGCAATTAATTCTTTGGAAGTATTGAAATGAAAAAAGGTGTAGTGCCCTCTTTGAGGGGAAAAAAAGCCAATCTTTCTGGGGATCAAGGGTCAAGTGGACGCCCTGCTCCTCCTCCATGGAGGCCTTTCAGACTGAACAGGCAGAACGGCTGGTGGGGGAAGATGATAAGAAAAGAGTGAGAAAAGTGAAAGGGACACAAGTTTTAATCCTAACAATTTACAGATTATGACAGGACTAAGCGGTTCCCAGGGTGAAGGGATAAGTTAATACGGTTGAGCCTTTTTCACCTCATTCCCCACAGCCCCTCATGTGAAAGCGGGGTAGTGGAGTGATAGGTCATGACGCCATCATGTGATGAGTCCCGGACCAGGGCCAGGGGGCTTTGGCCAGATATGATATCAGTTCAGATCCTGGCCCAAAGAGTCAAGAGTGGGGTCACAACAGTCACCAAAGCCGATTAGTGAGCCCATGCCTCCCAGAGCCCCTCTTGTAGGATTATTCTGACTTATTTGGGGCCAATTAGCTGTTAATAATTCTTAAAGTGAGGAGACTTCTGACGGCATTTTGCCGCCATGGGGTGACTAATGAGAGCATTAAGTCTTGACCTTTCCAAAGTACTGTCTGTGTATCATGTTCATGATGATAACAGCACAGGCACTGAGTAACTTTGGCTCTTTTCACTGCTGGGAGAGATTAAACAGAGTAAAAGTGATACTACGTTTTGTTTAAATCCTTTGACAAAAGAGAAATTAGTTTATAATGTTGACTTTGAGTTGGTTTCATCAAAGTTATGAAATTAGGAACTCATTTAATTGAAATATTGCTTTTTTTTAACGTATGTTTTAAATAAAGACTGTAGGTCTTAGATCAATAGCAGTTTAAAAATAAAATGCTAGACAGGTTTTTGTTCTTTTGGAGCTGCGCTAACAGGCATGAATAATTAGAAATCTAACAGTGATTACATTTTTTTAATACTTCCAGCTGCCGCAGAAATCAGTATGGATAAATAATTGATTAAAAAAGCTAGCAAGGCTAGCCCTTCTGTTAAGCCATCAAACTATTTCCTTCAGCACAGCTTGTGAATTATACTATATGAGAGTGGTATTAATAGCCTCATTTCATTCATTCAAATGGGATGCTTTCATCCCTGCAGCATGCAAATAATAAAAGGTGATTTCTTCCCCCTGTCACCCTTTGTTATTGATGCCTGTAATGTAATGACTTATGTGTTGACGGTCAGTATTTCAAAAGTATTACCTGGGCCACAGATATTTGGGGGCTCAACATGAGGTTCTGGAAAGTTCTCTTGAGCACCCAGTGTAGCTGGTGGAAGAAAGAGCTGTTGTAGGTGATGGTGCGGGATTTTGGGCATAAAGTACACTCCTTATCCTGTACAATGTGCTCCAGCTCAGCTCTTGTGTCACTGAAGTAGCTGCTGTTTCTGAACTCCTCCACCAAGCGCTCCTCGATGCTCTGTCGAGAGCTGCCGGGCTCCTCAAAGTCCACATCTTGGCATTCACATAAGAGGAAAAACGACACTAATCATCCTATAAACAATTCATTTATTTGATTTACAAAAAAGAACACTATGGATTTTTTTTTTAAGTAAGTAGTTCTTATTTTGGTTGGTTTGTGCTGATCTTGTTTACCTTTGTTTACATTTGTAGAAGTTGCTGTTTTTGATAATAGTTACACTACCTGATTTATATTTACATTTATTAATGACATTAATGATGGTCATGCATGGTTATCACCAGAGTGTGGTGAGCAATTTAAATTAAAGAGGGCAACGTTTCGATCTAAAAGGTCTTCCTCAGTCCCTGTGAGAAAGACCTTTCTCTTTTTTCTGCAGTTACAACATTATCTTGACAGAAATTTTCATGGAATAATCTATAAACTCGTTCACCTTCAGACCGAGCATTTTGGTCATGGTTGTAGCTGTCGAGTCTCCATTAATAACGTCCAGAAAGAAGTCTGCTGGGTTGTTGTGGGGCTCACAGGGGAAGCCTGGAACAAAGACACAATTATTCATGCCTATAGCGATAAATTAAAAGGTTACTTTTCTGTTTTCTATAGTTTTGCCAGTTAAGCTTCATTAGATTAGCGCTGCACACACATCAACATTTATTACATTAAATTGACATGAAAAAATAAATAGTATCTTGTGATGATTATAAGTTGTGAGACAGTCACCGATGTTGGCAAAGTAGTCCAAAGCGTTTGACGCTGGTCCATGGTAAACCATTTTACCACTAACCAGCAGAGTCAGAGTGTCAAACAGCCTGTAGATGGAATATCGAGGTTGGTGTATGGACATTATTATGGTTCTTCCATGACCGGCCATTCTGACAAATAAAGAGACAAAAAAAGGATGAAAATATATTATAAAAGAAAAAAACAATAAAGCTGCTGTCTAATTGTGTATTGAAATGCAGTGAACCAAGACTGTTTTAAAAAACTGACAGAATCACTTTACAGATAGCAATTCCACAGCAGCATCATACTGAAGCACCGCCGTCATTACGCCTTTGTACCTGCACATTGCATCAGTCACGGCATAATATTGGCGTCCCAGTGTGTGATTTCACATTGCGTCACGGTGTTGCAGAAGTGAGAGACAAACGAGGTGTAAACACACAGCAGGAGCTTCACTAACACACACACACACACACACACACACCCACACACACAGCACTGATCCACACTGACGTTTCATATCGCCACCGTCTCCCCCCTTTACACCTCTGTTAGCACGTCCGATTGCAGATCAGCGGCAGAATCACTTTGCCAAAACATTCTGCTTTTGTGTGTTTCACGCTGCTCTTTATCCATAAAAAAATAACAATTTCTTCTCCAAATTAAGATAATATTTTCAAGTGTATATGCATGCTTTAGCTGAAAAAATATATATTTAAAGATGCATTAAATAAACGAAAAAAAGCTAAAACCGTTTTTCCAACCAACAATATACACTGATCTAACTATCTGTTATAATTCATCATTAAATCAGAGGATTGGATGAGAGGCTTTCTATGTACCTTTTCAGTAACAGCAGGACAGAGTTTGCAGTGCTGGCATCTAATCCTGTCGTCGGTTCATCAGAAAGAGAACTGAAGGATCGATAATGAGCTCCATGCCGATGTTTGTCCTCTTCCTCTCTCCTCCAGAGATTCCCCGTGTCATCTGTGTGCCCACCTGAGGAGAAAACAGCCTCATCATCAGTACACCCTGACTCACCCTGAAACGTGAGGCTCACCTGGTGAGTGTTGAAATATACATGTGTGTAGTATATTTACCTTGCAGTCAGCCACCTTGGTGAGACCCAGCTCTTGGATGAGGTGATTGACCCGAGCCTCCTTCTCGCTCTGAGGCACTGAGCTCGGAGACGAAGCGCTGCAGAGAAACGCAGATTCTCCCTCACAGTCAGGGTGCCCATGACAACATCATCCTAAGAAAGAAGAGCAGAGCACAGGATAAAAGGTTGGAAACACCAAAGCGGTTAGCATATAGTTTTTTCTTTTTTCTTTTTACAAAATCTGTATGGAAATCTGCTTCATGCTTCAAACTTACAAGGAATCAAACAAGACTTTAAATGAAAGAAAATGTTGCACGATATCTGCTGGTTGTGTAGTATAAAATCTGTTTTGTAGGTTGTGAAAGATCTACCACTTTCACATCTGCAGCTTCTATTCCATGCACTGAAAGTGTTTGTGCAAGTAGATTTATTTAAGCGATTAAAATGCACCTGAACCACGTAGCCAGAGAGGCACTTGAAGTTCGGAGGCTGTGGTGCTCCGTCAATGAGTACTTCTCCTGAGAGACCTGAAGGATCCTTCCTTGCAGCCAGAATATCCAAAAATCTTTGAACACACAAAACCAATGCTTTATACATCAAGACAAATGCAGGCGAACGCTGTGAGAGATCAGTTTGATACTCACGAAGATTTTCCACTTCCAGTAGGTCCAAGAATAGCGTTTAGGCCGGGTCTCATGATCCCACTGCAAGATTACAACATACAAAAACAGTTTAACATGGTTAAATGTATTTAGAAGCTGAGATGGGGGTGAGTAATAATGTTATGCATTCATCTCTTAGCTTATTTTCCCAATACAAAAACAAGGTGTGTGAGGTAAAGTCGTACAATCGATAAAACTTAGAGGAACTTTGAATCATTTTACTCCTAACCCTTTTTCTTACATAAAGCTAGGATTGGATCAGACAAGGTCCTCCAGGTGATAAAGCTCAGATTACTTTTTTTTCTTAATTTCTTCAAATGAAATAAAGATCATTAAAAGATTTTACACTTTCAAAAGCGCTTGTAGAAAGCCGCACACACACACAATAGAAAAACTATACTTTCAAAACCGAATCCTTTGACTTCAGAGGGAACAGTTTCACAAAAGCAACCAGAGAGTCAGTGATATAAAAAGGAATCAATAGACTGAATAAAAGCCTGGCAGTGGATCACGTGATGGTGTTTAATTCGCTTCCCTGGCAGACTGCGCTGTAGTGCATCAGAGAGATTATATGCAAGAAACCATGCTTAATGTCCTATAATTAACACTTGGGCTGGAAAAAGGTTTCAACAGTTGTGTGAAATGATTCATTCTTCCATGGGAAATGTCAGATGTATTTAATACCAACAGAAAAAAAAACTATTCACTATTGTTCTGCTTTGTATAAAGATATAATGATCCATACTGACGAGACATGGAGCACCATGCTCTCTAGGAACATAGATGTTGTATTAAGGATACCAAAGGATTAATGCAATCCCATTTCTCTTGAGTTAAGATATTTATATTTAAATTTTGTGTTTCTGTATGTTCAAAACACTCACCAAATTCATTAAACGTTTCTTTGCATTTTTCATTAAGAAAATAGCTTGTTCTAAAAATTAAATGAAATCAGCAATTGAATAGCTTTTAACCTGAACACTTAGAGTAAATTAGAAGTCAAAACAACAACTGATCAATGTATTGCCACTCAAAATCTATAAATTATCAATATTTATGTTATACTTGTCTGTGCATGCCTGCTTTAAAACAAGTGTCTGAATACAAAAAAGAAGAAATGCGGATAAATAATTAGACATATTCAGCTAGTAAAGACACAAAACAAAGATTTATTTTTTGTAGAACTGACTTGAGATCGACCAGGATTTCCCTGGGACTGGTTTTTCTTTTGCAGAGGGAGCCGCTCTTCAGCTGCACTTTGTAATGGATGTTGTGGAAGCTCACGGTGGAGCCAATCGGCTGCTTGTTCTGGTCCATGGCCAAGACGACCTTTGACCTTGCTATCCCGTTGGTGCCGACATCTTCTATCATTGCAATGTTGACGTGATTGACTCTCTCCATCCTCCAATGCAATGAGATATCCTGTCAAAAGGGAACATATAGACAGAAAAAAAGAGTAAATGGCCGGGTATTTTGCACGAAAAACCCAAATATATGCTAAAAAATCATTTTAATTAAATTAAATAAAACATCAACTTTATAGGAAAAAAGCTTTTTTATCACTACAAATGGCAAATACAACATATAGAATTGATCAATCAGAGTATTTAACCAGAGATAAAAACACATTTGAAAAAAAATACAGATATATTTGTAAAAATGTGAATTTTTGTGTGTGCAACTTGTGAATTGTTGAAGTGTACTAAACAATTGTAAGTAAATTGTAAGTAAATTGACTTCTATGCCTTCCAATCATTCCAATATACATAACAGGAAATGAAAAAAATATTTTGATGCAATTTTCATCTTCTCATTAATATTCTACAAGTTTGATTAACTTCTCTACTGCAAATTGTTTTCCTTCCCTGAATGTGTTGGTTTTCAGCAATCTGCTATTTTTTTTTCAGTTCTTAAATTGTGTGGCTTGCGTGTCTGATAACACAACTTTTTTGTATCGCTGAGATAAAATGTCCAATGATGTCGAATGTAAAAAAAAAATAGAACAGACATTGTATAATACACAGTAGTACGTTTCTTTAAGAGTAATAAAAGTAACTTTCACACTGAAATGAACTTTAGAAACTCAAATACTGCAAATATATGTCTACAAGTTCTTTTTTTTTTTCCAAACAAAAAACAAGACCTATTTACAAAAAACACACATGGTACAAACCTACATTCAGTATTTTTTTCAATACTGACTACACAACTCATTCTCCTGTAGTTTTATTCTAATGTATGCAGTTGAGAATTAACAGCAGCACTAAAAAGTATAAAAATGTTGTCGGTAGTCCAGTAAGTCCAGGCGTCCATCCCCAATCAAACAAACCCCGTCTTGTAAAGCACCAATTTGAAGAAAGAAAAAAAATGAGTTGCCGAAAACCTCTGAAGCATATGAAATGCAAAGTAATGAAAGGTTATGTTATGGGGACTTACCGGGCTGGGAGACTGTGAGAGCCTTCAGTATCGGAGTCCTACTGCAGCCTTCAGGAGCTGTGCTGCTGCAGACTGACGGAGCAGAGAGACTGAGCAGGTTGACTAACATCAGCTGATGACAGCAGGGACAGGTGCCTCACCATCCAGCCGCACACTCAGCTTGGATCAAACCAAGGTTCACACTGGTTTAACCCTTAACCTGCCACTTGAAAAGATAGGAATAACTGAGATGAAGAAGTCTGTTTTCACACCAGTAACATTAGTTTCCATTTATTTCTGATCATTGTAAAAGTCTAAAACCAGACCCATGAAACTTAAAACAGCTGTGCATTAACACAATCAGCATAATTTCATTTCATTCTTTGTTGTCTTGTATTATAACTGCATGACAGAGCAGAGAAGACCTAAAGTGTAAATTTGCAGACTTGTAAGAAGTAATCAGATATTTTATGACAACTTCTATTTAATGATTTAATGAAAACTTATTAAGTTTGGCATCAAAACTAAACTTTAAAGTACCATAAAGGAAATACTCTTACAGAAAATCACATTTTAGAAGTCTGTTTTTCTATGTTGTTTGATTCAAATGACTGATGATTTACCTTTTATGTGACAAAAGTCACATAAACATATGAACAATGTTGATTCTGATTTGCAAAAAGTCACGTATGGGGTCCCACAAGGCTCTGTGCTGGGCCCAAAACTATTTATTATGTACATTAATGATATATGTGATGTTTAGAAAGTACTAAAGTGTGTTTTGTTTGCCGACGACACCAGTTTGTACTGCTCTGGAAAAGATATTGAGCAGCTCCTGAATGCAGTGGACAAGGAATTAACAATTCTAAGAAATGGTTTGACATTAACAAGCTGCCATTGAACCTAAGCAAAACAAAATGTATTATCTTTGGCAATAGAAAAATTAATAAACAGGCTAAACTCAAGATCAATGATGTTGAAATTGAACGTGTAAATGGAAATACATTTTTGGGCATCATAATAGATAATAAACTCAACTGGAAATCACAGATACATAATTTAAAATCAAAAATATCAAAAAACATTGCTATATTGTATGAAATGAAAAATATTTTGAATCAGAACTCACTTTATATATTGTACTTCTCCCTCATTCTTCCATACATTACGTATTGCGTGGAAGTATGGGGTAACACACCCAATTCTCATACAAGCCATCAGAATTGTGAATCATACCAATTACTATGAATCAACAAATCCTCTATTCATCAAACTACACACTTTAAAACTAGAAGATCTAGCTGACCTCAACACTGCTGTTATAATGTACAAGGCACAGAATAATGCACTTCCATACTGCATCCAGGAACTGTTCAGGGCTAGAGAAAGCAAATTTAAACTAAGGGGAACATGTATGTTCAAAAATTCAAGGGCAAGAACTAACACCAAAAGTAGGTGCTTATCTGTTAAAGGGGTTAACCTATGGAACAACTTAGACAACGAATTAAAAATGTGCAGCTCAATTAGAAAATTCAAAAAACTGTTCAAATTCAGGGTAATAGAAAAATATAAAACATCATTATGATAATGACACCAACAGCAGTACTAATAGTGTTGCTATAATTATATATATAATTATTATTTTTATTTTTTTCTACTGTGTATTGTTTTAATGTGTAAATCTATATCAGTAAATGTATAACATTGTGTATAGAGGAGCCTGTAGTATAGCTAATGTATATTCCTATGGTAATATTGTTGCTCTATGAAATATGGAATATAAACATATAGAAAGTATATAATAGTTTATAACTATAGTCTGACTATAATTAATCATTTATGGAAGCTTTTCATTTATTTATTTTTTTCCTTTTATTGTTTTGATTTGGTTAACTGAAAACTGTTTTCTGTTTTGTGAAATCAGGTTACTTTGTTTGTTTTGATATACTGTATAAATGAAATGTTCAAAGGGTAGGCATAATAAGCCTCGGCTTCATCCTACACCTTTTCGGCCATTGTTTTTATTTTTTTATGTTTTTATTATTGTTCGTGTATGTTCTATGCTTTGTGGTCATGGACCGAAATACTACTAATGACTCTGCAAAGTAAATAAAACAATATAATAAAGGAAGTGAAGTGTATGACCTACATCTGCAATTTAGAGGTGTAGAGTCTAATGAAGCATGAAGCTGAAATAGTGAAGTAGGTGCAGGTACATTGAAATTGCAATTGATCACCATACTTGGATGAAGGTAGTTTTTACTTGTAGGCTAAGTATTTCAACTAAAAATTATAATATTTCTATATTGTATCACTCAGTATGCAACAAAAACGTGATTAATTGAGTTAAATCCATAGTGAAGACTGAGATGGATTACAGGTTAGGTTATATTTTTTTATGACGATTTGAGTATATTTAGCCTACTGTCTAAAAATGCATAGCTACAAATAAATGGCTACCCTGTTACTCTATCACATAACCACAGTGCACCAAGAGGTAACACAAGTTAGGCCTACTTGAGGTAAAAATATGGCCAGCGTCCTTTAGGTCAAAGCTAAGTGAATGTGGGTACAATTAGCCTTTATCTAAACCCAATGTTGCCTAGCAACACAGGTGGCTAAATTCAGTTATTATCTAGCTAATTTAGTACCTAATTATTCTATTTATTTTATTGGATACAGAAAATGTAGAAACATTATTGACCAGCTTATTTGAGTTAATAAGCGTCCGAAACATTTAGATATCTTTGTTTGCTGGATGGTATTGTTGAAACAGTTTCATATTATCATCATATTTACATATAATAGCCTAATTCAGATGAATATATATTTTATTACCTGAATTTGTTTTTCTCCTTCCCTAAAATGCAAGTAATGCTAACCTGCTAATAATTTGTGCTAAGGTGTTGCTGTTGTCAGCAGAGCTACATATTTGATCATCACTAAATCAGTGTTCAGGCTCTTTTCATGAGCACAAATATTAATTGCATTAAAATTGAATAGCGTCGTTTCCCATGTCGTCTAAGATATAATTTAGTAAATGCTTTTTAGTGAACAAAATATTCACATTTTGATACACTCAAACTTTTAAATGGTTGTTTCATGAAGTGGCACTTATTTTATTTTTTAAACTTTATTGAGGTGTCACAAGCCATTCGACAATACAGTACTGACAGGTTGCTGTTAAAATATCCAGATCAACGCTCACAGCTTTATAGTTATATTTGGAAGGCAATGAAAATGTACATTTAATAAGAACCAAACAGGCTGTGAGTTTGAACAGTTGAGGAGGCTTGTAAGGAGGACGTTTTAATAATACATTTCTTAAAAATAAATCAAGGTTTATTTGACATGTGCTTGAGAGGAAAATTGTATTTACAAAACAAAATACAGGTTAATGAAACAGATGCTTACACAATAGAACAATGCCACTAAATAGTAAGTGTTGTATTTATGTGGCTTTGAAATCCTCAACTCAAAGACCAACAACAGAGCTGTTGTTTTAACAGTTTCTGTCTACCAGAAACAAGAAATTAATCAACTGACATATTCAGGAAAAGCCATACAACTGAATAACTCCTTTACTGTACCTTTCAGAGTTTGTATTGTTTTATTCTGGAGGGCATTCAAGCAAACATTCACATTGTCATCCATGGCTCTTTGCTGAACAGTTCTCTGCTGTTGTATTAAATATGCTTTGCTGAGAATGACACATAAGGAATTTAAATGAGGAATTACTGTTTGTAACCAAGGTACAGTTAAAATGATGTAGCATACACAGTACAAACATGTATGCAACTTCCTGCATGAATGAGAAATTATGATAAGAGATTCTCTTTAGACCAGTTATACAGTAAATGCAACCATGACAGTTTTCCAGATGTACATAAATAGAATTATTTACAAAAAATAAACTGTACATTTGTGTACCCTGAACACCTTTTAGTGCCCTAACACGATCAGTTTTTACTAAATACAGATATTAACACTTAAATACAATCATGAGGATTATTTAGGTTGAAACAAACATGAATAACTATAAAATCTCAATCTTAGACACTGAAACAGCACCAGGCAACACCATTCACACATTTAAAAGACACAGAACATTAAGGATTTTGTTCATTTCTTCTTTAACCCTAAGGATTGTGCAATAGGACGTGAACACTTTTCTGTGCAATACGTCTAAGTGAAAACTCCACAGCTTACTGAGTCATTAAGAGCTATTTACTTCCTTGATCACGGTACTTAAATTACAGCTGCTTCACGTCTTGGTGTTCAATTAACATTTACGTATATTTTGTATTTTTATACAAGAGGTCCAACGATTCCAATCAATTGACAAATACAATTCACTTAAAGTGTGTTTTTCCCCCATGTTCTTTGCTTGTAGTCCAACTGTTAAATGAATCCAAACAAAGTCAAGATTGCAGGCTTGAGACAGCTGGGAAAATCCAGTTGAACCTTTTTTTTTTTCTTTTTGAAAATACAACTTCTCCATCTCTAAATTTGCAAACTTGTAAAATTTGAACAACTGAATAGATAAAAAAATATCAATGGCTGACAGTCAGGAATACTCCTTTGAAATCTTAGGCGATGTAGAGCAGGCTACATATATGCAGAGTGACCATTTGCATGTCATGAATCCATGACTAACATTTAAACACGTCTCAGCTTTTAGCACCTGCAAATACATTGGCGTTCTAGTTGATTGACTTTAAATAGAGAGAATATTTTTCATATTGTGCACATCATGAATTCACTGCCCATTCCTCCACAGCGGGGCAAATATCATGTTAGAACTCTTAGGTATCAATGTCAGGGCAAACCACGCTCTTTATAATTTTTTTCACAAGGGCACTATTGTTCACTTATATTGCACACATAAAATAGGTCTATAGACCTGCACATTTTTATCCAATGTCCTGCTGACTACGCCCAACGACCACTCGACACAAAATTTCTGCTGAAGGAGAAACTTGAGTCTGAATTTTCGTGTTTTCCCCAAGCCCCAAAAGGCACCACAATAATTGTGCTGTTGTCCTCTGAGCCGTACTGAAGAGCCTGAGGGAGAGGAGAAAAACTGAATTATTAAACATAAAAATGTATAGATAAACATATAAAGGTCTGCCTACTGGTAATTTTCAAGCAGGGCTCTTTAAACTCTAAGATTTAATCATTCTGTTAGACTACAGATAACCTAATGTTCCAACACTGTAATGCATATATCTCCTCTGAGATGTTCATCTATATGTTTGATGTTATATTTCTAGCTACAGGTCCATAGACGTTTTATTGTCTGCCACAAACTACTTTTACAAACTAAACAAAAATCCACCACCTACCACACCCTGTGAGGCCTTCACCCACCAGAAGTAAAAGCCCAAACTATAATAATAAAAAACAATGATGCCTTACCTGGTCCGATATTCTCTGTGCTGCCTCCTTTGGGTCGGGGCACTGATTGATGATGTTGCAGATCTCTTGGCTGTTCATAATAAAGTTAACACCATCTGTAGTCAGCGCCAGGAACGAGTCATAGGAATGGTGCAACTGAAGAAAGGGCAAACAACATTTAACACTTCTAACTTTAGAAAAGATGTACAAGTAGACTAGTATATAGTTAAAGGTCACATATTATGCAAAATGCACTTCATGTTTCTCTAACAATAATATGTATCCCTAGCCTGTCAACAAACCCCAAACATTTAAAGCTACAGACACAGTAAAAGCAATCCTCCCAGACATGTTTTGGATATGCTCTGAAACAAATTTAAACTGGTTTAAAAGGAAGATAATGTTATACTTTTAAGACTTTCATTTATAATAAGGTCAACAAAACAATTTGGTGCAAAAGCAGAAAACCAAAAACTACATCTTTGTACCAGTACACAAAAATACTGTTCATGCCAAGCATTAAGGGAGGGGTTTGCGTACATGATTGAGTTGATCATTCTGTAAACATTTAGAATATTTGAGCCTGAAACGCCAAGTGAACAAACATGAAGTATTAACCTTAGTTGTGACTCCAATTTTATTAAACCTACCGTTATTCTCTTGGTCTCAGGCTCGGCAACGACACCCATGTTCTTCAGGTCGAAGTCTCCGATGCTGCGCGTCATGGCCAACCTCCCGTTGACGTTTGGTTGTCCCAGACTGTTCCAGGTAATAAAACCACCACTCCTCTTTATCCTTGAAAATGGTGTAGATGCAGAAAGACACACACAAAAAAAAAAAAATCACATTTGTGACATCGATGGCAATGTGTCAGGTAATTTTACAAGCCAAATAGAGATTAAAAACTGCCTGAAGCAATAATAAGATATGAAGAAATAGCGGAGATTACAAAAATAATGTAACTAAATAATTTGTTGAGTTATATAAATAGTATAACTCATAATTTTATTTTATTTACCATTTTGTACCTTTTGCACAATTTAGAATTTATAACTGTAAATATTATTTCTTATTTTTACCTCATTTTATTTTATCTATTTTGGTTGTATTGCACCGCGGGACGGAGACAAACGCAATTTCGATTCCACTGTATGTCTGGCATATTTTGAAATTGACAATAAAGTTGACTTTGACTTTGATAATATACCAGTAACTCAAACACTTATTTTCAGACAGGAAGTCTCTTCAAAGACATGTAGTAACACAAGAGAAAATGCAGTATGTTCATTTATTGACTTGTCTTTAGAAACAGCTGTGTTTTCTTCCACTATCTCTCACTGAGAAACTTCCTCTGAAAAGAAAAACTTGTTATAATTGTTAACATCTCTGTACCTCTCTTTCTCATCCTTCCTCTCAGGAGTGTGGTCAACTGTGAGTTTTAGAGCCTTGCCCTTGCGGCACAGCATGGCCCTGCTGTCACCCACACTGCCCACCACCAGCTCAATGCCGTCTCTCAAAAGGGCCACAGTGGCAGTGGTCCCTGCGTTCACCCCGGGTACTAGACATAGACATTTAAGGAAACATTAGAGATGGAACATGCTGTTTTTAAGGTCCATACAATGGTCACTCTTCACAACAATCACAGGGTGGGTCTCACAGTCTCACAACCACACACTAAAACATACAGAAATGGGAGAGGGAGTCACAAAGTGGACTAACAGCAAGCTATAGATTACACAATAAACAATAGATGGGGCAGTCACACATGCAGGTCGAACTGTTGCAGCAGAGGTAAGGTCCATAGCATTTTTTCAGAAGGGTCATGTCTGAAGCCTGCTTCGTACTGGAGCATTCATTCTATGCAGTACCTATGTCATAGCCTATTAAAGGGGCCTATGCCATGTATACTTGTCCCGTTTGTCCGTGTTACCAAAAAGCTAGAATCCTTGGGGTTTTTCTGGCTTATGCATATATATTAACTTTACATTCTGTTGTAGAACTACGGTGTCTATTACAAAATCTGTGTTACACCAGAAGAGTGCAAACACATTATGCTGGTTAACATTGCCATACCATTCAAATTTTGCATCAATTTGAATCCAATGTGGTGTGACATTTAGCTAGACTAGAAATAAAATACTAAGTATATGATTTGGGAGATTTGAACATGCACAGTGTCATCTGCAGGTTCAGTCTGAAGCTACTAACTGAACCAATCACAGTGGATATTAAACCACACATTAACTTTATGTTTATGGGGGTACAAGTTTGATTAAATACATGAATAAAGTAGCTGGTATTTGTAGTTTTTCCTTGTAGCCTTTCTCTCTTAAATGAATAATTCAGATTAAAGAGGGTTTTTTTTTTTTTAAAGATAAATATCATATCTGTTCAAACATTAACAGATTGCACTTGTGTTTAAAGTTTCACTGCCTGCAGTCATCAATCCTTTCTTTGTTTGTTCAGCCATGGTAACTGTTTAGCTGCATTCAGAGAAAACAGAACACGGCCTCAAGCACTCTCCCTTTCTAGACTATCACTGCTCGGTGACACTGACATATATTTCCCAGGAATGTTGACTTGAAATTTGGTTTAAAATCGTAAAATATCGCACAGGCTTTACAGACTTTCATTTAACTGAAGATTCTTCAGATTATAACTGTCAACATACTGCATTCTCATGGACTAGATCTGTCACTGACAACCACACATATCTCATATAGCTTGTCAAACATAAGCACTGTTGCACAAGAAGCTTTGCAAACACTTTTTTTTTTTTTTTTACAGAAGAGAAGAAATAGAGGGTTAGAGAGAGAGAGTGAGATGTGAGAGAGGAGTTAGAGAAAGAACAGGAACCTTCCAGTAGTCCAGGATTTAGGACCCGCTGGACTCTCCTTCAAAATTTAGCCTCTCGCCATCCACATTGGTGCCAAGGGCCTCCAGCTCTTAGCTGGGTCAGCAGCTGCCGTAGATAACATGCACACACACACACACAGGCATATTGGGACATTTCACACAGCGTGACCGATATACGGCCACTTAATATGTATGCTAGCTTTGAACAGATAGTAAGACATAATAGTACTACTTGAGAAAGCTAATTTGAAAACGTCATATTTGTCTATGGGGAAATTTTATTTAAATACTAAAATAAATATCTGCAGATTGACAAAGTGTCAGCAGATCAGTGACAAACTAAAGGAAAAACAACAAACATAATTCCAAGTGTTTGGTCAATGTTCACTGCTGTAAACTACAAACGTCACACTCATCAACATATATTAAACAACCCCTTTAGTCATGTATGGAAAACCCCACATTGGCTATGTTTACCTACACATGTACTCTGTTTTTTTCCTTTAATATGTTCCCATTTTGTGTGTTTAGACGCAGCATTGGATGCAGTAAGGCTCTAGTGTTTGCTCTACTTGTAGCTGTTAAATGTTCAGCAGTTATTCAGTAACTTTTGTAAAATGACAGACCTCTACCAAAGAGTGCTCGGTCATGTCAGATGAGAAATCCAAGGCTTGAAAGCCTAAGTAGAATGAGTCAATGAGGTTTAAAGAGAAAAGCCACACACAATTCATACATCAATTACATATAAACTTGGGTGTGTTTGATATATAGAGTTTATCTATCAACATGTGACATGGAAGGACCTACCTTTTGGGATGAAGTGTAAGTGCTTTGCAAAAGCTTTGTCGACTTCAAGGAAGGCTCTTGTTAAAACTAGCTCCAGGTTGGACTCTTCTGCCACAAGGTCCCTGAAACAACAGCCAAAAGAATTCATTAAAATAATATACGTATCAGCTATCAGCATTGATATATCAATGGAAGAAGATTTTTTGCAGTCATCTAATAGTTGCAGAATTTTAAATGCTTAGTCAGTCGTTTTTTTTAGTTGCCTTATTTAAAATACATGAATCTGTGATTACAACTTACTTGATGAATTTCTCCATGTATTTTTCACAAAAGTCAGCTGCTTCTGGACCCCCATGTCCATCAAACACAGCAATGTAAAGGATGCTGTCAGTCATTTGGGAGACCTGGAAGCGGTCTTCATTCTCCCGGCGTTGACCGATCAGCGAGGCACAGCCTATTTTTGACAGACTGACTTTGGGAATGGGCTTGCCGTAGCGAATGCTGGGCGGCAGCAGGATTGGCTCATCAATGCGATTGTCCCAGATGCCAAATGAATCCCAAGTAGTGGGGCGGCCGCTACTGTCCGCATCAAAGCGCGTGTTGCTGTTCAGTCTTCCTGAGGGGCTGTTAAGTTTCCTACTGAAGATTGTGAACTGGAGGTGGCTATCCTGCTGGAACGGATGTTGAAAAATGGCATTTGGAAAAAGACAAGCGCGGCCAACATAAGAACCACTGCACCTTGCCAGGCGCGCAAAGCGGGCTGCTGACATCCCCCTGACAGCACACAAACACTGGAAAACCACTGGATGCCAAGGAAGAGGGGGGGGGTTTCAGTCCAAACCTAAAAAGACAAAACAGGTTGACACTAGAATCAGATTTCAATAAACACTGTAAGACAAAAAGGCATCTTAAAAATTACTATTTTGCATCTTTACCCATCAAAAGCCAGATATTTTATTTTTCACAAGGAGTAATCGACTCAGTATGTTTGGGATTTATGTCTTTAGTCTGAACATATTTACTTATATAACTTAAGAGTTTTATTTAATATAAGAAACAAACTCAATTGAATCATGCTGTAGATGATCATTAATGAAAAGTTGTTTACAAACTCACAGCTGATGGAAATCACCTTGACATTTAAACAGCATAGAGAAATTAAGAAATAAGTAAATGTACTGTCAATTTACAGCCTGTCTATACAAAATGAGAGGAATATAGCAGTAATGTAACACTATTGCTGTTGTATATTAACCAAATTGTAGTAATAATCATAATAAAATCAACATTTAGGTTACAAGCATGATGCAACTTCAGACAGTCATTGAATAGCAGCTTAAACAGTAAACACGTAATGTAAACACACGTCTTATGGAGGTTTATCTGCGTGTCGGTTCTAATGGTACATCTTCACACAGCTTTTTGTTGTTAAGAAAAAAACAATTAGATAAAGTTAAGCGCCTTGTTCTTTTTGTCGGCATTAACATTAACTAGCTACATAACGAGTGCTATCCTTAGCGGACTAGCTAACTGGCATTAGCAAGGATTTCGCAGTTTCGTAACCCTACGCAGACAATCCTCTTAAATCTAAAGTTGCGCGTCAAATAAAAAAAAACATACCTTTGATGATCAGGATATTTGATTTATTATGTATGTGTAGGGTAATTCGCTAATATCTCTCTAAAAAAAAAACAACCTCCGCCCTCGTCTCGTCCCCGTGCTGCGACCCTCAGTGTTATCAAACAAGGCCTCTGATGCGGCCGCGCCAATCAGAATGCTGGAAACGTATACGCCCATTTTGTGCACACTTGCGCCGTGCAAATGATTGGTCGAGACATAATATTATTGACAGCTATAAGCACCAATCCGTAGTTCGGCAACTGCTCGTAGCCAATCAGAGAATGAAAAGGTAGCGAAGAAGTTTTGTGAGTTTTGCTTCTCCAAATACATTTTCAATATTGTCTCCTTGTACTATTCTAGTACACAAGTGTAACAGATGATGTATCATCCAATCAATTAATAACTAAATGTGCTATAACCTTTGTATTTATGATCATCACGCCACTAATTTTTAGATTTTACACGTCATTTGAGTCCCTGACCGCATTGGTATTTACGACTGCCGGGCATGCCTCTTGCTGCCTTGCTGTCTTACGACTTAGGGAACAAGTAGGCTACCTTGTGTTTATTTTAAATACTTCTACAAAGTATTCTTAATACAACACTTTATATCTTAGAGCTGTAGTAACTGTTTACCTTTTGGAACATCATTCAAATTAAAACTTGTTTGTTCTGTACAAATAATATGTTCCTGTAAATGCCACACAATAAACATTAACTTCTGTACTGAACACTTTGTTTCCTACAAACCAACTGGCTCTGGATATTTATTAATAAAGGAAATACTTTTAATGGTAAGGTTAAGCTGCTGTGGTAAAGGCTTGGTAGAGTCGTCTCCTCTCAGACGGAAGGTTGAGGGTTCGATCCCCAGCTGAGCAACCTGTCCGATGTGTCCATGGGCAAGACGCTTAACCCTGCATTGCTCCCGCTGCTTCAGTGTTGTACTTACTCTCTGATATATGTCGCTTTGGATAAAAGCGACCGCTAAGTGTGTCATGAACAATTGGAAAACAAGGAGGTGTGGACCCAAGAGCAGAATTAACAAATATATTTAATTAAACAAAAAGGAAAACAAAAACTCACTTCAAAAAATCCAACCAGGAGAAAACAAGGCGCCACGAATAAACTGACATCCGACACACACATACAATGAACTGACACAGAAGGGCAGAAACACAGAGACTGAATAGACACAGGGGTAATCAAACACAGGTGAGACTAACAACACAGGTGAAGACAATGAGGGCAATCAACACTGGAGGGAAACACACAGAGGAAGGAATGAACACAAGACAAGAACCACTGAGGACAACTACAAAATAAATACATTAAACACTGAAGACACACAGAACTCAAGAATGAACAAAACACACTAGAACATAAAGAAACACTAAAAAACAAAACTAAAAAAGACCAAATCATGACAAAGTGAATTGTAACATTGTAACATGTGAAATAAGACAAATACACACACATACATCTGAAGTCAATCAATGATAAAATAAAGCACCTCCTTAATCCAGCTGACATAAGTAGGTGGGACAGAGGACTTCCACTTTAAAAGTATTAGTCTCCTGGTTAACAGAGTTGTGAATGCTATTAACTCCTTCTTAGCTGAAGACAATTTAAGCGGAATAGGTAGCACCCCAAACAAAGCCTTGAGAACATTAGGGACAAGATTTCCACCAGTTATCTTAGATAATGCAGTAAAAACTTCAGACCAGAATCTACTCAAAGAAGGACAGCACCAGAACACGTGTGTGTAATTTGCTGGTGCTTGGAGACATCGGTCACATAAAGGGGACACTGTTCCAAAATGTTTTGCCAACCGAACCTTGGTGCACACTAAAAAAAACTATTTTTATAACTTAAGCTAGTGTCCTTAAAATGTTAAGACTGAACTTAAAATGATAAGTTGAGATATATTTGTGATTATTCCAAAGAAATACAATTTTCTAGTCAAATAAACTTGACATCAAGTCAGTTGTACTAAAATCTTTAACAAAACTTTTGATCACAATTCAGTTCCTGTGAAATTATCTAGTTGAGGCAAAATAGTCTTTCTATTTCTTTTGACTTGAAATCAAAAACGAAAAAATACTTTATTAAAAGTTGAATTAACTAAAATATTGAGTTAAGTGAATTCATCAATTTAAATTGAATATGTGTATATATATATATATATATATATATATATTAATCAATTTAAATCAGTTTAGTTTAAACATTTTTAGTGATCCTCTTTGCTTTTGCTTTCAACTTCCTTTCAATAACATTTTAAAAAGGTATCATCTTTGCATCTTTATTCGTTTTATCATAGAAAACAACCAACTTTTGTTCTTAAACCTTTAATAGCAGATTAGATCAAAAAGCACATCTAAACATTTACAAATGTTTTTTACATAAAATACTGTGCTAGCTTGTTGGTAAAAACATTTCCACCCAAGAATGTGCAAAAAACTTTCTTTTGCTGCATTTACCATTGATCGGTCACTTTTCTCAGCATTTTCAGATGCAATAAACATATAAAATCAGTAATTTACACATTTAATGAGGTGATCTTACTGTGGTAAAACAAACACTTCAGAAAAGATGGAGACAATGTCCAAATATTTTTGGAAGCTTTCAGAAAACTCCCGACCTCAGTGTAGTGCCTACACAGCTTTACTAAGAAGTCTTTTTCTCAGTCCATGGACCCTTGAAGGTGCAGTGGTCATCACCGATATTCATTAGGTTCTTCTGTACGACTTGAAATGTATACTGCACTTCCTTTTGGTAGTCAATGTTAATTGCATACAACAGACCCATGAGCATACCATATGCAAATAGTCCTTCATGCCATGCTGAACGATCTGATCCTCCAGGACGACCTCATTTTCTATTACCAGGATGATGGCAACGTTCGTATCCTTTGTTATGCCGTCCTCAGTGTCTGTAGATTTACAAAAGACAGCCTCAAGTTCAAGCACTGTGATAGGACGCTCCAGTTCTCCAGCCATAAACTGATCCAGAGTGGGATTGTTGATTGTATCATATTTTGCCTGTAAAGACATACGTTCTTTATAGAATTTTGGCAATTTTGGTTGCATACAAAGAGTCCAAGTGTGCTATACGTTTGGACAAGTTTGTTAGTTTCTCCATCCTAAGTTTCTTCTGATGTGCCCCATACGAAATGATCTCTCCCCTTATAAAAGCCTTCATCGCTTCCCACAGCACCGAAGCTGACACATCAGGAGTTTCGTTGACCTGAAAGAATAAGCCTAGCTGCTTTGAAACAAAACTGATAAAATCCTCATCCAAGGGCAGATGCGTGTTAAGACGCCATGGTGGCCTATAATAAACTTTTGGAAATAGATATTCATAGATACTGAAGCGTGGTCGGGCAAAACAATTGAATCATATTTACAGCAAGACATGGATGAAAGTAGCCTGTTTTCCACCAGAAAGAAGTCGATGCGAGTAGAAGTATGATGTGCACAGGACATAAATGAATATTCTCTTTTAGTAGGATTAAAGAAGCGCCAAGGGTCGACGACATTAAACTCACCCATAAAGACTTCGATTACTTTGGCTGACCTGGATCGAGCAGCTGGAGTAGCGGAGGAGCGATCTAGAGAAGTGTCCAAGCAACAGTTAAAGTCTCCTCCTAGGATAGGGTGATATAGAGACTGATCTGGGAGCAATGACTGATACATATTCTGACACATTTCTTTACAAATTACTTAATGCTATGCCTGGCAGCCCCCTGAGTACAGATAAACATCACCACAGTAATGTAAAAATTTACTGTAAAAATAAGATGTCAGCAAGTTGCTCTATAAGGCTTGGGAAGGTGACTTTGGAGAAATGGGAAAATGTAAGCCAGATATTAAAAGTGTCAGAAAGTTAAATATGCCAAAAGATTTTCCAAATACAGATGGACATGCACAGCCTGAATTCAGTTGGAGGAAAAGTCAAAGACGTTAGAGAGGAGCACAGCAATGTAATTTCTTATCACTTCCAAATACTATTTGTGTGCAGCTTGTGTTAATTCCCTTTTGTAAGACTCTGGTCATGCGTGCAGACAATGCATCTAGACCAGTGGCTCTCAACTGGTGGGTTGGGAACCAAAAGTGGGTCGCGAATGTGTGCCTGGAAGAGAAAATTGTGTCAAAAAGTCCATGAAGCCCTTTTTAAACATTTTTGTTTTGTTGCATTTCCTTGTTCTGTCACATGTTCTACCGTCTGAGGTCCAAACTACACAATTTTTCATTCGATAAATCTAATTGGTTGAATTGTTGATTGTATCACATATTTGGGTCGTGATTGTTCATGAAGGAGATGTTGGGGGGGGGGGGGTCTGAGACTTGACCAGTTGAGAACCACTGATCTAGACAAGGGAGTGCAAAAGCCCCAGGCTTCACACATAATAATGAAGGTCCTCCAGCATAACGCCATTTGTACTTTTAACCCGCAGCAGCCTAATATCGTTGTCCACGAGTGATTTCATATAGCTTTTACGATATTGTGTAACATATGAGGTGTGAACAAACATACAGATGTTCAGATCCTGCAGTGTCCTGCTTAAGGAGTGACCTCCCACCTTGAATTGGCAATGTGTAAGGGGCTATATTTTGCCATCAAATCAAAGTTACATATGGTCCATAACAGACATGCATCCTCATCCTTCAGTTAGCCTATATTTATAACATTTCAACATTTAACATATAAATGTTTGCTTTGAAACCAGAGGAAAAACTATCCAGAATTTGTTATGGCACCTGCACCTTCCACCCTGAGGACCAATCACAGCTTTCCTACGTCTGACGCCCAGTGACGTAGTCGAGCTGTGGCACTTCCTAGCTGGATTTCTTAGCTGAACCGAAACCAAACGCCCAACATCAGAATGCAGCTCTCCAGGTAAACAAAAAATATTTTAAATTTCGGGGCGAACTAGCAACTATAACGCCGTTTGCTTATTTTAACATTGCGGTGTTCGGGATTTTGCATCGCTAAAATTGACAATCGGCGATGTTGCAGCTTTGCTAAGGTTAATTAGCTAACGTTAGCTCACTGTTAACTTTAATGGCTTGTGTGGGTCACGAAGGCGCATATTTAGGTTCCCTTAATAACCTGTTTTAACAGCTAATGCCAATTCATACATTATACCTACACACGCAAACATGTCTGCACAACGCAGACCCAGGCCACTCCTCTTTTTCTCTCTCCCCAACATCAAGCTATCGTAACCTGAAACACATTACAGCTGGATTATTCAGATACAGGATATACACAAAACACAGCTGGCGTCTTCTCTTCAGGTGTTGGCTGACGTGCCCTCTGTGTTACTAAACCTGAATGTGTCCTTCCACACGGTTAGTAATAGTCCCAGGTTTGTAGGTACACTCAACTATAAATATTGCAACAGCCTGCTTTTCCTCATGATGGGTATAATGTTCAGTTTAATTCAACCTACAGAGGCATTTAAGATGTCGTGTTGTTGACCTGTATTGCATTATATTACAACAAAATTAATTAATTAATTAATTTAGATCACTTCTAAAAATCTGTTCTTTCCTTCAAATGCTAGACATGTTTAATATGATTTTTTTTTTTTTTTAATTTTTTATTTTTTTACAATTTCCCTCATTTTAAATAACATCTTCATCAAATGTACTTTAATGGAGGACAAAAAATGAAAATAGTCTCATTAGAAAAGGATGGACCAGTGTTTCTTCCTTTACAACATGTATGTACATCAATGTAGATGTAGTAATATTTGTTTCAGCTTTGGTAAAAAAAAAATTTGGAAAGTTGAGATGTTTATTTGTAGTGCTATTTCAATTGACCCCATTTATTTCAGTTCGGTCTAATTCACACATTGGCAGTCGAGTGCAGGTAGTACAGACAAGAATGATGATTTTGTTCACACAAATGTTGAGGTAGACGGCAAACAACTTTTGATCCGGGTTCTGGCTGTCTTACAGGCTTTGATTTATTTGGTGCCTGGTTCCATGTTCTTTGTCTTATCGTGCGTGATGTCCATTTGTGAATATCCCACGGCTAACTCGGTCAGTAACATGCATATTTTTTACAAGTGAAATGACAGCAAGGCAGCACTGCCAGGAGCTGCTTAAGCTGGGATTACACCGACACAGTTTATTTAAACACTCTTCCTGTTCCTCTGTCATACAGCTTACGTCACTCTCACACACAGCCACACCCCTCCCTAAGCCCATCCTTGTTGTATTATTAAAAACATGCAGTGTTCACACGTGGAGAATAATGATTCTTGTCTGTTTCTTATGATGACAGATGCCTAATAAACCTGTATTTTATTTCCTAGGGTTGGAATTTATATGAAGAGGAGAAAGCGGGGCTGCTCTCAAGCCTAAACATTTCTTGTCTTCCACCATCTGGCATCAGACTCGCTTCCCCTTCAGATTGGTGCTCACCCCTCCTCCCCTCGCCAACATGCTGTGTTGGGGGAATGCAAAGGATGGACAGTTGGGTATCGGTGCAGAGAGGAACCCCATGTTTGAGCCCAGGATTTGTCATGTGTTTAGCGACAGGGGACTAAAGGAGGTGGCTTGTGGAGGGCAGCACTCGCTGTTCCTGCTGCATGATGGTAGTGTGTACACATGTGGTTCTAACAGCTGTGGACAGCTGGGCCACGACAAACCAGGGACGTCTCCAGGTAAACTGACCTCTCTTTAATCTGTGCAATTATATCACACCACCCTGCAGGCAGCACTCATGTAAGTAGGTGGGTGTAGAAAAATATGTGAAAATGCTGTTGAAACATAACAAATCAATATGGGTCTGTCTGTCAGACCACCTCTGAAATATCTTAACAACCGATGGATTGCTTTGACATTTTAGATTGTCATTGCTTTAGTACCTGTATCTGGACTGTATTGTAGACAGGCCAGAGGAAAGTCTTGCTGAACCAATCATTATTCTGAATTTGTTTCTGGCTTGGAGCAAAGATGGCATAACAAAATAGTGTAGAAAGGGAACTTGTTTTGGTGGAAATCCCTGCCAAAGACAATAATGCCAGATTATTTTCTTATACGAATACAAGTTCAAAATCTTCACATCACAACTTGATGTTTAATATAGCAATTGAATTTTTTTATAAATGATCAAATTCAAATAGATGAAGTTGAACTTCTAAAACAGGCCAATGGCAGGTTCATACTCGCAGTCACTCAGATTGGACACCAGCAGCATCATGAGATTAAAGGTTTAAATGAAATGCATTGACTACTGGATGGATTGCCATGAAAGTTAATCAAGAAGTTCACCGTTTTTAGAAGAGGAATTCAATTAACTCAAAACTCTTAGATTTCCCAGCGCCATAATCAGGACAAAATGTTACATGTCTGAAGTGTATCAACAAATATGTGCGTGCAAACTAATGACTAAACCATCGGCTTTGTGTTCAGTGCTGATTAGCAAAAGTTGCCTTCTAACAGCCAACTACAAAAGTGTTAAAGATTAACACAACAATCGTAGCATTATTTCTCCAAACATGTCACCATGCTGATGTTAGTAATTATCTCAAAGCATCAATGTGCCTAACCTCAGCTTTATAGAGTTGCTAGCTCGGCTGCAGACTGAAGTTTTGAGGTTTTACCCACTGATTCTGCAGAAAACACACCTAAGTGTTAAAATGAAAGTGCAGCGGCAGGTCTGATTATCCAGCTGTTAGATATCGTCAGACCTGCATGGTTCATATGATGAGCTTCTTTTCACATCTTCAGGATGTTGTTAAGTTGTATTGCACACTGACTTTGATTTAATGTAAGGTTGATCTACAAAGCTTCAGCCTAAACACGTTGTTAAAGTGCCTCCATTTATCTGTAGCGTCTGCTGCAAAGCTCACATCTAACCACATACTGATTTCTTGGACGCTTGAGACACTCTCAAACCCTGTGAAGTGATTGCAGACAGCAGTGGATATGTGTTGGTATGTGGGCGCAAGTTTGTATAGTGTGATACTTTGTATAGGCATGTGGGTGAAACTGTAACAACAATGAATAAATGCAAGACTCACTGCACCTTGAGCGAATAAAACTAGTGTATTCTCGGTGAAAAGTGAGTGGGATTTCCTTGATGAAAACCCTCAAACTGAACAACTTGCACCTAATATTATTTTTGGTTTGTAGTATTTCCTTAAAGTATGTTTATATTTATATCATTAGCTATTCATCCACCTTACACAAGCCTCTAAATGAGGTGGTTTGTCAGATATTCTCTAATCTCCCTCCTCTCTACAGAGCTGGTAGGAGCTCTGGACACTCAGAAGATCACGATGGTGTCGTGTGGTCGGACCCACTCAATGGCGGTGAACGAGCAGGGTCAAGTGTTTGCCTGGGGGGCCGGCGAAGGGGGTCAGCTCGGCCTTGGCACCTCGGAGACGGCTGTTCGAATACCAAGGTGAGTAAAAGCGGGCAGTAAAACACCAGGAAAAAAAATGGAGGTTATGATTTGAGCATTAATGAGGACAAGGGCTGCTCAGACAATTATTTCATTTGGTTTGACCCATTCATCCAAAATATTAGTAACAAATCATTGGGATCTCATTTAATGAGAATATAAAAAAATGATCATAATTCTTTCATGTATTAAACTAATTAGAGAACTTCTGTGTACTAGGATAGTGATGTTTAAAGTGATTGTGAACTATTTGCTTATGGTGGTTAGAGAGATAGAAATATCAACAAAATAGAAAATTTAAGACAATCTTTGAGACTGAGTTGTGATTTCATTGCATCATTAAATGACACCTGATGATAAGAGGAGAACAAGGATGTAGATGTAGGACAACGTGTGGTTTACCCACACTTTGCAGATCAAACCTCATCAGAGGTGTTTGTTTTTTCACTTTGACTGTTTTCATTTGTTGCAGTATTGTGTATCAGGAAACTTCCACATGAAATATTTATAATGTTAATCATTTAAATGTATGAATAATTTATCAATTTTTCCCCCTAGGTTGGTCAAGAGGCTGTGTGACCATCGGATCTCTCAAGTAATGTGTGGGAATCAGCACTGCATTGCACTTTCTAGAGGTGAGGAAAACACAATCTCCTCTTAATACTAATACAATTAAAACTATGTTTCTAAACTCCTATCCTCCATCCAGGTCAGACTGATGGCCGCTTCAACTTTGCAACATTTTGCATCTCACAATCATCTCGACTGGCAAACTGTGCTTCATGTTCTCTAACCTGTTGTCTGATGATTATTTCTCGTTTCATTTTTGTTTGTTACTATGACAACCGGTTGACTTTCACCGTGGCTTGTGTGCGAAAAACTCGAGACATCACTCAAGCAAACATTCAACCAAAACATACTGCTCAAGCTTCCCAACAAGTACAGACGAATTGAAAGAATAAGAGTTGTGAAGCTTCTTTTCATAAAATATTTGATTTATCTGAGAAAACAGACGCTGAATAGAAATGGCGGGACGTATAAACAGTGCATGACAATTAAGTGTAATATTTGTTGCAGAGCCACTGTCTTTGTACTTTGGTGCTACACAAAGTTATGGATCTCACCAGGCACTTGGGCAAAGATAACATTAATTCTTTGAAACATTAAATCCGTCATTCTTTTGGCATTCTACCTACAATTAGACATTTGCACCAACTAGCCTTGGTGCAAATGTCTCTATGTATTTTAATTACTGTGAAAAACTGAACTGTACTGATTATATCCCTTCGTTGATGTCCTGTATTTGCTTTGCTTTTTCATAATGACATAGACATATGGGTCTGAAATACAGTAAAGTAATGAGTTGTAATTCAGAAGGACATATAAGAAAGATGCAAAGTGGGGTCCTTGAGAGAAGGTCTAGGGTAGAAATCTGGTCCATATTTGCTCTATATGTGGTCTCTGTGTATGAGATGTACTATTTTAGACAGTTTATGTATTTAGATACAGTAACCAAATTACCTTACAAATGTTATAGTTTCCCCTGAAATGGCAGTTGTTGGTATAGACGCACATTGAACCGTTTTGTGTCTCTGTGCTTTCCCTCCCAGATGGCCAGCTGTTCACATGGGGCCAGAACACCAGCGGTCAGCTCGGTTTGGGGAAAGGAGAGTCCAGCAAGCTGTTCCCTCATCCCCTCAAGTCTCTGGCTGGAATTCCTTTGGCACAGATAACCGCCGGGGGAGACCACAGCTTTGCTCTGTCCTTGTCCGGAGCGGTTTTTGGATGGGGCAAGAACAAAGCTGGCCAACTGGGTCTCAATGATAAACAAGGTAATAACCAACCGGATAAAAAGCAGCCATTGTAAAGAGATCATGAAAGGGTCTGTATTCATTGTTTTGTATAATGCAATAGTAAGGCGCTTCCTGCATGAGAGGTCTTTCTTTTAAAGATGCACTAAATGTTCTCAAACAAAAGTTCAACATTTAAAATTAAATTAATTTAAAATTGAGAACAAGTGGTATTATAATGCCATGCCATTTTTACCCACTTTAACACTGTGCAGAAAGGATGCTTCTAAAGTTGTTAGTGTGTTAAAAGGTATTATTATCATTATTCTGTACATCAGACTACAGAACAGCGTGACTTACTCGCTTGTTTTTGTTCCTGTCCTCAGATCGTGCTGTCCCGTGCCACATCAAGTTCTTGAGATCTCAAAAAGTTGTTCATATCAGCTGTGGGGATGAACACACAGCAGCACTCACAAAGGTAACGATATAGACAAGCGTTCCATCCGTGCTTTGCAGAGCGTCATAATCTTAGGTTATAATGCATGCCAAAAACATTTTTAAAGTCCACTTTGGCTAATTGCTTCTCAGTTTTGGAAGCTCTCTTGCTGTACTGCTTTTTGCTACATGTTGCATGATATGACCTTGACTCATTCATCAGTCAAAATCAAAATGTTACAATGCAACTCTGTAATCTCTTGACCACTGCTGGAGAAAATACGTACAACTCTAATACGATGCCAAGAAAAACTACAATAAACAACATGAACAATACAATCTCTCTGGCAGGATGGCGGCTTGTTTACATTTGGTGATGGCGCGTTGGGTCAGCTGGGTCATGGCTCCAGCAATAATGAACTTTTACCCAGACGAGTGCTGGAGCTCATGGGCACTGAGGTTTCCCAGATCACCTGTGGCAGGTACACACTTTCACAGAGTTGCACAATGTGATACAACTCTGTACAGGTCTATCTCTACGAAGTGTGAGAACGTTGTTTATGGCAATTTTTGAAGTTGAAGTCTTCAGGTTTGTAGTCTTGTACTGCATGAACTTGAGCAGTACTTTCAAGGGTCAACTTCATTGACTACATGAGAATACGATCTGAATCAAGGAGAAGTTTATTGCTCAGTTTTTAAACAGGAAGATTGTTTGTCTCTGTTTTGATATGTAATAATTGAAATACTATCAGAAAGAAGGAAACAAAAACAGCAGAATCAAGAACCACAAATATATGAAAGAAACATTTTGAATAGAATCATTTCACATTTGATACATATTCATGTCATTTAATTTAGCAGAGGTTTTTTTTAATATGAGGAGGGAAAGATATAAGATATACATAAACTTACAAAGATGCTTAAATGTAAACATTTTCTGTCACAGCATGACAATCAAAAGATGAAATAGTCAAATTAAAGGTCACTGCTTTGGGTTTAAATCAAGCTCTAAAGGACATCCTGATAAATGTGACGTTCACAGGCTGCTTCTGTTTCTCTGTGTCCTAAAAGTGTGAATTTGTTTTTGTTGTTGGCAGGCACCACACGTTGGCGTTTGTGCCTTCCTCTGGTGTGGTGTATGCGTTTGGCTGTAACAGCCATGGGCAGTTGGGCACTGGAATACGGGGTGATGCCAGGAGCCCATTTCCTGTCAAGGGCAGTTTCCTGACTGGAAATGTCCATAGAACAGGTGAGCAGCAGAGGACTGGGTTATACATAAAAAACATGTTAATTATATACTCTGTACGATTGTTTGGTTTAAATGGCTTTTATAAAATGCCTGGCTAGTACATTATGATGATTTCCTCGCCTGGGGTTATGAAAGTGTATCCTGATTATTTCATTGAATGGCTTATTGGAGAATGTTTACTTATGCTGTTTCTATTTCCTTCATTTTCTAGAATCCAAACATTATACAGTGACCAAAATCATCTGTGGGGGAGACCATAGCTTCTTGTTGTACTCCACTAACCAGGTATGTGATTTCATTTTTTAAATCCTCTCTCCAAAGCGTGTTGCCTTTCTATCAGCTGACTTCAAATCTATTACCACTTCTTCTTATTGTCCTTTTGATTGTCATCTCTCCCCTCAGAAAGCAAAGCATCGTTATTTGGAATCAAATATATTTAATACTGTTTGATTTAAAGTTAGAAACTTGTTGAATGTGTCATGAAAACAAAAAAATCTTTGCTGAAGTGAAACTGCCAGCCACCAACGCTAAATCAATAATTCAAGTTAACCCTTTCATAATAAAACAAAACAAAGCTGATAAATTATATTAGAATCTTTCAGTTTTTACAAACGCAAACAGGCACACCCAAATCATTTAAACTGAAACTGATTTAGAGTAAAGAAGCAACAACAGCAACCTGTAATTAAAACATTATTGAAGCTTTGTTATGTCAGTTCCAGGATTTCACCACAAGGTGGCATTAATGTCTTTTAAGATTTGACTAGTGTTTATAAACGCTGTAAATGGAGCACTTGTCTGCTGCAGATATCCAGCAAATTGTCAGGAGTGCGTTTTGAGAAAGAAATAACAAGCATTCAGCCTCTGCGTTGAAATGCCCTCAGGAGTGGTTCATTTATTTGATCTTCATGAAGGAGAGGGAGTCGGTGCAGCAGAACGAGGCCCAAATGTCTCTGTGAAGAGCGGTGACACTCTTGGGGGGGACAGTCCAGTGCAAACAGTCTTTAAATGTTTGTGCTGTTATCTCTCTGTTTCTCTTCCTCTCTGCAGAGTTTTGTCGCCCCAGAAGACTTCAGAGTGATCAACGTCAGTAAAAGTCTCTCCCCGATCACTTATGAAAGATTAAACTCATGGAGGTTAAAGCTGATGTACAGCCCAGATTCTAGTGTCACAAAGTAAGTCCAATCAAGAAGGCTATTGAGTGAAATGCTCAGTGTTCGTTATTTTTTAAAGATATATATTTAACACATCGATTATGTCAAACACATAATATTATAGGTTTTTGTGTCTGCTCTCTTTGGTCTGATATTTTTCCATTGTGTTTCTTTTCCCAGTGACATCATCATTCAACTCTCATCAACAGCTTGTTGGAACGCCAGCTTCTTGGACCAAAGGTGCATAAACACAAAGTCTGTACATTAAAGTGTATGTTTCTGTGACGGACAGTCAATCAATGTTGAGGTATTAGTACTTCACTTTCACATTTAAACATCTTTCATTTAGTGCTACTTTCTACGACAATTAGTTATATTATTGTAATTAACATGGGGTTTTTTCCTATCAAGCATATATAGCCCCCCCACACACACACACACACACACTCTCACACACACACACACACACACACACACACTTAACCTTTCAGAGTGTTTAATTAGAAAGGACCGATTGATGCTATTGGAGGTAAAATAATTCTTTTATTTTTCAGTGGAAAAAAATCAAAGATTAGAGAAAAAGTAACAGTTTTGAATCAGAACTTTTCTTTTCCCATCTTTTTCTCACAATCCCCCAGGCACTATCTTGTCCCCCATAGGACCCCATCATTATATTCAAGTTAACTGACTATATAAGTCAAATCTTTTTGCACATAAGAAGAGAAAGGGAAATTGTGATCCAAATGTAACAGCAGGAATGAATTGTTCCCACCTTGCACGAGGATCATATGAGCTGTTTGGACAGTACAAAGATATCATGCAACAAAAATGAAAAACAGGGCCGAAAGCACAGACCGTTACATGAAGTAGACTGCTGGGAAGTCTGTGAGACTTCAGATTTCTCTGCCCATAACTCGATGTAAAGGCGGTGGATGTATATCAAACACTCATCAGCAGATACTTATCATGAACAGAGGATGAACTCTGGAGGCCAACAGGGTGGAAAACATCTTTAAATGAAAGATGTGGAACTTAATACTTAACTGTCTGCTGAAACACACCAAGTAGTACTGTTAGCAGTAAACTGTAGTTAAGGACTTAATACTTGTGGTTCTTTTTATTTAATCTTAATTCATACGAGACTCTCAGAGCTCTCAGTGATGTGGGTCACAGCTGAACCTCACAGAGTACTATGTGCATGGTTGGTTATTGTTTGGCAAACAGTGTGCACAACATCAGATCTGATGTATCAGTGTTATGACTAAATAGAACGGATGTTATACGAATGTGATGGATGACTCTGTAAAAAGGTGCCGACCTTCATGTGCAGGGTTTTGTTGGCTTTGTGGCCGTGTTCTGGCTCGCCGGCTGCATCTGACTGAAATACTTTCAGGCTGAGTGTGTTCCCCTCACCAGTGTTATTAAGACTCATGTCAGAGTTTTATTTAGACTGTTTTGTTTAATCCAAAATACTGTGTGTCTTTTTTTATATCAAGGCTTTACTGTCCCTGGATGTGACTTCTAAACTATTTATATCCTGTTAGTGATCACTGAGACATCAAAGATGGTCCAAACACTACAATAATCACCTGTTGTTTTGCTTCTCTCAGTGATGATACACACTTCAAAACCAACCCAAAGATCCCGGGCATCGATCTCAACTCCGTCAGAATGCTTTTTGAGACGCTCAGCAGACCGGCTTTCTCCGGACTCCTGGAGCAGGTATTGACTTGTAGTTGATTTATGTTGTTAAATGCACAAGCTAATATCCTTTATTTAGGGTTACGGTTAGCCTAACCCTAACACAAACCCAGGTAGGGTTTTTCTAATATTACATTTCATAGTACTAGTTTAAAATTCCCCTTTAACTCCCATTGTTGCCTCTTTTTCCGTGCTGAAATGAAATAGAGAGTTTGTGGTTATAAAGTGCATTACACAACACCACACTGCTGTTGTCAGAGCGCCTCCTCCTGGTGAAGAATGAACACCAATTTTTACACAGGGGGTCCCGTTTCATTTAGTCAGGTCACAGATGTCTTTGAAGCTGCACTTATCAGTACCTTTATATTGAATGGGTCAAGTTTATCACCTGACTCTGTATTGTCCAGTTCTATTGACTGTTTAAGCATCTTTCAAGTTATTACTTTGGCTTTACAGCTCTATATGTTCTGTTTTAGTTCACTCTCACTCTTGTTTACCGAAAAAAAAAAAATAATAATAATTCACAGTATGGTGTGTGTCCAGTGCAATGTGACAAAGTAAGCAACTACCTGGTTTATATAGTGGACCATCTGCAGCTTAAGATACCAATAATTCCTTCAGAAATTAATTGGTTTGCTGATGAAGAAAAAAAATAAACAGAGCCAAAAGGAGAGTGAACATCTTACCAGGATATTCAGGACAAATAGACTGAAAAAAAACTGATGCCATTCCCCTTTTCAATGACTTATTGGTTTGCTTTTTAATCTGTTTTTATCTGTTGTATTCATTGTCCATTGGACTTCTACTTCTTAGCGTCGTCTTGTGTTGGATGTATGTTGCTTTTACTCCTGACTGAAAGACAAATGGTCCTCTCAGAGGGATGATAAAGACAACCTTGAACCTCACCTTCTTTCGGTGGCCATTAACACGACTCCAATGAATTCTATCGGTGCTTTACGTGTGCTGAATATGTATTTAGTTAACTTGTCACTAACACACAGTGGAGACATCAGATGGTGTGTGTACGTACTCTTAATTGGCCACAGGAAGAAATTATGAAACCGTTTTAAGCAATTGATGTAAGGACAGCTCTTCCCACCTATCACCCTTTCCAGGCATGTTCAACAGAACTTGAATACTCTCACTCTCAGAAAACCAGGATCAAAGTTTGAAATGGAGGATTTACAACTAACTCCAAGTCAAACCCTGGTACTTTAAATCTGAATAATTGCCAAACAAAAGGTTATATTTGGAGATATTTGGAACCCTGGATATCAAACAGTAAAATGTGTTTTTTGATTTGATCATGTGAGACAAAATATCCCAAAATGTTTACTCTTGTTTTCAAAATAAACAAGTTAAAGGTCTGGGGATGGATTATCCAGCTTGTGTTTAATAAAAACATTATATGTGAACATGGCACTTGTTTTGAAAGAACATTTTGTTCTGTGGCAGATCCTGAGTCATACCCTCTAACATTAGCTCCACACTGTTTGTTTTTGACCTCATGCCTTTCAAAGCAACATGAATTAAAATCTGTTTGGAATAACAAGGCCAAACTCCAAACCACTAAAAGCCTCTCCCAACATTCAGTTAGCAATACGTCTTCCTCACTGCCCTTTTATTTTGAAGTGGAATAGTATTTCATAAGTTGCTCTGCTTGATTTGTGTAGACTTGCTCCTTTCAAACAGATCACAGTAAATTACAGTAAATATGTTTTGTTACTATGTTATTAAAAGTGTAAATATAAACATTCTGTCATATGTGTCCTTCTTCTTCCTGTGTCCATCCGGCTTTTTAGGCCAGCAAGAGTTTTGAGAGTCTTCTAATCCCTCAGCTACCACGCTCCCCTCCTGACGTCGAGGCCATGAGGATCTACCTCATCTTGTCTGAGTACCCGGCTCTGCTGGACTCCAAGAACTACATCCGCCTCACTATCCCCCTGGCAATGGCCATCCTCCGGCTAGACGCCAACCCCAGCAAAGTATTGGGTATACTTGCATGCACACACTTTCTTTCTTTCTAACAGAACTCCTATGGTAGCTTATTACTCAGAACATGAGGTCATGACAAACCCACTATGAGACTTCTCACCACAAGACTATACATTTTTCATCTGCTGTATGTCAGTATGTCAAACCGGTCCATGTCTCTTGGGTCGTGCTTGTTATGCAGAGGAAATATTTAGATCCAGAATCAAGGTTTTTTAAGGGTCGATGTTAATAATGGGGAAAAGGGAAAGAAAAGAAAAGACAAGAACTTAAGAAGAATCACACTGGAACTTCTGCCTTCCCTGAAGACACATGCTCACTAACAGTTTTCATGCATGACCTTTAGGGATAGAATTTTTGGTTTCGGGTACCTGATTGTCTAGTACCTAAAGTACTGATAAGCTCCTGGACAAACGGGAATCCTGTTGTGATTTAAACTTTACAGTCAGCCTGCACTGATGGAAAGTCCTGCATTTAATAAGACGACTGGCACAACAGCAGAAAAGTCCCTTTATTACAGCTGCCAACTTTCCCTTTAGTTGGTTCTTATGAAATAGCTTTTATTAAAATGTTGCGACCCATCTTCTCTGCACATTTTAGAAGCATTCGCCTCTGCTTCAAATTTTTAAATATACGAGCATGAGAGAGAATCCTGTCAGTCTTTGTGTCAGCTGACGGGAGTCTTCAGTCTTTGATAAATATTCGCAAAATAATGAAAGACATAAGAATTACAGCAACAAGCCACCTGCACAGTAAGCATCAAAAAGGGCTTAATGAATAAAAAAAATCAATAAATAACCTTTATATAACCTGTCACATCTGTCCGGGTAAAATGACAAGGGGGTGATTATTATCGCAGAAATATTTTCCTTGTCTTTTTTTTTTCATTTTGATAATAAGAAAACAGTTTCAGTAATTAGTCAGACAGCTTTGCTTCCTGATGTAAACGTACATTTCCATGCAGTGTTCCTGTGCTCCTTACAAAAAAAAAAAAAAAGGACCAATCAATAACCTTCAACCTGCAGAGGACTGTTCGTATGAGACAGCTGTCACTCAGTCACCGTTAACGGAGAGATTCTGTTCATGACTTCAGGTGTATCACCTGAGGGTTGTAACCTTCAGATTTACATCAGGCGTAATGATAAAATGACCTTTTTTCATGTTGCGTCAGCTTCCCTGTCATTCTGCATGCACACCCTCTCAGCCCGGGCCGGGGAGACCGATGTGTCTTTATATGCTATTATTAAACTGACAGCGCCTTGACATGTTTGGTTTCAGTAGAATGACGTTCGTACTGTAACACTTCTAAGTGTGTAGTGGAAAAGCTCCAACGTACCGCAAGACCCATCCCAGAGCACATTTTAGACCAGAAACCATTAATAATTCAAGATGAACAAAGGTGAATCCACAAGAGTCCGTATGCTACAGTCAGAGTTTTCAAAGCTCTTCAACCTGTCTGGGGAGTTTATTTAAAGGCATTCATTTCCATTGCGTATCAACTTAAAGTTCTAAATTACAAATGTTTCTTTTCCACTTTAGAATAAAATTAATCAACTTACATATTTTGTGTTTTTGCTTTGATGTGAGGTTGTTTTCATTCTGAAGTTAAAGACGTTAAAGTGAGTTTGGTGCTTTACATAAAACGAGTTTTAAAATTACCATTTAAGAAATAATAGATCAAATAAGGCTGGAAATCAGGATTTATGCAGGAAGTAGTTTTTTTTTTTTTTTGTTACTAATGAGTAAATTTGTCTTTGTTTTATGCACCAAATAATAATTGACGTATTTTGGAGAAGAGTATGGATAAGTATTGGTATCAATACCGGTATTATTAAAATCCGAACATTGCCCATCTCTCAGGACTTTGCTTTAATGCAAGAAGTTTACATCTAGAAGTGGATTTTTTTTACCCTGAGATAAAAAAAAAAAAAATGAAGTTCATTAAAATCTGGAACCAAAGGCCTCTAAACCCTCATTCTGGTCCTTTAGACAAAAGAACAAAAATAGAATCAACATATACTACAAGTAAAAATGCTCTCATTAGGCAGCAACACGTGTTCCGCTGCAAATGAATAGATATACTTTACTCTATGTATAGTTTGCATGGTAGCTGTGGAGCTGTAGAATACTGTATTTTACTTCTGTGGGGTTAAATCAGTAGCAATTCAATCTGAACTGAACAAATGTTTCGAAAGGCCGTGTGGGGCTTGCATGAAGCATTTGTGTGCTTGGAAGAAAAGTGCTGCACGTCCATCCTGTCTCTATGACAACAATCTGTTGACAACGGGCGCTGACTGACACTGCTCTGTTGCTTTTTACTGCATATTTTCTATATGAGATCATTTATTTCCCAATCAGACACGGAGCAAAGACGTGTGATGTGGGCAAAAAAATACCATCCGTCATACTACAGGAAATATCATACATTTGGAAAAGTGCGCTGGTGACGTCAACAACGCCTCTCTGAAAAGTAAAAAAGATTTCAACCTGAGGGCTCGGAGCAGCCACACAAAAAGGGCGGAGCACTCAGGAAAAAAAATTCTGGGCACTGCACTTTTTCTCTAAACGGCCACTTTCTGCTGCAAATACGCTCTGCTCATTTCAAATAATTGAAAAAAGACACTAAGAAAAAAACGCTAGGGTGACACATGGCCTAAATCTGAAAAGTTAGTAGTAGCTCATTTTTTCAATTCAAAGCACATAGTTGCATTCGATCACTTGTTTAAGTAAAACATTCAGGTCGAGTGAGGTGTTTGCTCTATAGAATGAATTTAATATATCTCTTTGTTCTTGCAGATAACTGGTGGTGTTTTGTGGACGGCAGCGTGTTCACCAGAATGGTCGACATGTACAAGAGCATCGTGGTGTTTATGCTGACAGGAGGAAAGACTCTGCTCGTACCCCTGTTCTACGAGAACTACTTTGTTGCCACTCTAAGGCTGCTGGAGAAACTCCATAAGGTATCAACGCAGATCACCTAATGCTATGTTTAACAAGGCGTCTGTTCTCCGACTGTCTCCTCAGTGCACTCTAAGGAGGATATTTATATTTTGAAAATGTGTTTGTTTCCATATCACCAGGTCAACTTAAAGGCCAACCATGTGGAGTACAACCGCTTTTATATCCCCGACATCACCAGCCTGGTGGACATCCAGGAAGACTACCTCAAATGGTTCCTGAGTAAAGCTGATATTGTGAGTACTGACATTCTCCCACCATGTTTCCCTACCTCGTTACCTGACACACACGCAGACACACTCACACTCACAATCTTAACCCATGTCGTTCACACTGTGCATGGACAGCGTGTTACTATTTGTCATACTTTGCTACCCAATAAGATGTGATGTTCACATACAAGCCCCTTCAATATAACCGCTGGTTCACATTTTTAATTGTATCTTAGGTCTGTTTCAAACTTGCTTAATCGACTTTGTTTCTCTCTTATTTTGTTTTCTAGAAAGTTGGATCATCCCCTTCACAGGTACTTTATTTGAAGATTGACCTTGGAACAGTTTCAGTAATATGACACGCTATATAAACAACCCTTAAAAACAGTAAGAATAATTCCTTATTTCCTTTCAGAGTGACTTTCCCTCCGTGAACCTATGTGCCTACCCGTTCATACTGAATGCTCAAGCCAAGACAACCATGCTGCAAACAGACGCTGAACTGCAAATGCAGGTAGCTGGTGTGAATGTTAAAATGATTGAATTATGGCTTAAGAGTTCCTAATTGTGTTTAATGTGGTTGTTCTCTTTTATCATCTATCTTGATTTCTGTTTTTTGTGTGTATTTCCTGTTTTAAAGATGGCAGTAAGCGGTGCAAACCTGCACAACGTCTTTATGCTGCTCACGCTGGAACCCCACCTTGCCAGGAACCCATACTTGGTGCTTCATGTGCGCAGGAACCATTTAGTTAGTGACACATTACGTGAGCTCACCATGTACTCCGATGTGGATCTCAAGAAACCGCTTAAGGTTAGAGTAACAGCCAATAATCTGAAAGTCTGACAAAAGAACACTCTTCCTGTTTCCACAAACCTTGACCTCTCCCTTCCCTCAGGTGATCTTCGATGGCGAGGAGGCCGTAGACGCAGGCGGAGTAACGAAAGAGTTCTTCCTGCTGCTGTTGAAGGAGCTAATGGATCCTGTTTATGGGATGTTCACACATTACAATGAGTCAAACCTGCTCTGGTTCTCAGACAAAGTAAGTCACTCTGCAGAACAACACTACACTCATATGACCAGACTGTACAGAGAATAACTCAAAGTTTTTTTAAGATTTCAATTCTTTAATTTACTTTATGCAAGTCAGTTTGTTTACGTTTAATTTAATAGTATCATTTTACGAGTAGTTAAAAGATGCTAACATCTTGTTCATGTTAACTGTAATGTGTTGTTACTCTACTGAATAGTGCGGATCTTTTTCGGATCAGTCCTTACGGTTCCATGATCTGCAGATGAAAAAATATCATCATGATGTAAGATAAAGTAACAGCGGATGATTCCCTCTGCATAGTCATCATGAGAAGTAAACAGTGTTTAAATAGCGCCCTGGAGACGTGCTGTACAAATGTAAAATATTTTACGAGCGTTTTTTGTGTGGCCCTTAACGGTGAGATTTTAGCAGTCTACTTTCCTCCTCTAACTGTGTCTACATGTATCATGCATCAGAGGAATGCTTTATTATGACAACAGTAAGTAGCTGAACGATATCTCGTAGTCTGCTGTAGTCTATAGCTGTGACTTAGCTTCACAAACTCTGTGACAGAGCGCTGTGTTTGGCCAAAATGACGACGATATAGTCTCCAAATGTTTTGTCTAACTCAGACAGAAGCAGCCTCTTCAAAGATACGCACACATCTGCTTAATGAACAGTGTGTTTATGCTACTTATTCAACAAACCTGTTTTTGTAGATTACAGGGAATGTGTTATTCACACAAACATTTCTGTTTTCTATTTGTAAAAATTGATTTCCTTTTTTCCAGGTTTACAAACTCTGTTATCTGTCATAAGTGCTCCGGCTGTATTTTTAAGCTTCAGCTGTGTTTTCTAGGACACATGGTTGTTCCTGCTATCACACAAAGTGAAGTGTCCGTGGCAACATCGAGGTTTACAAAGCATAGACCTTTTATAATGGAAACATGTCCCTGAATTTCAAGAACAGTGATCCTCTAAAGTCACTGTGACTCCTTTGGTCACCCTCTATCTCTGCAGTGTCAGACATCTTTTCAACTAGCTCTTGTTTATTAAAGAGACTTGTAAGATCTAAAAATCACATGAACTCAGACCTTATGGAAGGATAGATTTAAATGTCCAGATACAAAATAGAAATATTGATTTTGAGCTCAAGAGGTCAACCAGAGAATAAACAGATGGATAGGAAGTTAAAATGAACATCACTGTTATTGATCAATGTTTCTAATATGTTATAAAGTCGACCAAAAGGTCAAGAAAACTGAAATAAGGTGTTAGTACAAGAACCAAAAACTCTTCTTTTGTAAAGTTCTCCATAACTTTCTTATAAAACAGGAGTTGGTTTCTTGTGATGAAGTCTCTTTATCTCCACTAGTTGGGTTTTGTCCTCTCAAAAAAAAAGTAATAACACATATTTTTAACATAAACAGTAATCTTAGTAAAATAAGATGTTATTCTAGTAAAAAAAATGTAACCGGTAATCCCAAAATAACCGCATGTAAGAAATGATTGCACACCCTGCTGTTCTCAGCTTCTTATAAATGGTATTAAATGACATTTATTTTCTCATGCTCACTACACCTAGTTTATTTTAACATCTGGATTCAACGTGTGACAAGTGTTTCAGTTATCCAGCTCCAGGGATTAATGGTGGGGTAGATGAGTCTCTGTTTGAATGATAAATGTTGAGAATATATCAAACTGATGTTGAGTCATCTCTAGAGTTTTCTTGTGAACTTGGGACGACACAACACTTGTAAAGCTAGATGTTAAAAACGTAGAAGTATTATTCATGGACAGATTATCTTGACCACAATCCTTGGACACAAACTCACCATGGCGCCTTACCTACACATGCAAATATTACACTTTGTGTGCCCCACCACCCTTGACTGTCCCTTCCCTGAAAAACCACTTAAAGAAGTCTTAGAATTTATAGTCCAATATTTTGGGCCCTGGGCACTTGCCAGCTCTGCCCATGTGGTGATCCGCCTGTGGTATTATTAACAGCATCAGTCTGATCATTTCTTTTCTCATGTGTGTTTTCAGTGTTTTGTTGAGCAGAACTGGTTTCACTTAATCGGGATCATCTGCGGTCTGGCCATCTATAACTCCACAGTGGTGGACCTGCACTTCCCCCTGGCTCTCTACAAGAAGCTGCTCGACGTGTCAACAACGCTGGAGGACTTCACGGAGCTCTCGCCCACCGAGGCCAGGTATCCCAGAAGTAGAGGCCAGGAAGTAACATCACGATACAATACATTTAGATTAGGCAGCAGCTTTGTTTTATTGTCGGGAGACGGTCATCGTTTTTTGAGGAATGTTAAAATCAGTTTACCTACAAATGTAATGGAATAGTGTAAAACTCAAAAAGTGCTTTGCAAAAAACACACAAAGAAGAATTGGAGTTTGTGGAGAGGTCATAACAGTGTCATCGCTTACATAACCTGCGTGTTTTTGTGTTAGTAGAAATCAAATCAACTGCCGCTGGGGAATCCTGCTGCCCTGATTTAGAGTAGAAGAGTCAGCACTTCCTTTGTGCATCATTGTTTCCAGTTTACTATTGATTTTAAGATTAGACCGCTGAAAGCTACAAGTGATCAGTGCATGGTGTTTATTTAAGAGAGAACACAACCACAAAGGACCTAATGTCCATGTCAGTGTATGTTTAATGCTCTTTTCTAACAGTGTTTCAGTCTGACTGACTGGATCAGCACAGTGACTATTAATAAAGATAATGTAGATTATAAAGTGTATCTTTTAAAATGATAAAGATTACGTTTAATGTATTGGCTTGATTGAGATGACATGCATTTGTATTGTCTCTTAGTATTTTAAAAATACCAACAGCGAATGACCTCAAACTATAAAGTGATTGTATTTGATCCTCTTTCTATGTTCCCTGTGTTTTGATGGTGAATCTGACACTCCCTCTGAGTCATTTCCCATGCTTACAAATATGTTTCCGTCTTACTTTCAATCCGACAGACAGCTTTGGGTGTTCCCTACTATATTTGTTTGATCCATGCAGCTGTCAGGCACAGCTGATCCCTGGTTTCAATTTAAAAGTCAAACAGGGACAGATGAAATCCTGTGATGACGGGTGTTTACTATAAATTGTCTGAAGAGGTCGACTCTACTGAGCTATGATCACACTGATATAGTAGTATAACATGATCGTAACATGCATGACGCAGCTGTTTTGAAATGTACGTCATGTCTTTACTCTGTTGCATATTTACTGAATGATGGTGATTTTGGTCCCCATTTAGATGATGACTGTGTTTTCCCTTTGCTCACATTCATGAAATCTTAATGTTGGTCCATCTGTTAAATTTCATCAGGAGTCTACAGCAACTTCTAGACTATGAAGGAGGCGATGTGGAGGAGGTGTTTCTTCTTAACTTTGCTGTAAGTGCAGCAATTTCATCTGTTACTCACATTGATTACAAGTTTAGAAAATAAGGTCAGAGTTTTTTTCAAAGTTAATTTTGTTTGACATTAAGAAACAAATCTCATCTCTGATCTTCATGCATCGTTTTAACTGTAAACTGTTTCATTCGTTTCACTCCTGCAATGTTAAAAGGTGTACCAAACTCCAGCTTAGACTACTTGTTGTGCACACTTTGTGTTCAGATCACCAGGGAGAACTACGGGATGACAGAAGTCAAGGAGCTGGTACCTGGAGGAGAGAGCATCAGTGTGGACAGAAACAACAGGTAAGACTGCGCAGCAGATCAAATGTCAAATCTTCAAAGATTACATCTGAAATTCATCAGCTCTCCATCTCTAAATGACCTTGTTCTAGGTTTTTAAAGCTTTCACTGTGTTTTATTTAAAGGTCAACAGATGATTCTGTGTTTTTCTCATTTATTTTTTTTCCAGCTCTGAGATTATCGTGTGCACACACAGCTGGCAGCTCACTTCCCATTGTTCCAAGTGAAGGTCACATTCATTTTGGAAACACATTAAAAAAAAAGAAAAAAAAAAAAAGATTTTGTTATGTTTTGCGTCATTCAGCGTGTGTTTTTTCCGGCACTGAAAGACCCTGTTTCTTCAGCTCGTCCTTGAGCCAGTGGCATTGATTACAGTGATAGTAGGGGAGACAGTGGAGGGTGGGTGGTGGGTGTGGTGGTGTCAGCATGTCTGGCTGCTTGAGCTGAGCAGATGGCAAGGCCTGCAAGTAGTTCCTGCAAAAATCCCCTCAATATTTACTTACTAAGATGGTACCAGGCGCCTTTCAAAGGCACAGAGTAGTGGGCAGGAGGTTAGACCTGGTTGAGGGCGTTGGGGAAGGCAGGAGATGTTTTTGTTGTTATTTTTTAAGCGAGCTACAGTATTTTGAATTTGATGCAGGCTGCAACTGGGAGCCAGTGTAAGGACATTAACGGTGCAGTGACATGTATTGTTTTGGTTTGGTTGATGACCATGCTGCTGTGTTCTCGATCACCTGTCTAGGTTTGAGTGTACATGCAGGGAGACCTGCCAATAAGGAGTTGCAGTAGTCAATTTGTGACATTAAGAAGAGCCTTTGACAAGTTGGGTAGCAGGCTCTGGCAGGTAGGGTCTGATCTATCTGATGTTTTACAAGCCACGTGAATGAACCTGTGATTTACATGTTATCTTTGAGAAATGATTTGGTCTAAATTGTATTTCCTGCCAGGGTCAGAGTTCATAATTAAACTAAAGCTGCACATCTTTTACATAATGTCATTTCACATGTTTTAACACCTCACTGATGTAAAGTGGTGTTTCTATAAAATAAAGAATAAATACTAATAGCTATCACGCTATTTTTATGGCTTTAGCATTATAACTATTGAAAATATTTTTGTATCAATCAATTTATCAATCTTAATTTGTATAGCGTCAACTCATAACAAGTGTTATCTCGAGACACTTTACAAAAAGCAGCTAAACCTTACTCTTTGTCTGTTAACATTACGAAAGAGCAGGTAAAAAGACCGTTCTCATTGTTATGTTACAAAAAGCAGGTAAAAGACCTTACTTATTGCTATATTACAAATACCCGTCTTAATCCATCATGAGCACTTTAGCAAAGCAGCAAAAGTTACAGTGGTAAGAAAAAAACGTCCTTTCAGCGGCAGAAATCTTCAGCAGGATCCGAGGCTCATGACGAAACAGCCCTCACAGCCAAGACTACGCCGGGCTTGAAAGAGGGATAGGGGAGATGAGATAAGATGTGTTTTTTTTTTTTTTTTCACCGTTTTAATCTACCTGAGCAACTTCCGAAGTGAGACGTCACTGAGTTATAAACAAGCTCAGGTCAGGCTGGATGGAGAGGTCGTTGATGAAAAACACAATGGAGAAGGCAGAGAGTGTTTACAGCCCCATCGTCGTGTCTTAATTGATTATTTCCTGGTAAACTGATGTGTCAGCTGCTTTGGAGAACAAATCAATGATCTGAATGTTTACTCAACCTGCATGTTTGTGTGTTTCAGGAAGGAGTTTGTCGAGGCCTACCTGCGCTACGTGTTCACAGACTCGGTGAGCGAGCAGTACTCGGCCTTCTCCTCCGGCTTCCTGAAAGTGTGTGGGGGGGAAATCCTGTTGCTGTTCCAGCCGTCTGAGCTGATGGCCATGGTGGTCGGCAACAACAACTACAACTGGGAGGAGCTGGAGAAGGTCAGTGTGGTCAGATAAATTGATCTGTGCCTGTGGTGTTTTTAGTAAAAGCAAAGAACACAACACTTACTGAGTTACTGCAAATGTCTGTGCCAAAACGTCTTCTTATTAATAATTCAGCATGAAATAACAATAGAATAAGTCTGATCTACACAGGACATATTTGAACGGATGCATCGTAGGCATTGTTTATATCTTCATTGAGCTGCATTGTTGGTTTGGAGGACAGAAGCTTTTCTGTGTGGAGTTTACATGATCTTTCAGATTACTCCAGCTTCCTCCTTCAGTCCAAAGACGTGCCCGTTAGATTAGTTGGAGACTCTAAAATGGCCGTAGGTTTGAGTGTGAATGTTGGATGGATGGATTTCTAAAAGGAATACATAAAATCCTGAATTAGATATCAATTATTACAATCATTTACTCGTTTTAACACCGAGAGTGCTGGTTCAACTACTACGTAAATCTGTTGTCCCTGGTTTTCACATATTCATCTGGTGATATCAGCTCTCATGTGCAGATGTCCCTGTTGTGCAGATTACATTCTATAATTCGGATAAGAGTTGGGGCTTTTGTGTAAGGCTAAAGCTGTCACAGAAATCAAAGCTGATTTTTTTTTGAGATATGTTTATATATGTTATGTAGAACGTAGACAAAAATTAAAGAAGCATCTAAGGAATCTGTGTAACTTAAGTTTCAGATTGGCTGTTAAAGAGTGATGATCAAACTGTGAAAAACGTTTCATCATGTCTCTCCTTTTTGCAGAATGCCGTTTACAAAGGGGAATACACAGCCACTCATCCAACAGTCAGATTGTTTTGGGAGGTTTTCCACGAGTTCCCTCTGGAAAAGAAGAAGCAGTTCTTATGTAAGCATTGAATAACCTCGTGTCAGCTTGATTCTCACGCTCTGACCCTCACACGTCTCTTAAATACTTCAGTAAAAAGTGCTGGATGTTCCTGTGTGAGACCTCTGTGTTTACATGTGTGCAGTGTTCCTGACCGGCAGCGACCGTATCCCCATCCACGGCATGGAGAGCCTGCGTATCGTCATCCAGTCCACCACAGCTGAGGAGCACTACCTTCCGGTGGCCCACACATGCTACAACCTGCTTGACATGCCCCGCTATCAGACCAAAGACATCCTGTGTCGCCGCCTCACCCAGGCCGTTGAGCAATATGAGGGCTTCAGCCTTGTCTGAGGAGGGAGAGGGGGTGGGGTGGGGGGGGGGGACTGCAGCGGTTTTAATGCACTTTAACAGCAATACACCACCATGTCAGTGTGAACAGAGTGAAAGAGGGGAAGGCTGCTCTCTTGCTATGCTCTTACAGGATTGTTAAGCATCTTGAATCTGAAAGGTCTATCGTTGAAAATGCAGAGTCTAATTGTTTTTTATTGTATTGGGCTAAGTTTCATAACCTCTAGAACATTTGCAAGATCTTAAAAAGTCTTATGTTTGAGTATTTGTTTGATGTTAATTACTGTTTTACAGAAGAATGACGACCTGGGATTATAATTATTGTTGGGACTTAAATCAAAAGGCTGAGCAACTCGGGGTCTGGGTCTTTGCTTACTTTTTTTTTTGTCTTCTCTTTTTTTTTCTTTGTTTTAGACAGCTGTGTATTTTATATTCAACTCCTTAAATTCTATTTTTCACTGTCAAAGAATTCTGTTGTTACCTCGAGACAATATATAATTTTTGTTACTGTTAATTTATCAAATAGAGTGGTTATATTTTGACAAATAATAATGTGTATATGTTTGTAAATAGCACTTTGAATATAATCTTGAGGAGTGTTTGTCCTGCTGATCCTTTTAAATCTGGACACCAGCATGTCCGCCACCCGACTTACAGGACAATGGAGGAGAACGAGGCCGAGGTGTGCAGGATAAAATGTGGTGATTATGATTTGCAATCCCTATTTCCTTTTGCGTTGTGGATAACACAGAAGCTGACTTTGTCTTGAATCTGCATTCAACAGTGTTGCCTTCTACAGCATAACCTACATGAAGAGCTGACTTTCAAAGTTGAAGTGGTTGTTGTTTGTGTGCATGTTTTTCAATGAAAGCAAAAAAAAATGTGACTCCTTGAAATTTTATCATTCTGGGACATAGTGTTACCTTTATTAGCTTTCTTGCGGAGAGTTAGCTAGATGAGAAAATTGGCCCCAATTTAACGTGTGTTAGTTAAATATAATAAGCATCCAACTAGCTTAGCTTCATGGCTGAAAAGTGGTGAAAACAGCTCGGCACACATACAGACAGGGACGTGTCCAGACTTGACTGGGGTGGCCCACCTGGGGCACTGGCTTATGCAGGGGTCGCATGAAGTGTGTGGCCATTTTTTTTTTTTACCCTTTCTATCCCCACTAATGTACTGATAAGTAACACAATTTGGCAACATAATTCTCCTTAGCTTGGTCTTTAGGGACTCAAAAACAAAAATGTATGCGCAAAGAACATTGAATTGGGCTGTCTTTACTGTTGAAAACAGCCAGAATAGTTTAACTTAAGTCCCGCCTCCTGATTAGGCAAATTGCCAATCATATATTTGGATTTTGGGGTGACAGCTGGGACCCTCTGGACATGGCCCTGCATACAGAGTTGGTTTTTATCTTCACAAAGAGTGTAAAAATGATAGATATACAGGTCACAATAGAAAGTTTAACAAGTCTGACTTTTGTTAGCTGGCCAGTTTTCAGTTAACTGCTCAGAGATAAAGTGCCATGGCAACCTGAGACACATCATATACTTTGTTATTGGATTGACCTTTCAGATTTCAGCCTTACATTTAACAGTTGACAGATTTCAACAGTTTGAAAGTCCAAACTCGCTGTTTTCAGTCTTTTAGCCAAGCTAAGCTAACTGGCTGCTTGCTCTAGCTTCATATTTAGCTAGCTAAGAGCACTAACTAACAAGCAGCTAACAAACATGTCCCAAGTTGTCCTTTAAAGCTGAATATATACCGTCATCATTTATATGAATAATTATAACAAGTGTAATAAGATTTTTCCCGATCCGCTGATATATAAATTTGGACATTTGTGGCAGGACGATATATGTGTATACCACACAGTGTGGGCAGATGACCTGTTAATAACTACAGATATATATCGACTGTAGCCTATCTATCATATCACTTGTTCCAAAACGTGTTTAAATTCAAGTTATTTATTCCTACAGTGAAACCCTCTAATCCAGAATGATGTGTAATTAGGTTGTGCATCTGCGTGAAATGGTCTTGCATATATTTATATTTTTGTATATTTCATACATGCCAGATATATCAGACAGTAAACATGGTCACACTGACACAAACATTTAGCAATAACCTGAAACAGCCCAGTATTGTAGTGACTCTGGGTTAATCTTCTAAAGGTCTGAAACACTGGACTCTTCTGAGACGTTTCTTAGGATGGTTTTGCCCTCTTGCTTAAGCTCTATACTGCATGCACACACAGGTTCTACATGTTTGATGGAAACAGATTTTTTTCCTGCAGAGTTTAGTACTATGCAAAGGTTTGTGCTGCCCTTGACTTTTTTTGCACCTTTAAATGTGCTTCAGAAAATGGGATTTTCGCATATTTGTCTGAAATATACACAAAGCTTTCTGTTCCAGACAACTTTTTAAATAAAAGAAGACATTGTAAAACACTTCCATTGTGTTTCATAGTTAAATACAATGTAGAAACTAGGATCTCTGATGTGGAACTGATGTCAATATATAGTCTGTTCTACGACATTGGGCTGACATGAAATCCTGATGTTGAATTAACTTTGGATCCTGATGAAGTACTTACAACAAATCCTGTTGTTGAACTTCAGATTCCAACACTGGGCTGACATCAAATCCCAACATTGAATTGACGTGAGATACAGATGTTGAGCTGACATCAAATCCCAACATTGAATTGACGTGAGATACAGATGTTGAGCTGACATCAAATCCCAACATTGAATTGACGTGAGATACAGATGTTGAGCTGACATCAAATCCTGCTGTTAAACTTACTTCAGATCCCGACCTTTGGCTGAAGTAAATTCTCAACATTAATCCTTTATGTTTGGTTGACTTCAGAACCTCAGTGTAGTTCATAATATGCATGTTTTGTTCAAGATGCTGATGAAGATGGTGTGTAAGAAAAAAGGCTAGGCTAATTCAACAGAGGGTCCTAACTGCATTAAAGGTCAACAAAGGTCTGCTAGCTCTGTTTAACTTTTCATGTGCTTTCTCTATGTAGAGAATTGTGTCCAACCCAAGGAACTGAGGTACGCTTTTTATGTCTTCAAGAAGCTCTGGGGTCATTGCAAGCCGTCCTCAACATGTTATGAAATGGCTCCTTGCAAGCTAGAATAGACAAACATCCACATTCACACTACTGACTTTACAGACGGACACGCTCCATGTTTGCAATTAAACTTTCAATTGTTTACCTTTTTACAATAAATAATAATTATTTGCTGTCAACTAACTCGTGTCCTTCCCATATTTGTCCCTTGAGCCAGGGTTCCCACAGTTTTTTTTGATGACTGTTTGAATCACGTCTCATGCTATGTTTCAGAGTTTCCAGTTTCTCGGTGTGTTAAAATATTTTGGTTATCGTTGGTTTGTAATATATAAGATGTTTTTTCTGATCAAACTATAGTTTAGTTGATTAAAACAATGAACTCATCAATAACTGATACCTTACTTTCAGCTCAAAGTAACATTGTACTTTGCACATGATGATGCGTTATTTAAGTGAAACAAAAGAAAATCCACTCAGGCCAAAAAGTCAGTAAAAATATGATTTCATTCAGAATATATACAAAATACAAATACACTTTATGTACTAAAATGTACACACTCAAAATTCATTAAGCCTTGCCAGTGTTTACATTCAGTAAAAACAAAATACACACTGATAATCATCCATTTTGGAGAAAGAAAAGGAAACATGTAGTCGCTCACAGAAATGTAAACATACATATTGATCCGTATATGCAAAAGGAAGAAAGGAAACAAAAAGAGGCTTCTGGAGAGGACGAGGAAGAGTCTCAGAAGGTTTCTGTCATCCAGAGTCATCTCTCAAACAGACTAGTCAGTGTTTTCAAATCAGTGAGCACAAACATAGCAGTGATTCTGATGAGACATAGCTTATTTGACAGGAAGTTGATTTGGGGGGAAAAAGAAGCACATCAACGCATCAAATATACAGTTAATGGCTCAGAAAGTACCAGTGATGTGGAAAAGAAGCTGAATGAAAATGATTTGAGAATATTTTGGTTTGCTGTTTGTACTCTTGAGTCTTTGGGTTGTGTCTAAATAAGAAAACCACTTCTTTAAGTGAGAAAATACTCAGTGAACTTCTACAGAAGCAATATTAGAATATTTCAGACACGTGATGATGGTCAGAAGTGAAATAAAGAAATCTACTCTTTTAGTCAATACTGTTAAGCTGATTGAAGTCATACATAGTAACATTTCCCTTAACAAAATATACATCAATCTTGATCACTTTATTATCCTTCTTGAGGAATATCCATAATTTTATAGCTATTGTTTTTATTTACAAGCTATTTGTTTTAAGACTTCTACAGGTGTGAGAAAATAAGTCTTCTCTTCTGATAGTAACATTCAAAAAGGATGGAAATAAATTAGAAGCAGGAAAATCGTGACGCAGGTTAATTGTGCGAGTCTTTGCGCGAGTCTGGAGAGAATAAAGGTCATCTTATGAAGGTGAGGTTCAGCTGGCATAGATGAAGCAGAACAGAAGTTTTCTCCATCAGGGTGAGATGTGTGTTTGTGTTTGTGTGTGTGTGTGTGTTTGTGCATCTGCAGACTCAGCATCAGTCCTTTGAAAACCTTCTTTTAATTTGTTCTCAGATGAGCTTAGTAGAGTCTCTTTTGCTTATGAGAACTTCCAGCAGCCGCAGTTTGGCTTTAACGTGCTTGTATTCGCTGTACTCCACTGCCAGCGGTGAGCGATCCTCCTTCTGCACGTTTCTATGGAAACAAGACAACAAACATGAAGAAACCACTGTGGTTCAGCAGTGGAAAACCAATTGAATGTGCCTCTATCTGTTACTCTTATGTAATCTGTAGTTTACCTTCCATTCTGTCTGAAGAACTGGTCCTCGAACTCTTTCAGGTTCTTTCGGATCCTCTTCTTCTCCTCTCTGGTCTCCTGGAGCTGCTCCACAAGTTCCTCCCTGTAGGAGAAAGAGTCCAACATTTAAAATACCTCATGTTAGAGCCATTCAATTCGTTTTTGGTTATTATGTTCTTGTGAAGGATGTACTCTTTTAACAAGGTATAAAGTGCTGATAAAAAAATCATGGGACAAATGGGGAAACAAGTATTTCATTCTAATGCTGTGAGTGTTACTCAAATGGCTTCGTGAGGTGGAGGCAGTTCCAATATTTTATATGAACTTAGTGGCTCCTAACCTGGGGTTCTGGCCCTTTCAGGGGCTCACACGATAAATGAGGGGTCGTAAAATGGTGAAATTCATAGGACAAAAAAAAAAACAGACAGGTACATAATGCTGGTGCCAAACATAAAGGATTAATGTCGAGCTTGTTGGGAATTTTCTCTGAAAAAGTCCAAACAAGGTAGGTCTAGTAGTTCTTGGGCTTTGAATGCTGTGTATTCAGCTTAATGACATTTAAAGCATAACAAAGAGCAACACAACACACTGCTTTTATATAAGGGGTCTCCAAGTTAAAAAGTTCAGGAGCCACTGGTTAAGAGTTTGAGTTTTTTTGTAGAATAGTTCAAGTTTGTCATTGCTTTGACTGTAAATCTTAATATGAAAGAAACCACCAGTATTCACCTATAACAGTGCTCTAGTACCTCCAAATTGTGCTTTAAAACAGCGTTAGATTGGGTGTATGAAGTTTTCTCCTTTGTTGGTGACTTACGTTGTGGCGGCATGCAAGTTGGACAGCCTCATGTCTGTTGTGTTCTTAGAGGGCGAGAGGTCGTCCACGGGTGAAATGAAACCATCCACTTCCTCATCCACGTGGTCAAGGAAGCTGAGCACGCTGATGTCAGGCCGCACGGTCACAGTGAACTGGGTCTTTGTTTCTCCGTCATCCTCCGAGCCATCCTCCTCCTCCTGCAGGTGAATGAAGATGTTTAAAAACTTTGTCTGTATGGCACTTTTTTTGTTAAAAAAGAAAAGAAAATGCTGTCGGCCAGCCTCAACGCTGAAACACCGCTGCGTGAGATGATTGTGCAGTGTTAGTCACAAATCATGCTGTTACAGCAGCAAGACTCACATCCACGTCCCCGTTTGTGATTCATGTGTTCACCCATTAGTATGAATAGATGGAGTTAATGAAGGAGGTCCACTAGAAGTAACACACAGGCCACTGAGAAACACCTTTATGTAAGTCAAGAACCAAACAAACACTAAATATCCAGCAAAATGCTCAGAGCCAAAACCATGAAGTCTTCTTCTTTTTTTCTAACTACACCTTATAGATCATTCTGGTTTATTACTACTAACGTTAAGGTCGACATCATTTAAGATAAAAGTGAAAAACCCTGATTTTGATCCCTGTCTTCAAAAGCATTTTCATATTAAAGTCAAAAGATGTCTAATTCTATGATTAAAAAAAATGAATTATTCTCTAATAAATGAAATGGACTGCTCACACGTCCGGATCAAAAATCATCACACATAAAAACAAATCCAGGCCGCTACTGATTTTTCACCTCTATAGGTGCAGGGTGCTAGGAAACAGGCAACCAGCCAATCAAAAGGCAGCAATCGGGTTTATTGGATTGGGTAAATGGGGGAAAGGGGAAGGTGGGATTGGGAGCTGTCAAATGATTTTTTCCAAGCGGCATCAGCTGCTCTTCACCTTGATATCATCGAAGAACAGTGCAGTTTCGCCCTCGATAATGGGCTGAAGGAGGGGACCTCTGCGCTTGCTGGAGGGAGAACCCTGTGGTAACGGTCAAGAAGGAGGCGTTAACCACGCTTACACCCTCTACGCTGATGTTTACAGCAAGACCCAGAGAAAAGACCAGAGTGTCTTCAAATATCACCCAGACTCAACCTTTATGTTCCCGCCTTTAATAGCAGATAAGATACTGACAGTATATGTGACAATATCCAGAAAACCGAACCCTTTTATATACATGAACAAAGTTTTATATCTGATTATCATTATTATATAGATAGAGGGCATTTTCAGACGCAAATAACCGAGCAGCTGCTTATTTTATAAAATATAAGATAAAAAAGTTGGGGCTTGTTACAGACTGGAATGCAGAATAAAAAAAGTCCATCACTGATCTGTTGATGCCTATCTGCCCTCACCATTCTGTTTGATTCCACTAAAATACTGCACTATCATTTTTATTGCATAAAGAACCGCAATATCCATATTGGGGATTAGAGCTGCATTATATAAGATATATTATCCACAATGCAGATCATTGATTATATAATGGAAATGTTATTGAATAGAACGAGAACGAGAGGATGCACAAACATGTATCTATAGGGAGAATTATTTAAGCACTTATTAATGCAACAATTATAATACTGATTAAAGTGCTTCTTTTGTTCTACTGTTCATAATAACGGTGACTACATGTTGACTTCCTATATCTTAGCTCTCTGACCCTCTGCTGCACTCAGCATGTCATTTCCTGTGAACTCAATCTGCCACCTGTGAGCTCCCTCCTGTCCCGGGGACGGACTGAGCTGCTAAAGCTGGACTTAAGAGCCCTGAAAGGTAGATCACACGTCTGTGGCACGTCTGCCACCACGCTGGTTCCCACGGCAGGTGCTAAAGCCAACATGAGCTGAGGATTAAGTGTATGCACCAATCTGACAATGTGCTGATCTTTGCCACACGCTCGTCAAAGAGCAAGGGGACAGAGGGGGCAGCTGTGGAGGAAGATGTAAACAAAAGGTTAAGCTGAGATACTTACAATGACAGGGATGGTGGAGGCTCTGATCAGAATCTGCTTCACCAGGCGATATCTGTCGTACAGGGGCTTCATGATTTGCCTTTCACTCTTGGTGACCTAAAATTGGAGGTTAAAAAAAATGCAGCTTGTCAGCAGTGTAAGCTTCTTACTGCCCTCCTCTGCCTCCCTGCAGGCTGGCTAACTACAGCGCTGACATAAACACAAAATGACAGCTAACCCAGTCTGGCTAACAACGTGAAGGTCATTAACCACAAACTACAGAGGAACGCAGTGTGACAAGGGATGGAGGTGACAGAAGGGTCTACTACACTTCCTGATACATGAAAATCATAGGACGGTAATTACTCGTCATGTGAGTCTGACTTAAAAAAAAAACATGGTGCGTCAGTTTATTAAAGACAACATTTTCTGCAGAGTTGTCTTTTAAACTCTGTGTTGACAAACATCCTGTTTTCTTAAAAAGACAGTTTTAACAGTCAAGAAAAAAAACCACATCCTTTCCAGACACACACACACACACTGCACCCTGAGTCATTATTCATCCTTCACTTGAAATCTGGGTCACAATCGTGTGCTAACAGGATTTGCTCTGTTTGGGTCAACATGGGGGTTGGATCTTTTATTTTATTTTTTTAGGGGGAGGCTTCAGGTATCTGTGGAGTTCATTTGAAAGAGGAGGAGGAAGACTTACCGGGCGACCGTGTATGCTCTCGTAGTACAGAAGAGCTTTCTGCAGGGCGACTTTCTCAGCACCGATCTGCTCCCGTGTCATATCCTGGCAGGGAAAACAGAAAATGAGTCAAAATATTCAGGAACGACTCTTCTGTGATTCAACACGGTTAATCCTTGATATTGCTTCGCCATAATAAATAAAAGATTTTCCGCCTGCTTTAAAATTGATGTAGTTTATCAAACACGTAACTTCCATTTGCTGGATTTATGTGTCTATGTTTAATTTATTCATCTTTGCGCATGTGAGGCGTGCTCCCGGTCGTACCTTGATGTCCTCGGGTCGGTTCACCTCCTCCCTCTTCTCCTGCAGCTTCTTCTGAATGGTCTCCAAGCTGCTCTCCACCGGAGGCTTCGGCACTTTCTCCTGCTGTGGTTTCTTCTCCAGCTGAGAGCCGAAGCTTTTGGGCAGAGTGTTGCTGCGCTGGCGGGTGAGAGGCGGCAGGTCCTCCTCAGACTTAATCAGCTTTTGTTCTGAAAGATGGGGAAATAAATGATGAAATGACTTTTATTGACTTGTTACAGAGAGCTTATCAGTTGTGTTGTAGGTGTGTTGTAAATGTCTTTGTCTTACCTTTTAGCTCTTTACGAAGCTTGGCCAGTTCGTTCACCCACCTCAGCACCTCTGGGTTTCCAGCTTTATCACTGTGGGAGGGCTGGAGGGGGAAAGCCATGAATTAAAACAGATTTTCTTTTTTTGCAGAGACAGTTCATTACTTTTTTATGGTTATGAAAAATGTCTTTTTGAGGCCGGATATGTTTTGATAATTTGATAAAGTGAACCTACCCTGTATTTGCGGTCCTCTTCAAACCTCTCCTCAAACCTGTGGATCTTCTTCTTCAGTATATGGATCCTCTTTGTGAGCTGGGCTGACGTCAGCTCCTCTTTCTCATCGTCACAGGAGCCAAGAGACGAACTCCTTCTGCGACTGTGAGGAAAACACAACGTTCTTAAGATCTGAGAGAAATCCTTCCTTACTCCCTCTACAAACACACCCATGTTGAGCCCTTACCTGACAAACGAGTGTGAGTTAGGTGGCGATGGAGGCACTTCAGTGTCATCCAGGTACTGCTGGCACTGTCCGTAGGCGTAGAAGCGAGGGGACAGCATTGGGTCACTATCCTCCTCCAGCAGCTGGCGGATGAGACGTCCTCCTGCGTGAGGGGACAGTCTGGCCTCCTCTCGGTCCATGTTCTCCCTCTGCAGTGAGTATGCAGGCACCGGTTCTGAAGAACAGTAAAGAAGAAAAAAAGCGTGGGTTTAAATGTGACACGCTGCTTGTTCTGCAGTCAAATAAAAGCTGTAAACAGGAGATGTGTAAATAAGGGACAGGTTTGTCAGGGGATCTTGTTTGGAAATGCTGTGCATGCTGGTCAGGGGACAAACACATCACATGCCTTTAGGACAGAAATAACAGAATCATCATGTCATCAGAGAGAGCTCTAAAGCTACAGAATAAACGGATAAAACAGTCTCATCTACAGGTGGAGCTTAACAGAATGTCGCTCTTAATCCAATAGGAAATCTGTATTGAATCAGAATCCTTTCATACCCTCTATCAGACCTTTATAGATTCTGTTTTTAACTAGATACAAATTACTTTAACTACTGATTCATTATCAGGTTTAGCTGATTTATTCTTCAGATTATTTTCTCAACAGTTGTTTGCACTGAAAAAGTAAAAAATAAAAAAAATCTCTTTGCACTCTCTCTTGCTGTGTTAATGTCAGTGGACATGATGAAGCTCGACAATCGCAGATGTTGTTCTAAAGCTTTGGGTAATACAACCCCCCCCCCCCCCCCCCACCTTCCTTTGTGTGTCCCCTGGTGGTTAAAGTCTCCACTCTGGCAACAATTATGTCTGGTGAAAAAAGCCATGCAGATACCCCTTACAATCCGTAAGCTATTAATAATGCCTGTCTCTCAATGGGATAATGTCAGGGCGCGACCCCTGCTGGGACATACAGTGATGGGAGTTTGCGTTTAAGTTTCCACTCTGCTTGGTGAGAGATAAACCAGTTCGCTGTGCCTTCCCAAGCACTTGAGAGAGAGGCTAGACAGAGGAACGGAAACTGTGTGAAAACATGACACGCAGCAAGAACAATCATGCCGATATCAGGGCAAGAGGGAGACAGGTAGCATCAGGTGTCAGGAGACTATAGAAATACTTTTTACAGAGAAGAGATGAAGGGAGTGAAAACAAGGTCTGAAGAAAACCAACTGTCCGTGTCAATATTCAAGGTGTCAGGAATCGCACGAGTAAATATCCACTCCCAGTCTTAAAGTGCAGATGAATATTTTGCTAAGCCATGGTGAGTTTGTGCGGACGAGAAGACACTTTGCTCAAATTCCAGCTCTTGTCCCAGAGGACCTCCTGAGCTTCTAGGTACGTGCAGTTTGTCAAATAGCCGCTCCCTGGCATGTTAGTGCTCGCTCACAGCAGCAGGTGAGCGTCTTCCTCACAGCTCTATTATCTCGCTCAGAGAGGCCGTGCGGTGTAGCCGGCCAGTAAGGCTCCATGGCATTTGAAATTAATCCCTTAAATCAACCACTCGCTGATGGTTCAGGATTAACTGGACTAATGAAACAAAAAAAACAAAAAAATGCCATTTTGCCATTTGGCTAAAGGTTGTTGTGTGTGCAACGCTTCGGCCACAATGTTCCAGATCATTCAAGCATGTTGCCATGCAGGGAAAAGGTCATTCACACAGCCTTTTCTTTTCTTCCTCTCTAACATGTTGTTAGCAGCACAGCAAGTCAGCACTGACAATGACCAAGCATTATACTTACCATCACAGAAACTTAGTAGAAAAATGCTTTTGAAATCAAGAAAGGGTGCGCTAAAGAAAGGAGTATCTATAAGAAGAAAAGAGGGGAGAAGAGAAGGGAAAAAAATGAAGGAACAGGGAAAGGGATATATCAAAAGAACAAGTATCTCCCTGAACTTTTATCAACTAATGAGACATCTCTTTCAACCATCAAGGCAGACACGCAAGGACACATCAGTGGTAAATATCCGGTCACCATGACAGGCGCTGGCACAAATTGTACTGGGACAAAGGTCTCGCACCACTGCCTAATGCCCTCATCCATCAACAAGCCTATTTGTCCAGTATAACACCTTCTGGACAGTATGCACACATCATCCTGACAGTGTCTACATCATTTATACAGCTTTATATGACTGCTTATTTATCTTGGATTATTTAGCCAGAACACAAACCCCTCAAAAAATAAAGTAGAGTTTAACTTTGAACAATACATTGACAGAAATGTTATCATCTGTACAAGCAGCCCTTCACGCTCTGATGTTTTCACCATCTCATGCACCGAAAGGAGATACTGTATGTATGAACCGCCTGTCACAGCCGATCACGCAGCCTCCCCGTGGCGTCCTCGCTGCCATGAGCTTAGTTATGGATTCAGGACAGAATGTACAGAGGAAGGTTTATGAAGAGGAAGGTCGCCGTGAAAAAAAAATATGGGCCAACAAAATGTATTTGTCTAGTTGTCTGCCATCTGGGTTGAAAATTCTCTCTCCCGAACAAACAGTACAAATACACCCTGTTACATCCTCCCTCAAGCAAGTAGTGTTTTAATTACAAGCACACAGAATCAGAGACAGCAACACTAACACATCACTTTTAACCCAGCAGGATTCTACTCAAGATTAAGATGCAGTGAATCAGTTAACATTAAGTACATTTTTTATTTTTATTTTTTGCACCTATATTGATCTTTTAACAGCACTATTTTTTTTCTTAGTGAACCTGCTGCACAATAACTCCCCTCAAAATTAAAATGATTTTTTTCTGATCTTTCCACAGACAAAAGCAACATTTGGTTGACTCTGCTAAATGACTTAAGTATTTGAAATGTCTTCACTCATGCAGCAAACCCTGCGCATCAACAATAACAAACTCTCAAGACCTTCTTTTGTTGTATCACATTTGGCCACAAGAGAGCTCCAAAAAACATGCAATAATCTGCTCATGCCCCGAGCCTGTTGAAGTTGACAGGTTTAAAGGCATGGAACGGTTTTACACCGACAGTCCCATTTAACAGGAAATGTGGTGTGGCTGATGAAAGTCAGGCCCAATGTTTGGAGTGGAACGTGCTGCGACAAGCCTTTCAACTGTACTTCACTGGAAGAAAGAACCTATTGGTTATCATTCCAGTATACAGCAGAGCAAAACATTCAGCTTTCACTGCTCAATGCAGAAGCCTCCACCCACCTCCGCTGTGTTGCAACATCATAACAAAACAATCACAGTGTCATTGCTGTGCACTATTTCCTTTCTAACTAAACGCCAGCCTTGCATAAACACACACCTCAATTATAAACTCAAAGGTCTAAAAGCAAACATGAGGGAAAGACACGTGAAACGTGCACCACTCGTGACTATATCTGCAAACACTGCATTCAAAATTACACCTGGTATTCCAGCATCAATGAAAAAAAACTGGCATTCTGTAATTGAGCTTGTGCAAAGCTGCAAATGAATACATGTCGAGAGATCCCCCCAACATCACTATTCCTGGAGTGACTGGGCAAACCGTGGCACTTATTAAATGGAGCACGAGTGTGACAATTTCAATCATGGTCCACAAACTATTTCAATCTTAGCCAAGAATTCTACAGCTGCTCGCCTGCTACACTGCTATCAACATTCAACCTGCCATTTAATAATTAATATTTACTGGGAATTGCAGCAGCAGCTGAGCCTGGGAAAATCCTGAGCCAGAAACTGCACAAGTAACTGATAAATCCTGGTCAAAACAAACTGTGTGCTCTTCATATGAAAGCAAAAGAGGAGCTCTTGACTTTACAAGCATACCTATTTTACATATTTTCTCTTGAGAGATTCACACAGCACTCAAGGTTCCCATGTGGTTTAATTCAACAGCACAAAACAACACACTATCTGCAGTGCTGCCTTATCTCATGAGCTTTGCAAACAAACATGTCTCCAGTGTGAGTTTCCCCTCCAGATATAGGTGGCTAGAGAACTTAAGAGGATCTTTTACTATTAAATCCTACAGGGGAAGCAGAAGGAGCTGCATCAGGAGGAGGAGGAGGAGGAGGAGGAGGAGGAAGCAGAAGGTGTGCAGCTGCTACCGAGACACCCATGTGCAGAGCTGGGCATAGGGGGAGTGTAATGTCTGGACATGTTTGAGTGAAAAAGTGTGTATTCCAGATAGTATAAAACCTATTAAAAATGAACAGTTCCATGTTAGAGTAAAATAAAAGTATTAAAAAAAAAAACAGAAGGCTGGCCTGTAGACTCACCTCCCCAGTTGTTTTCCTCAGTCAGTGCTGTCAGGTCCAGTCGGGGCACATCCTCACAGCTTGTCTTCTCGCAGTCCAGATCCGAGCCTCGCACCTCTCCGCTTACCCTCCCCATGTCACAAGTGATGGGCGACTCCTGAATCTTCATCCTAAGCGTCTGCACAACCATGAGAGAAAAGAAAAGAGCGCTCAATGACGTCGAGCAGCCCGTGAACACACTCTATAAGTTCGGCCACACACTCCCTCAGACTGGCCCTGCCCTAATAGAAGGGGGCTGCACCCTGCCCGCCATTGGCTGCCTCTGAGGCCAAAACATCCGCCCGTAAGCCATTGGCTGGAAGGGATAAGCTCCGCCTCGTCTTACACCCACTGGAATCCCTCACACCTCCCTTTCTCTTCCCCCTCCTTCTTCCCCTCTCTTGTTTTTTCTCTCACAGTAGTTCGGTTTGCTTTCTCTCCTTCCTGACATGCATATCTTCCCCACCCAAGCTCTGCTCTGGACTTGTTTGTTTCACAGCAGTAAGAGCAGAAGGGGGGGGGGGAGAGGGAGTGAGGCAAGGACAAGAAAAAAACACAGGCAGATTGTGAGCCAGCACACGTACGCTGACAGTGATTTTTTCTCCAACTATGTCTTACTGCAAACAAACACGTAGCTCACGGCAGAGATATCTCACAGACAGCTTTCTTTTTGAGCACTTAAATTCTTATTCTATATCCTTTTACTGATAATTAGCATCCACCATGCTTTACTCCTATCCCAAACTTTCTTGCAACTCCTCTCTGCTTTTCCATGATTAAAGCTGTGTAATGGAACACTGGTATAATGTAAATAATTTGGGGCAACAGCATACCTGGCTGGTCATTCATTTAGAGCGTGCCCCTGGATCACTTTAGTGCTAAGCCTGTGGGGTCCCATTACTGCTGTCTGGGCGTGGGACCAAGCTATTTTTAGGAGAAACAGATCAAGACACACTGCTACAAGACTTCATAAATGCCACAGACAGCTTACAAGAAGGGGTGCACTCGAATCTGGTTACAACAGACCCTTGTTTTTTTTTTTCTTCGTTTTTTTTTTTTTGTTCATCAGGCAGAGTTGTTTTTGTTGGCAGGTTTATGTGAGATTAGGGTGGAATAGCATAATTAGTCTCAGGTGTGTTTGTGTTTTTGTGCTGGAGAGAACTGCAGAAGGCCCAAAAAACAAGGACTTATCAAGTTGCTTCAGCTGCTGTACGTGTAATAAAGTTGATATGACGGCAAGTTCAGTAATATCACCTTCTAGACCCAACAAGCAAATCCGCTATCTGTCAAACACAGAAGTAACACGTCAAAATAAGGAACAAAAAATGACAAAAGCAAACATAAGGAACACATTTCTTGAGCACGTCAGTGTTCAGTCTGTAATTTTGCAAATACTATGAATACAAGCATTCAGTAATGTTCTCTGGATGATGAATTGGCTGGTTAAATATCTCACAAAACCAAAAATTTTCCCAGCAGACATTCTCACCTGTCATTCACGGAAAAGCACAGGTGTTCCTTATGACTGTATGCTAGTTCTGTTATTCTGCTCGCTTGGTGAGTCATGACAGAGTGACTGTGTGTCAGCATAAATAATACCAGGATCATGAAACTTAAGTAGCTGAATGACATTTGGACTTCATTTATTTTTTATTATTTCCACCCGTGCTTTACCTAAATGTCTTTATTGAGGAAGATGATATGCCCGCACACCACAACAAGTTTTTTATTCCATCACAATCAAAACGTTTTGACCAGAGGTCTTCTTCAGGTGGTAATTTTTTTTAATTTCACCTGAAGAGATCTCTGATTGTGATGAAATAAAAACTTTGTTGTGGCATTTGAGCAAGTGTGCAAGCATATCTTTTCCCTCAGTCTACTGTTTTTTGCACTTCCCTGCGTAATACTATCCCCTCTTTCTAAAATCCATTTGTTCAAAAGTGTTTGTTCTGAAGCAAAGTGCCAAGAAATGTTACATTTATTTTTAGAGATTTTGTGATGTCATTTATGATCTTTGAAGTATAGTGATGTATAGTGATGCATACAGTATCATTATGTACAATGACACTTGTTTTAAAGTCCCTTATATTCACCAGTGAGTCTTTGATCAAAGTAAACGTGTTCATAGTTAATTAGCAGTTTGTTTGTTCTTTGTTCTATACTTGTTTCTGTTAATTGCTCTACTTTGAGCGCTGTCTTGGTTAGTGAGAGCAGCACAGCTGATGCTAACATGCAATCAAAGAATGGACTCATTAGGCTTTATCAAGAAGGGTCTTCTGGGTAAATGTTATGTAATGTGAGGAGTCTCAGAGCCAAAGATGTTGATGAAGAAGAACATCTTAACAAACCATCGTGACATAATAGAAAAAAGCTCTGCTTTTGTTGTCAAATCCTTATAAATGCAAATGAGACATTAAAGGCAGTTTGATGAAGGACTTGCTGATTAGATTATGATGCTTTTTTTAACTGAGTTATTCTGCAATCAATAATAAGAATCATCAGAATCACTGCCATCAGGGATGACTGGAGAGGACATTGTTAACCCACTTCAAGATCCCCTGAGCAGAAACATTGGGGGATTAACAGAAGCACAGATGTTACTGTGATCCTGTTGCGTTCGCATTTAATTCAAATGTCTGTGCGCGCGCGCACACACACACACACACACACACACACACACACACACACACACACACACACACACACACACACACACACACACACACACACACACACACACACACACACACACACACACACACACACACACACACACACACACAAACTGCACTCTGTTCCCTGGAACATCAGTTCTGTCAAACACACTACCAACATGATTACATCATCATGTGAGGTCCAGCTGGTGTGTGAGAGAGAGAGATAGACAGAGCTACTGTGTGTGTGTGTGTGTGTGTGTGTGTGTGTGTGTGTGTGTGTGTGTGTGTGTGTGTGTGTGTGGATGGGGGGTTACATTAGACAATGATTAAGCTGTGTTTTGGGGGGCTTACAGACAGTGTACAAACAAACAATTTGGAATTTAAAGGGGATTTTGCTGAGCTTGCAAAGACAAGAATACAACCTTGAACACACACCAACACACACACGTCTGAAATGTTCTTTGCTCTCCCACACCATCTACGTGTTGTAAAGCACATTTACACAAGCGTGCACGTGCACACACACACACACACACACACACACGCACACACGCCACACACACTCACTCTATCACACACACAAACTACTATCATGAAAAAAAAAAGTCACTCATCATGTATCAAAGCCTACCCGGGGACTGTTGGAAGTTTGCCTCGGCACGCTACACATACACGTGTCCAGTACATTGGACACTGCTTCTGCAAGAGTCAGTGTTTCCCTGTACTCTTATATAAATATATGAACTTAACAAACACAATATACCTTCAGAATAAAAGTCTCATGAAGTATTTATGTATGCATTTGATTGACATGTTAGTGCTGTAGAAAACCATCATTTTCGAATATCAAATATCTACAGTTGTAGGTCACATGATGTGATCATGTGATGTTATCATGGAGGAGTCACATGCTATTGCTTTACTGAAACTGAAACTGAACTAAAAACACATGCCCATTGTACGTTGAGGTTTGCAATACATCCACACTTATATTCTGGCATTGTGAGTTAAAGACTTTCGACAAACAAACCTGTTAAAGGTCAGAAGTGTTAGGCCCTTGATTACCTTTTAACAACTCAGACTACTTCATACCCTGATTATTTTGTAATTGATCAACTTTTAGTTTAAAAAAAGTAAACAATGTGTCAAATGAGTCTAATGTGATGTCATATTGTTTAGCTTTATCAACTTCACTTTTCTTTTTTTTTAAGGCAGATAGCAATTTAATACTGCCATATTATCTACACCCCCCCATTCTTTTATAAGATATAACATTTCTTTCTGAAATGAATCTGCTTTGCAGTACTTTGTTCAACTAGCTGTCTTAAATCAAAATATAAGAACCTAACTTGCACTTAAATTAAAGAGTAAATTAACACATTTCGGTCAAATCACCAATATACTCTATCACCAACAGCAGGTAAACAGAAGTTAATCTATATGTATTAAGAAAATAAATCTGGTGTAGGTGAAGAGGTCATCATGTCTTTCAGTTTCTCATGTTGTAAGGCTGTAATGAAGAGCAGAGAGACTGTGGCAACACGCTGGCTCCAGATGGCCGCTCAGTGTGGCCCAGCGTGGTGGTGTTGGTGAAGGTGCAGAGCTGCAGCCTTAGCTGTTACTAAAATCCATCTGGGCTGTTTAGAAAGAGAGTCACCATATTGGTACAGAGCTTCATAATGCCATTCTTTAGTGCTGGTCCAGATTAAATCTGGAGACGAGCAGATGGAGATGGCTACTTGTTTCCTTCTGCTCACAGCCCACGGGAACACAATCAAAAATACACACAATGTTTTTATCAGCTGACTTATTACTACTGGAAGAAGAACGGTGGGAAAATCCCTTTCATCTCAAATTCCCTCTTGGTCAAAGTAAAAATTTGAAGTTTCTGTGGAACTGCAGGGACAACTTCAGTTGTTAGACACTTAAGAGGAATTCTACTTCTTTTTTTCACAACTGCTTTTTTAAATTCCCATCATATTATTTATTTCTCACTGCACTTGACTTCAGTTTATCTCATGTCATATTTGTATTTTTTAAATCCTTTTATATTTATTTATGTCTTTTTACCCTGACATGAAATTCTGTGATATTTGTCCTTTGCCTTTTTGTGTCCTACAATGCAGAGAGTTCAGACTTGTTCCTGTCATTTTGTCATAATAGAAGAAATATGTTTTCTCATTAATGGAAGTAGATTTTTTCAATCCTAGCCAGTATTTGAAGCTTTGGAAGTGTGCAGTTTTTCTAACTTGGCTCTGATGACACATTTCCGTCAGTACCATAACAGCATTGATATTAAATATTCAGCACTTCCCTTTTCCCCTAAAATCTGACACTCTATTTTTGTGCAGTGGCGCACACATGGCAGAGCAGATACACTGCTGAAGAGGAGGTAAGAGGAGAGCTGAAACAGAAATTGAAACCAAAGAGACAAGAGAAACGCAATGAAAACTTGTGAATTTGGAACATACCTGAGGAGGAGAGGGGAGGCCATCTTTTCTTGAAATGTCATTCCTGAAAAATCAGAAAAGAAAGCACCTCAGCAAAGAAGCTTTGACTGACCATGTGAGTTTAAGATTAATCAACCCAAGAGAGCAAGATATGGTGTCTTCCTCCACACAGTTTAGACAGACAAACAGGTCTATATTTGCTTTGTCTGCCTTTATCAGATAACATGTGTGTTATAAACATCACAGTATGCCAAACTGATCTTTGAAGATAACATGCAGAGATCCTAGTGGCAGCCAGTAGCTTATCAATGTACAAACAAACAGGCACCAGGTGCTACACTTTGTCTGTTTGTGAGGAAAGTGTAAAAGGATGAGAGAGAAGGAAACTCACCATGTTTAATAAAACAACATTTTGTTCTTTTTAATTAGGGATCAAGTTGAGGTTGGAGGAGCTTACCCTTTCTGAAATGTCTCCATGTGGTTTGTTCCCGGTCTCTCAACACATTCCTTGAACTGAGAAATGATAGTCAAATATTAGCATATCACACAGGGCAAAATCAGGGGAGAGTAGATTTCTACCAACTGAAAGTTATTGAGACATTTTACTCCAAACCAAACATTTTAACCCAAAAGTGGTCAATTAGAGAAAGGATCCTAATTTATTAAGATTTATCCCCTAACAACTGTGAATGTCTATGCAAAATGATTTGTTACTTCATGCTCAGGTTGTGTACATATTCCACCGAAGGACCAACATATCCATACTGAAATACTCAAAGCTACACTGCCAGCAGGGATATATATGTTCTTGTAAAATGGTGCAATTTAAGGATTGAATATAAATAAAAACACCAGAGGTTGTGAGAGCCCTTAATTCCCCTCAGTGGCTCAACTTAACAAGGTCACAACAGACCCTCGCTTACGTCAAACCTCTGCTATAAGCCACTCAGCACAACATTCGCCCAGCCAAGCACGACTGTGCCATCTATTACATACATTACATATTTACATCAAGGCATCTCGTGTCATATGTACTGTTGCATAAAGAGGTTAGCATGAGGCTTCTGTTCCTTGAGTGTGACAAATCTATTTCCATCACTCCTTTAGAGCGACAGCTGAAACTTACATTAGGAAGTGTAAAGAATCACTCAGCAGTAACATAGAGTCTGTATGGACTGGATAATGTTACTATAGCAACGTGGTAAGCTTCACGTCCTGGGTGCGACTTTGACTGTTTTCACACACTCCTCTTTTCTAGCTCTCACTGTTCAACCCCACTGTTGAGTGGGTATGACGAGTATGACTCTGAAAACTCTCAACATAACTACCGCAAACCAAAAGTGACATATTTTTTTTGCTTGTATTGCCAGACCACTGGTCTGAAAACAATCACATCACTTGCATCAAAATAATGTGAAAGCTTGGCTGTTATCACCAGGCCTCCATCCAGCAGGTACAATTTGCAAGTAAGAAATTAGTGTTTGTTTCCTTAAAAAAAATAGTACTTTTGCATTGAATTGAGACTTTGCAATGTGTTCATATTGAATTTTCATATCGCAATGACTATGAAATTGGGATTTATTATGGCGCCCTAATCTAGATGTAACAGCTCCACACATTTGAAAAAAATGAATCATCAACGTTGTTAATTATATGGATATAAACTTAGTGAATAATCACACTTTAATTTCTACCACAGATTGATATGATTTTGATGCCTTTACTATAAAATGAAAACACTTTTTTATTCTTTCAAAACATTTTTATATTTGTTGTTTTATTGACAAAAGGATCAGAATAGATTGAATAGTAAATGCTTCCTAAAAGCAACCATACAATATCAAAAGAATATCAAAAACAAATGTATGTATTTGAGTCAGAATTAAGTGTTGGCTTTCATTGTCACCAGATCTGTTACTCGGTGCTAGGATACATTTCGGTGCTAGGACATTTCAGCATGTGTTTTTTTATGGCATCGTTAATATGTATCCGTATGTTAAAAGAACATTTAGTTGAAATAATATTAAGAATGTGGGGATATAGACATAATCATTTCCTTAATGCTGAACACTTATCTGAACTTAAAGTTTGGAACATTGCGGTCTCGAGTGCTGACATGAAAACAGATAAAAGGACAAGATGCTCTCTTATTTCAGTTGATAAAAGCTGCAGCTAATAGTACACTCACAACTGGCCCTTACATTTGCACTCTCCATGGAAAAAAAGTGGTTACCAATTAGTCTGGCATGCTCCATGTTACAAGCCGCTGCATAATCAGAACCATTAGGCAGCTGCACTACTTCCTGTCATCTTCTATACTGCCGCTATTTGCATTTAGTGATTCATGTTTACTGCCACTAACAATTATTTGCAGGTGTTTAAGAGGAGATCAGTGGTGTTGCTGTTTGCAATAACATCCCTTATATACTGTTTATAAGACATTTCTGGTCCATAACACTGGCAAGAAATAAGAATTCACTCCCATCAAAAGTAGCCGTGATATTGCTTTTAAAAACAACAGAAAAATAGCTTTCTTCAGATGATCTACTGTTTTAGCGAGAGCAGGGATAAAGTAGAGAGAGAAGCGGAGCAAATAATAACAGAGAAGACTGGGCGAGATTCAGCTGAGCCAAGAATGTGAGAAATCACAAATAAGAAGCATGATGACTCACTGTGTGGGCGTCCTGGTTGTCAGTGAGCTGCACCAATGTTGGGCTTTGTTTTTTCCTTGGTTTAGGGGTTCGCTCAGCGTGACCTCTCTGGCCTCCCTGTGAGTCCACACTGCTGTCTGTATCCTCACCCACGCTGAATGAACTGCTTCTACTGCTTGACGGGATGTTCTCCTTGTTCGTGCCTCTGACTGATGCAGCTCTGTTCTCAGATGTAAAAGAGAGCAGTTGGGAAAAATCTGATCTGCTATCCATCTCACTTTAACTGTTGCCCCTCTGGTATATCTGTATTGGCTTGACATCGGTTGAAATATATCAGAAATCTAAAAGCCAGGGCCATCCTGATACTTTATTAGCTCATACCTTCTCTTGCAGCCAATGAGCTGTTTAGCTTTTGTGCTAATTCTATTTACCATCTATTTACTGTCCACACTCTTACTGGCATTTCTGAAGTCTTTGGACTAATGCACTCCTTTAATCCATGTGTCACAGAGCAAACAGACTCTCCAGCAACAAGATTAGCTTCTTACTGAGATGACCCCAGCTGATATGACTGTACTGTGTCTCAGTGGAGTAGCTCCTTTGCAGAATGAAACCTCATGATTGTCTGCTGTTAACAGAAAACCAACTGGAGGTAGTAGTAGTATTTCACAGAGGACCTAATAGTAATGAAAGGCATTTTATTGTGCTTTACCAGTCGAGCACAAGAAGTGAATGCTACACTGCAAAAAATATTCAGCCAAGAGGACAACATCAGACAATAATCCATTCCTTAAGTGTCCATTATCTGCCTAAAAAAACCCTTCTAAAACAGAACATTTGACCTTGGGTAACATTGGAAATACATTGTTAAATTTATTGAGGTTCTGCAGGGCACAACTAAAGTGCTGTGATCGTCATTAGAGAGTAATGTGAGGTGAGTATGAGTATACAATAACATCACCTCCATCAACATAAATAAGGGATGCATATATACTGTATATAGATCAACAATTAAACAGCATCTTCAAAGTCACCACCAGCAAGCTAAACATACTATTATCTGTCTACCAAAGCAAGGGCTTTCACTTAATGAATGAAAAATGTGTACACTTTACAATTATTGTATGAAAATAAGACTTCAAGGACACATTTACTGAAAAAAGTGAGTAGAACTCAGAGGATTATTAGAAAGTTTTTAAGTGTTTTATCCATGGACAACAGGAACTAATTATCTGCTAGAACCATGCACTACCAATGACACTGTGATGACAGACTCATTGTACCTGTTTCTGTCTTTGTGTCCCAGCCCCTCCTCTTGTTGCTCCCTTTGGTGTCGACGCCTCTGTCGGGCAGTTGGTGTCAACCTTGGAGACAGTGGGCTCGAGGTCAACTCACAGTTGCTTAAATTCTGATCCCTTAAACTATTTACACCGAAGAGGTGCTCCTCCACTGCTGATTGAATTGTCCTCTCCAGAAAACTTAAAAAATAAGAAAAGAATATTAGAGTAGCAGTTGGGTCAGAAATGTGCAACTTTTATGGTTCAATAAAAGTCTAACAATTAGAGAAATCCTTAGTGACAGTGATAAAGACTACTTACTTTACCACATCTGGTCTGCGGTGGTGAGGAGAGAGGTGGTTACTGTAAGAATAACAAGAGGGGACGGTGAGTTAATGTCCCAGAAACAGGTGGTCACAACAGGTCACTGAGCAACGCTGAACATCCCCCAGGCTCTGGATCTGGCCCTAGGTGATCAAGGCATCTTGTGTGCATGAGTGAGTGTTAACTTCAGCAGTGTTCAGAGCATAAGTAGGTCCTCTGAGAGCAAAGCGGACAGCTTCTATGACTACCACCAAGTCCTACAGTGAGGAGGTCTTCAGCCACAGGCTCGTGATCTGAAGATACAGTACTAAGCAGCGATATGTGTAAGTATTATTTTTACACGGTACATTTAATAAATTCATAGCTAGATTTAAATACATTGAATCAACTTTAGAGTAAGACAGCAGCCTTAAAGACATAGTTACATTTGAACCAAACAGTGGGTTTTTTATTAAAGCTGAAAACTATACTTCATCCAAATCAAGCGCTTTACTGATTGAAGAAGTAACTCATGAAGCAAAGTTATTGACTTCTTTGTAAAAGAGGATTTCATTCACCAGACTTTTAAATTGGACGGTTCAATATCTTTTTTGTCTTCGAAATTCCATGTAATTTTTTCACCAATCAATAGTTCCTGACAAAGGCCTTTGAGCATTCACAAACTGAAATGTGTCATGTCTGTTTTTCCTTGCTTATAGTTACCTCACCAAGTTTAACGGTGACCTGAAAAATATCTTCCATAAACAGTGGTGTTGACAGTAAAGCACAGCTTGTAGGCTCATACCATGCACCGATAAAGGGAGAGACAATGATGGAGTGTTGGTACATGGTGAAGGTGACTGTGGTAAACCTGTGTTCGATGGTGTTGACCTTACAAAGCTGTGAGCAAGGATAAAGAATCAATCTTTATTTGTATCGCGCCAATTCACAACAAATGTTATCTCAAAACACTTTACAAAAAAAGAGCAGGTCTAGACCGTACTCTGTTAATATTATTTATAAAGACACAACATTATGTAACGTTAAGCAAAGTGACAAGGAATAACTTTAGGCAGGCAGAATCCTTGAGCAGAACGAGACTCATGTTGAACAGCTATCTGTAACTGTGTTGGGCTTGCAAAGTAGGATAGATGGAGATGCAGAAAGAAATAACTGGATAGAGACAAGAAAGTAACTGTAACAACAATGATTAAAATAGATTTATGGCTACAATACCAGAATTAATGGTAAAAGTAACAACTAAGAACGATAGAAGACTGATCAGTCTAATCAGAGCTCGGCACACATCCGCTAATCTGTTTATCGTTAATTATTGGTGCTAATTTTTTTAATAAATGTTGAACTTGGACCTTCATTTGAAAAATAATTATTGAAACATTTGAATTCTGGTAAAGTTGGTTTCTGTCAAGGTCATGAAATGTGATCACTTTTCCTAGTTCTGATCAGAACATGAGCTGCAGCATTTTGAACCAGCCAAAGAGAGGGTCTTTCTAAACTTACTAGGGCAGCCTGATAAAAGAGAACTATATGCAATCTAGAGGTAACAAATGCATAAACTAGGTGTGTTGTGAAAATAGGCTCTCCTTGAAATGCGTTTTATGTTAAAGTTGAAGGACATTTGCCGATCAAACAGAACTCCCAGATTCCTAAAAGTATTGTTGGATGCCAGCCTGATGCTATCTAGGACACGTATATAATTAGAAAGTCTCTCTGAGGTGCTTAGTGCCAAGCACAAAAACTTCAGTACTGTCTGAGTTAAGTAGAAAATGGCTGGTCAGCCAAGTGCTAATGTCTTTAAGGCATACTTTTAGTTTATATAACTGGTTGATGTCATCTGGCTTCATTAATATGTATAATTAAGTATAATCTGCATAGCAATGAAAATATATGGATGGTTTCCTCATAATATTACCTACCGGAAGCATATATAAAGGTATAAAGAATTGGTCCAAGCACAGAACCTTGTGGAACTAAGGAAAGGTTTGATTATTGCTAATTTAAATGACTGAGGTTTATAGCCTGCCAATAAGTATATATTGATCAATCAAGTTTAGAGGTGCTTACCAAGGGAACGACATCCTCAAGCAACTGGATTTTGTTTAAACGACTGATTTAGACCAAGAAATAATTGAATTCAGTATGGAAAGCTCAGTAGAAGGGAAACAGTCGAAGTAAATATCAGTTATAAGAGCTGTTTCGGACGTCACAAAGTTTGACGATGAGTCCATATCAATTAAGGACAGGAGGTTCCTAATTGTCTCTCATTTTTAGGATTTTATCATTAAAAAAGCTCATGAAATCATTACTGCTGAGGGCTAAAGGAATAAGTCGTCATGGAGGCAACTGAATCAAGAGTACCTCTCAGTGAATCTACAGCACTATCAACACAATGATCCAGCTGAGCGTGACTCATGTTAATAAAAAAACTTTTGATTTGTGTTGAAACGTGATGCTGAATTAAAAGCAGCAGGAATTACTCCCTTAAACTTAGCTACAACACTATCAGTCAAACTTCAAAAGAGCATGTTTTTGTTAAGTCTGGTAGGAGGAAGTTAATTGTTATCAAAAAATTATCTGATAAAGGAAAGAATTTTCTGGAGAGACTATTAAGTTTTCAGCTTCAAGGTTATGTGTTAGAACAAGGTCCAGGGTGTAATTAAAGCTATGAGTAGTTTATTTACACCCTGGGTCAAGCTGATTGAGTCCAGGCTATCATTATCAACATCCACGTGAATATTAAAGTCACTTAGGATTATTATTTGATCGTTGCTGAGGTCTACATTTCGATTCAAAGGTCAGTTTTCAGGTTTCAGTCCAGTTCAGTAAAACAACGTAAATTGATATGGTTATTTGATATCAGATCAGTAAGTTGATTTGATGATAGAGTAATATAAATATAAGTAACATTTAACAGTACACATTTAATTTTGAGATTATTTCTTGTCAGTGCCGTATTTGTAGGTTTTAACCTAAATTAGATTTGAATACTTGACTCCTTTTTTTTATTATTTTGCTTACTCTCCTTTATTTATATCAGATGAAAAGGTAGCACGTCCTACTGTGTGATAACAAGATGATAATTATCACGTGCAGGACATAAAGATGAGGTTGTAAATACTTTATGATTTTTATTGTCAGCTTGTGAATGGAATCACCAAAACAAATGTTTATTATTATATGAAAGGTACTTTACTTTCATGTATTTAGACAAACAGTACATACAGACAGAGAAGTGACAGTGATGTCAGCAAAGGGGATAAATAATAAACTAGTGGATCATTTCTGGGCAAGGCAGGAAAAATATGACCCACGCTCTACCTAATAATAGACTTGGCTCTTAATGCAACAGGTTAAAACATCAGGAAGCAGTTTAATGGCTTACTAATGTTTACTTGTGCTTTGACCTAAATGCCTGCAGAAGTCAAAGGTGTGATTCATCAAGTACAGAGGACACACTAAAGCCTGAAATATGACAGACGTTTCTGTGTTCTCAACTGTCTAGGATGTCATATGTGCTGCTGATGGATTTGATATAAAGGTGATGAGAGGTTGGACTATATAACTTTGCCAGGGTAAGGTGGCTATGATCCCTGGAAAAATGTGAATAGCCTACCCAATCCAGCGTAACGTGATCTATGGTATCATTTTAGCACTGATACTGTGATGATTCATGATGGTGGCTCACTACCTTTGCATTTGACCAATGAAAACAAAGCTATGTTTATCTGTGATTCTTTACCTCTAGTTATTTCCTTATAGGGTGTACTGGAATGGCTTTCATTTAATGATTTCCTGTGAGTCAGGAAAAATCTACCGTCTTTGCTGGCACGTTATATGAAATCAGCACTTTTATATTTCCACATTTAAAAGTGCCGCATTTAGGCTGATAATGAAGTAAACAGCTGAGCGTGCCTGACTGAAATAAGAAATTAAATATTGAGTTGCTGCAATCCTCATCCCAAATAAACTTTGGCCTGGCACAGTGTGGACAAAGTGTGACTGTACGGTAAACTGCCAGAGGATATAATATCACTGGCTGGAAAAAATACTTTTCACCTCTTCAGGTATGAGACAGGCTTAAAAGAGACCATAACGCAAAAAGGATTGAAACCTTGCATCAGACACATATTGAGAACACCACCATCAGAACACCATAAGGGAGCTAAGCTTACAATACTTTCTTAAATAATCATATTCTAAAAAATGTAAAATCATATGCCAACACGAGTCTCAAGGTCAAACAGGAAGTGATCTGCTGGTAATCTTGTCTCACAATGATTGTGTGATGTCATCTGTCAGTTGTAAAGACATGTTATAAAGTCTAGAAATATAAATCTTTACAGTTATTTACAGCGACATAATCTTTCATAATGATGTTTGTTTAACTTGATAACTGCGAGAACTTTACCCCCTAAAGGAGAAAGAAAAGTCTTGAAAAAAATGAGTACATATCTATTCCAGTTACTTTGCCTTGGCTATGTTGGCGACAAGGCAGTGTGTGTCAATGGCAATTTGGAGAATGAACTGAGAGCAGTATTGAAAAATAAACAAATGGTTGGATGGTTAAGGCATTTTCTCTCCTATCTGTGTCAGTGCCAAGAAAATCCGCTGGATGTTGATCTGAATGGCCGCGCAGATTTATAGAATCCATTGCTCTGCTCTGTCAGACAGTGGGAGAGATCTTGGCCTTGTGATGTGTGTGTATAAGCGATGTTATTGTTTTCAACATATTTCTTTAAGAAAATTGCAAGACAAAAAAAATATTTCTGTATTAAGGTTCTGTTTGGGTGTTTTAAGTGCTCTGAAAAGTATAATAATCAAGGAGGAAACAACTCCAAAGCTTCCACGGCTTAGGCTTATACCAGTTAAATTCCCCACATTGTGTACCCTGGGGCGTCCATTCAGGTAATCCAGTGTTACACCACTCTCAGATATTAGCCAGGACCTTTAGAGTCTGTGGTCGACTCACACAGAAGAAAATATGTTGATTTATTATCCTTTTTGACTGGGCTGAGATTAAGCTCCCATGTGGCAGCATGAAAGCCTAAGTATACAAGTAGACATTGTTATGTCTGTATGTTTTTCTCCATCTCTGTCCAGGTGAGGCTACTGATTGCTCAACGAGATTCACCTGGCCTCAGCCCAGTGCTGAGCTCAGGAGGCCGGGAGGCTTTTGGAGTGGGGACTGGTGCCTGTTGCTTCTCAGTCAGGGATTGTGTGTTGTTGTGTTTTGTTAAATAACTTTATGAGTTGATCTATGTTTAATCATGTAGTTATTTATGTCTTATTAAAATCCCATTGTGTTGACTTTGTTAAGGTGTCTTATGGGTTTTTTTTAAATTGTGGATAGTTGTAGCACCATAAGGCCACCCTAAGGTGAGGCGTAACAACATCAACAGAGATAGGGAAAATCTATATTGTAAGTGTGCGTATGTGACAAAGTACAAGTAGGCCATGGAGTTAGTCATCAGTGCAGAGTGTGAGTAGGGTAAGTTAAAGGAACTGGATAAGTTAACCATCATCTCAGAGTGAGATTAACTAGTGCTACCATTTATAACTGCTTTATCATTTACTCAGTTCATCTGTTTTTTGTTTTACTCCAATAAATTAGTTAATACATGTTTCAATATATAATAGTGTCAAATGCAGCATCAATTATATGGTTAATTATATTACAGCCATGCTGTCAACAATGGTGACAATGGCAGTAAATTGGATGGTCCACCTTTTTAGCCAAACCGCATTATTTGTTGTACAGGTGTTCCTCACCTTTTGACTTTCGGTTATCCACACTCACTATTCTCTGTCAAACCTTGGGGCATATACATGCTTTATAATTAATTTAAGACACATACATGTTTTAAATGGGACTCTTGATCTGCAAATAGTGGTGTAGTTTTGCAAATGTTCTCTTCAGTTTACTAAACAAGTGGCTCAGTGCTGAGATTATGTAATAAATACAAAGAGATTACACATCCCATCCCCGAGTAAAATAGGTTATAGTTATGTATTAAACTCTACACATTCTGTACATAGCTGACTCTATTGACCACGTGACAAGGACTTGGATTAATGCACCACTCCTTTGATCTGTGACCGTCTGTCATGGAATAAAAAGGTTTTTTGTTTTATTCAATTATAAGAGACAAGATGTCTTAGTCATTGTTGATAAAAACATGTTTCTGTTCTTTTTTGTTATAAAACTGCAAAGGCTACAGAAGTGTTATTTTCTGTATAAAGGAATTTAAAGGATGTATGTTTTCACTGCAAGTTTAATTCAGACTGTACAAAAAGTTAAAGACGTTTCAATGTTTTAGTTCGAAATGTTTTACATGGAGAAAATGCATCGAAAGTAATCCAGAAGTACATCCTACAGGTCTTAGGGCCTTACACTGTGTGGCTCTTTTCACGTCTTCTTGGGGAAAAGCAATGAACGTGCTTGAATAAAAAAAACAGCCGCTCTGCAGCCATATTAGCTCTCGTGTCAGCAGACAACACCTCAGTATAAACATGCTGACTCCAAATCCCAGCTTCTAGCTCATCCTGCATTTTTAACCATACAATATACTTATTGTATATGGGCCTGCTATTTCTCATGTAACAATTTGGTGTATTTTGTGTGTAAAACTATCTGAGTTCTTGTGAGTGTTTTCCTGAGAAGTGTCCTGTAATTGTAGATTTGTTTTATGTTTAATTTTTTTTCCCTTCTGTGATATATCTTGTAATAAAAAAGGAAATGACACCAGATAAATTGCAGTGTATTTTTATGCAAATCAATTCAAATTTCAATCAAATAGTTTTTTTATTGTATCAGTTTGGTCTTTAAGCCATTTGCTGATTTCAAACCCACTTGTTTTCTTCACAGACCACAGACCAGACCCCCCCCCCACCCCCCACACACACACACACACTATAATTATACTAAATGTATACAACCAGTGGGACATCCATGCCATTAACGGAACATATATGTTGCCACAGCAACTGTTACACTGTTCATAAATGTAACCACAACATCCCTGGGAAACACAGAGTCTTTATCAAGACACATTATTTTGCTGAAGTGGTGTGTCTATGCCTCTGCCACAATTCCCAAACATTGGTGAGCAAACTGTTGCATGTGCATGCTGTCCTGCTTTCCCTCTAACTGGTGGTTTCATTGTTCCCATTAATAATGCACTAAGGGAGCAAGCAGTCACTTCCCCCACACATCCAGTCCAAAACAACACACTCACTCAGCACTGAAAGCTTCCTCAAAAGAAAAGAGGCCTACCTGATGTAGAAAGGTGATATTGGTCTATCTTCTTCTTGGGACCTGAAATATAAAAACAAACACCTGTTATTAATGAACTTGAAGCATGTGGTTATGAGGTGTTATGACATAAATGCATAGCCCCCGCCTCACACACACACACACACACATCACTACATGTCACTGGGGGTGAAAATAGGAGCATAAGGCTGCAGGCTTTTGTCTGCTGAATAATAGCCATGCAGAGCTACAGATCACTGCCTTTGTGGGACTTGTCTCTGGTAATTATTATGAACCGGGACAGAAATGTGTGCTGCTCTAGAATATAGACTGGCTGCTGCCACTGGATGTACGCCAAAAGCTCATGATGATATTATGCAACGTTAAGAGGAACTCAGGGTTGGCACTGAATGTTGTGGTTGCTTAACATTTTCATATCCTGGCACTTAACTTGCTGAAAATTTCATAATCACACAACCTTGCCTAGCAGTGCTGAAAAATTTCTATTTTAATCTAATCTATTTTCTCTTAGGTCAAAGCAGGCAGAAAATCACTGCAGCCAAATCCTCAACTGGTGGACCTTCTAAAAAATAGCTTAGTGTTAAATCAAAGTTTACTGGATACTGACTTTAATTTCCAATGTATGTAATGAAAATGCCAAATTTACATTTAAACCAAAAACTGAATAGATTTATATTGTTTGGTCAAATCCATAGATTTTAGATTTAGTTTTTGCAAGAATCTATATTATATGTTATATTAGAAGAGATACAAGTGTTTTTAGAGTAGGGCTTAGTAAATATCCATTCAGAAATTAAAATATCTATTATTTCCATTATAATAAAGCCCCACGCCTGTGGGAGCACTGTGGGTCCTCACCACACAATGATTCACAGTATACAGAGTCCCCACTTGACTAAACACAGAAAAAGAGCTGCATCGTCTTTTCTATGTTCGCTCTCACTCTGTCTGCTCTCATGCAGGTAACAGCTGCTGTAGTCTGTTGCTGTAAACTTTGCCAAACTCTGTTACAGAGCGCTGTGTCCAGGCCAAACACTGAAGATATAGTTCCTAAAAGTAAGTGCACATTTTGTTCTTTCAATTCACACAGCACACGTTGCAGTTCAGCCAGTACACACGCAGGCACACACACACACATACTGAATGATGTGTGGAGCTTTGTTAGGTATGTGTAGGAAATATTTGTGAAATATTATTTTTCAATATCTATGTTACAAATGTCTAGTTAAAATATTTGGACCTTTCTCCCCTTAAGCCCCTCTTTGGACCCATCTGTTGTCACAAGCAGAGACAACCGAAATCACTCTAGTCTACAGGTGTTCTCATCTTAGAATTATGCAACAGATTTGGACAGAAGGTTCAAGTTAAAAAATGTTGACAACCAGGTAGAGCATTCCACCTGCTCAGTTGAATGTTTATCACATAGTGAATGACAAGGTTTACGTTTGTTTTTCAGAACAGTTTGACTAACTGGTTCAGACGGATTCGGAGATGGATCCAACAAACCATTCGGGGAAAAATAGTCGGCTACTATTTTGATCATTTAATTTACTTTTTCTAATTTAAAAAAAACTGTAGAATGGATATCTTTGTTTCTTTATATAATGTGGGGCGGACAAAACAAGTTAAGTTTTCAGAAATCATGATGGGATGTGTGATAGCTTTCACACATTTTATAGAACACAATAAAAATGAATGTCAAGTAAATAATCAGCAGATTATTTAAAGAAAAACTTAATAAATAGCTTCTTTATTAAATCTTCTAAATTATCACTACAAATTATGAAAATATGAAATCAAATTTAAATTTGATTGCGTTTTTACTGTTACCAAAGTTTCCCTATTTTCAATAACAGCAGTAGAAAACATAGCCTGATAAACACGGTCTGATCCGAGGCTGTAAAGCGGTCTCAGTTGTTACAAAACTAGAAAAAAAGAACATTGTGTGAATTCATGGTTCTCAGATATGTTTTGGTCTGTGATATGACGTCATTACAAAACCAGGAAAAAGGAGTTGTTGAGCAAAACATTATGTGAATGTTTGGGTCTCAGGTGTGCTTTGGTACGTGACATGCAGCCATGGGGCTTATAGTAAGGGGCAGGACTGTAGAGGAGAAGACAAACGACTTTGGACAGCACATCAACAAGTTCATAACAAAAGGTTTAGGTTTCAAGTCAAGCAGGAATCCAAATAGGTCAAAGTTGGACATGAAGTGAATGTTTTCCTTCTTCGTTTTTCAAGGCGCAGGTGTAATTACCACAAACACTTCCAAATTCTTTTAGAGACTCAAGGCTGAATGTTTTTCCCCCCAAACTTCTTAACTGGTGTTACACAGTCTGGCAAGCGTATTAAAATAATGTGTGCCGTCACTACTGCTTTGAATTGAGAAAGCGGAAATCCTGCTTACCCACTACCTTACTGAGGGGATAAGGAGAAGCTTTGTAGGGGTGCTCAGAAAATTCCTGATCCCTCTGGGACGAACGGAAATCTACCAATGACAAGTTGGTCAACACAGACATGCTCCACTTTTCAAAAGTTTTGAAAATACAAGAACAAAAGAAGTCTGACTTAGCATACGCTTGGCAATACCTCAATTTTGGGTCCAGACATTTTTGGAGTCCCTCTTGTCCCTTTGCCCCTCTTGCGTTTTCCAAAATCTCTCTCTGACATGCAACAACACTTTCTCAATTCTAACTAAATATTGCACTAAATCTTTAAATCTTTATATAAAACTAGTTTATATATTCTGGATAAAAGGGCGGAACAAAGTCTTGAAAACTGCTTCAGAGTGGAAGTTTGGGTTTGATTATTTAATAGTTGAGGAGGATCTGAGACCTATGTTTAATAGTTTCTCACATCTTTGGTTTAGTCGGGGTGCTGGTGGCGCAGTGGTTGGTGCGCGCGCCCCATGTATGGAAGCTGTAGTCTTCCAAGCGGGCGGACCAGGTTCAAATCCAACCTGTGGCTCCTTTCCCGCATGTCATTCCCTACTCTCTGTCTCCCTGATTTTCAACTCTATCCACTGTCCTATCTCTCAAATGAAGGCACAGAAAGCCCAACAATGAATCATTAAATCTTTTGTTTAATCTCAAATTCAGTTAGAAACCTCTTAAACCATCGGCTTTAAGATGACTGCTAGACATTCTTAGAATACCTCAGTTAACAAACTGTGAGGTGGTCGAGACCTCAAGTCTTTGTTGGACAAGCTCGGCTTAGAGATGCTTGGTGTATGATCAATTCATCAGAGAATATGGTGATGAAGTAAAGAGAGAGCTGTAATACTTCAGTTATAAACTAAGGCATGAATAGAGCTGTAAAAAAATGTAAAACATTAATTCGGTTCACTTCGGGTTTCACATACACCAATTCAGTTCACTTAATCATAACTAGTAACCTCTGCAAGTTAATTTTTTAAAAGTATTTTATGTCACCAGTATGTCAAAAAAAAATGTAATCAAAAATCTCTTCACATGAAGACAAAATAAAAATAAAGTTTTAACTTGTCAGCTAAAACTTATCAAAATGGTTGCATATGATATGACCTATGGGTCTGAAATAAAGTATGAAGTGACCATAAGAACTTTCTAACTCAAAGTCTGAGCAAGATCTTTGAGACATTTGGCCACTTATCCAAGAGGCATCTGCGCTCCTTATTGGTGGAGAGTCTCAAGCATGAGACTAATGAAGAAGTCTTCAGTTAATATTTCACATTTGCCTTTATATAGCCAATCAACAGCTACACATAATACCTGGATCTCAACCATTGTCATAATCTCAAAGCTAAATCGTCATTAGATGATAGCAAATTAATTTGAAAATGGCAAATCTGGAAAGCTGGTTTACAGAGTCTTTAAAAGCTTAAATTCTGATTTATTTTCAGGGTCTCCATCCTATATGAGGTTTGGTAAATAGACACTGACATAAAATGCATGAAAACCAGTTAAATCCAGTCAGAACGTTTTTGCTGTAAATATGTGTAGTCAGGCTGTCAAGCTGATGGATGAGACTTCCTGACAGACGGCCAACAATACCGATATACCCACAGGGATCCCGCACTCACACCACACTGCAAAGTTCCTCACTTCCACCAATTTTCAATGAGCTTCTAAGAAATCCAATGGTTACATCACAAGATTCAGTGAACCATGGCAACTACACACAAAAGCCAGTGTGCATCCCCTACAAGCAACAACGCAATGCTGAGAGCAGACTAAGTTCACATGACAATGCTATGTTGGCCCATGTGGCCTGTGAGGGGAGTGAGGCTGGTGTCATATTTCAGATCCAGGTGAGAGCAGTGAAGTATACTTAATAACTGGATAATTCTGCTTGATAAAGGACATTTATTTAGAGCCACAAGTAGAAAACACTGAGGATGATGGTTAGATTTTGAATGGGTCCAAAAGTAGGTGCAAGTTAGCGGAGTGAGGAATGACTTTGGACAGGGGGAAGTTTCTAAAATGAAGAGTGGATGTGCCAAATGTCATCAGATAAATTCCCTAAGTTGCTTCTTAATCACCGACAAGGTGAAGACACAAGTCTTAAATACTCAATCTCATATATCACACACTACAACATAATATTTAATAGAGTTTCTATAAAATGTAATATTTATCTTATAATAAAAGTAATAATATAAAATGCTCCCCAAAGTAATTTCTTTTTTTTTATGATTCTGTATTTGTTTAATTCAGTTGTACAGTATATGGCTGTGCTGCTGCATGTGCTGCACTGAGCTGCTGACACAGACTTGTATGACACATATCTATTGAAAGTGACAGCAAGCTGACGAGCAGGCATAATAGCAGCTACAGATATGAAAACACAGATGGATCCACAAATGGAAAATTATCATATATTTGCTGTGGGTCTAGAGTCAAAACCACAGCTACGAAACAACTTTAAATATAGACTCAAGCTTCCTGTATCACACAAATACTTGGAACTTTAAAGTTTAAAACCTTTGTCAACATTACTAGCTAGTATAAAAAGTCCTCTTGCATTGAAGACAGTTAACTTTTTTCTTTTTGCAAACTGCAGGTGTTTATTAGTAAATACCAACGAGTTCCTATTGCTGACGCACTTTACTGGGGTCTCCTTTCACACTGTCCGTACATCAGTCACCTAATGCCTACTGAAAGGGACATTTCAGGATGTGAGAGGGATACCCGACAGGAGATTTACTGATACTCTGATATGGTGAGGAAAGCTTTTGCCACCTTGGAAGTATAATATTTGTATCTTCATGTAGACAGGAATATCTGTTCTATTGAGAAGGCAATGCTTAACCTGGTTGATTTTACTGTTCATCACTTTGGGGATTAAAGCAAGCATGAAGAACTTGATAAACTGAGGTACATTTTTCTGAAAGATATAGAATGAAATACATTTTAAAATACCTACTTTTGTATAATAAAAATGTATATCAAATTGATCCTTATATTTAAAATATAAGGAAGAAAATCCCTTAAATGGAAAAATACACCGTAATAACTAGATTTGAAATGTGTGTTTTTAACTTCTTGTAGTGAGATTGTATAGTCATACAGAGCAGCTGTGAATGCGTGAATGAAACCTGTCTGATATCTCTAGCAAAGCAGCAAAAGCCCCAACAACAGACACAGCTGTAGATCTGCTATTCCAGGACTGAGGACACTGGACACCAAGTGGTTCCAGTTTCAACTTCTTATAATAGTTTTGTTTGCATGCCAGGGGCACATTGACACAGAGTTGGGCTTTAGATCCTTGAATGCTGTCAGACACTCTATATTCTTCACCGTCTACCGACAGCACATCACCTATGCAAACAATATGTATAACCTATTTAGCACTGGTAGAATTCTACCTATCAAAAAAATGGAAACATTTGAACACTTCAAAGTTAAATATTCAGCACTAGAGCTGCAGATATTCCTCTATAATACCATTTGAATTTGCATGCTTTATCATTTTAAATTTTCAAATTATATTCCAATTTGTTAATGCTAAAATTAAGTAGGCTACTATTCACCCATGACACTGCGTTTCTGTTTCCCTCTCTGTCACTCGCGGGACAAAACAACACACATCCTCGTGTCCACCTTTAATACAAAAGCACTAAATGTCACACTGTTTGCAAGGGGAAACTGAAATTCACAGAGCAAAGGATGAAATACTTAACGGATGCAGTGTGGACAGCTATATAACGACATATAGCGCTCGTGGGCTGTTGTTAGAGGGGTAGTGGCCTAATTCAAGATAGGGCATATTGGTTCTTATTAAAATACACCTAGGCTGACTACTTTTGTAAAACTGTATAAGGAACATTTAACATCCTTACGTTAATTGATTCACTTCATTGATTATCCAAAACAATTTAACCAATTATTTAAGAAAATGACATATTCGAATGGCAGTTAAGCATGCGAATATTGTTATTATGTTTAATATTCAAATTTTGTTCCTGCAGCCCTATGCAGTACTGAAATTTGATTTGTGTTATATGAGCTCAGGATTTTTCTTGAGGTGGTCATCAAGCTTAATGTTTATAGATATCAGAAATAGCAAAACTGCAGGATTAACAAACTACATATCATAGGGAAAGTTAATATAGGGATGTTTTTCTTCTTGTACATTGATAGACTTAGGTTCATTATTTTGAGAAAAAAACAGACTTGAAAGCATAAAGTGCACATGTGACATCCATGATTAATGAAACATTTATCACTAACTTTTATCCATATTTTATCTGATTTCCAATAATGTCAAATTTTAACATTTTGAAAATCTGTTCCACCAAAACAAATATTTAATGAGAAATATTGTCTATTGTCCATGAAATTCTATCCAATTTGGTGCTTTCTTTTTAGACAGGAAACACTCACCGGCCTAGTGTCTCCGTGCTGCTTGAGGGGTTGACGCTGAGGTGGCCCAGGTGCCACCACGGAGTGTCTATGTTGTCTTTGCAAGCTAGCTGAAGGGGTACTGTCTCTATCAGTTCTGGACTGGGGGTCCTCCGGTCTGAGGTCAGGGGCAAGACTATTGGTACGAGCTGGGTCCTTGCATGAGGTAACCCAGCAGAGCGGCAGGGCTGAGGGGCGCCAAGAGCCATGCTGTCACTCTCCCCTTTCCTCCCCTGTTTTACAGAAAGAGAGAGAGATAGAGAAGCCAGCAGCAGGTGAATCTCGTGACAGGAAACATGAGACAGCACGAGAGGTAAATGATACACAACTGATACCATTTTTGCACGATCAAGCTCGCTCACCCTCAGCGGAGAGGGTTACCGAATACATGCATTCAAAGATCTGCTGAGGTAAAGCACAGAGCAATAAAAGAGCCACAAAAGAGGGTTAAACTGATGTTTGTCTTACCGTGCTGACCCTGAGTGGGTACAAACAGCGTGAGCAGCCAACTGTAGTACAGAGGAAGAACCTTAACCTGATTACAGCTCCTTTTTTAGCAGTATTCTTCAGCATTTTAATGTAGCTTTAACCTACGACGCCTGAAAGGACTGTTAAAGAATGTGACAGAGAGCTTTCTCTCATCATATTAAGAGGCCTTGTATACTTGCTTGCTGCTCATTTAAACCGAAGCCTAAAAGATGTCTGTCTGTAGTAAACAGAGTATATAATTGGCCTAACGCTGACAGCTTCTGTATAATGGTCAGAAACAACTGATGCTAAAAGTGGCTGGGTTTAATTAAAATGCTTCCTTTTAACCAATTAGCAGCAGAACATTGCCATTTGGGGTTTCAGTTAATGGGTTGTTTAAAAGAATCGATGAATGCTGCTTCCATTTAGTCATGGTTGCATGAAACGGGTGAGTCTTTGGGAACATAATGAGCCACAATCAACTTTAGCTAGACCCAGGATGGATTTGGCCCCTCAGGCTTTGTAATTGATGAAGCTCATTCACAGAGAACCACAGAGAAAGGAAAAGGGGATGATAAAAAAAAGGATGTTCAACATGTTCTACAAACAGATTTTTCAGGTTAGAATTTTGTTCAGATTATGTTTGTTTTATTCGGTTTTGTTACTGTGCTTTTAAAGAAAGAAATCATTAAGAACTTTCAAGCAATCAATGATGGAAAATCCCCCACATAATACAAGAATGTAATGTAAACAAACAGACATGGCTAAAAACCCAACTGCAGGACGCCACTGACCACTGACTCTCCATTCCTCAGTTTCTGCCAATGCATAAGAAAAAGCTCTAACAGAACAACAAGTAGGAGCTAAATAGGCCACAGCAAAGAAGCCTGACAGACCAAAAGGAGGATATGACCTGCTTTGTAAATCATGGATTAACTTAAATAACAAATGACTGCAAAAAAACAAAATACTAAGAACTTCAAATGTAACTCTTTTATAGCAGGCCTTTGTTAACTTTTCTCTTTTCATTGACGGGTGCCAGCTCATATCTTAACGGTTTAGACTGTTGAAGTACCTTTGCAATATGATCCATACCTTTTCTTGCTCAAATGACGACTTTGACCAGGTGTTTGAAATTATATAAAAAGATTGCATTTTCCACATTTAAACATTTCATTGGTCCGACCTTAGCAACAGAAGGGGTTCTTGTGATACAGTGATGATTCAAAAACAAATAGTAATACTCTGCCTCAGATATGTTTACTCTTTAGAGTGCCAGAAGCATGTGCATGTTCAACAAAGTTCCCCTTTGATCACACATTCATGATTTTTAATGACGGCATCATAAATCTAACAGCTACCCTACATGGGTTTAATACTTTATAATTGGAGTGTGTGTGTGGGTGTGTTTGTTGTGGGCTACTCTCTCAAACTAGACCTGGCCTGGGGCTCATAAATTCTCTAGACTTTATGGACATATAAAGCCTTTGCCTAACGGTGCCTAACAGATAGCCTTACTCTGGTATAGATGTGTTGGTAACAAGCTATCTGAAATTAACATTTTAACTATGAGTAGTATCTTAGTAGCAGGCATGAAGTCCAACTGTGTATTGGTCATGATAAGGGAAATAGTTTTTATGACAAGATTTCTGCAGGACTGTTTGGGAAATGCAGCTATAAAAGTTTGATATTTCTTAACTTTCTTCACTTAAAAAAATCTGAGCAAGCCTCTTGAGTAAAACATATTTTTGTTTTGACAGGAAGTGAGGAATGACTAGGAGTAAGCTGTTCTCAACTTTAGCTGTAGTAATTAAAAGTTTAATAATGAAGTTGACGGGTCTAGCGTTCAAAGACATCCTTAAAATGTTAACAGCATTAAGAACTGGTAATGTTATATTACCATTGCTGCTGTGCTGAGAGTATTATAACTGTCATTTTGTCATATATTTTACAAGCACATATTGTCATTTATCCTTTATCTATTTACAGAAATGTCCTCGCTGAAAGATTATCTGTTTTATTCTTGCATTAAATCTGCTATACAGGTTACTGCTTTTTTAGGATGTTGCTAATCTCTAATTCTAGTCTGACTTAATCTGACAATTACTCTTTAATTAACTGTAAAAAGTTGGTCCTTTTGTTTAGCTTTGTTTGTTTAAGCAATGCGTTGCACCACCTATAAGTACTGCATGTTGATTTTTCAGTGGTGATTCTGTAGCACCTTGTAAGTACTCTAACAACATTGTGTGTTTTTGTGAATCCAACATCCTTGTTACTGCAATAATGAAATGTTTATTGAATATCAATACAGTATATGTTATCACTATCAATGAATATATCGTCTACCTCAGTTGTTTCAGTTTCAAAAAGTGCTTCCAATATGAACCCCAAAGGCAATTCACAACTTTTATTTGAAGTGTCTTTAGCTTCCTGTGCACATAGTGGGGCTTCAGGATCTAACCTCTTAGATTGAAGATTTAACTCACTGAAGGAATTTTAAAAACAGTCTTAAGCTTTGGTTGCACACCAGCTTTTGAGGAAGCAGACTTTTTCCCCCAGTGTTTTCTGAGGTAGGAAAACATTCTTCATCAGCAGGTTTTTACCCTGTTGAGTTTATCTTGCTGGAAGTCAGCGTTTCCGTTATCTCTTCAATGTCACAAGTCTTGATATGTTCACCACAATGCTGGCATAAGATCTTTGTTGAAAATTGATTTTGAGACAACAGAGAGAGATCATTTCAGTCAGTCCATGTATTTATCCTGATTCAGCTTATTGAACTACTTGAAATTGTGTTTATAATAAAACTCATTGAATTAAGTCCCCCTTTTTTTATCTCAATTTCTACCTCATGAACACAAACTTAAATGTCAACCTCTTTTACTGTTGTCATATTCATGACCAAATGCAGCTTCTGTGGCTGCAGAGTTCATCTGTAATAATAACAGAGCACAGTTAGAGGTGCATACCATAGCCTGTGTTTGTTTCCTATTGCAAATAAGTGTGCTGTTGTTTCCTGCAGCAGATTGCCTTTATCAAATCACATCATGTGACAAAGCTGCGAGGCCACAAGCATCAGAGGCAGTCTGAGAGATGACCTCAGGCTAATCAGCACCAAGGCAGTATGGCAGATAAGAGAGCAGAAAGTCCTTATTTATTCAAAGGCAGGATTTAAACTAGAAAAAATATCTCTCTGATGATGATGGTTATTTTCTTCTTTTACCTTCTTTTTCCTCGGCCTCAGGTTTGCAGTTGTAGTGGATTTTCTCAGAAGTTCTACATTTTCTGGTGGGGTATTTGGTTCATCCTTGAGGAAAAATGTAAGGAGAGAAGATGAAAATGAAGAGATTAAAATACTGAATGATAAAGCTGGTACCATATTTAGCAATCCTGGGTCAGTGAATGCTTGAAATATTTTCGGTCTGCAGAAAAATGAACAGTGCTGTTCAAAATAACTTATCAGATATGTCAGTTGTGTATTATTTAAAAGGTCATCATTTATTCACACTGAGCGACCTGATTACCATTGCAGACAGAATGCACAGGTCAGCTGACACTGATAATATCTCTAAAGCTTACAGAAAACGACACAGACGTAAGCAGAAATGGCTTTAGTGTTTGAAAACAGCTTTTCCAAAACATGCCCAAGTTGTTTAATCACGTCACACAGGTCACACGGTTGGGGTTAAAATGGACTATGTAAGGGAATTTGAAGGGTTCATGCAAGTCGGACCTGAGAATTTCATAAACAGCATTTCACAGCAGACGGACTTGAACAAAGATTTTCAGAACAGGGGAGTAAACACACAATCAATGACGCACACATACAGGCGTGACTGCAGGAAAGCTGAGTACGCACCTTTATGCTGGGAACCAGTGCCGGTGTCTTTCCATCAGGGAGGCTGGGTAAGGTCTCTGTGTCTGCTTCTGTCACGTTGGTCTCCTTGGACCAGAATAAGGACAAAAGAAGAAGAAATTTTACCTGCTGCCTATTACATGAAACATACAGTAGCTTTAAATTATCTTTTTACAATCAGTCATTTTTGGTATTTGTTCTACTTTTGCGTCTCTTCTATATGCCTTAACAACAGCAGGGAGAAGAGATTTTAACAGGTTGAATATCTGCACCCTCCAACCATAAACACTTTGATGCACACTTACAGCTCATCAGCTTTTTGTCACTGTAGCAAAAAGTAACACCAGTGATCACGTGTGCCGCGTTCAAAAGCATCAAGATGAAGGTCAGGGGGTCAGGGGCCTCAGTGGGCCGCACATTTACTGTATATGCGTTTTTGTACATGTATGTGTGTTTGTGTGAAAGACGATCTCATTCTGACTGAGGGTTTCCTGTAGGTCAGCATGGTCTCGTGTTGCTGAGACCTGTAGGAATTCACAAAACAGCAAAGTGGGACTTTAGTGATTGGAAATGGCCTTAAAAAATATGTATATGTCAAAAAACGTCATTATTTCATTCAACTGCTACAATGAATCTGGATCTCGGATAACTTGAGCCCAGGTTGCATAGGATTATTTCAATTTTTCAAATGAATGACATCTCCAGCATTTATTTTGTCACATGGCAACCATATTCCCAGTGTGATTATGGTCAACATGTTTGGAGAAGCAACCTGGTGCCCTAGTGAGGTCAGACAAGGGAGGAGCTAAATCCACGTGATTATATCGTGGTCATACCACTGTGGTATCAGATGGCGACCATCACGGTTCAATAACAAAAACATCAATCAAGACCCGAAGGATTTCTTTCCAAATGTGAAAATTCTGACAATGTTTTACAATTTCAAAAAATACTGCAGCTGTAGCTGCACTTAATCTTCCTCTCATTTGACTTCCTTTTTGGATTACAAGTCTATCCCTGACCTTATGCTACACTGTGTAATTGCATTTTGTATACAATCTTTAAAGATATAGAATAATTTAAACCTACTATGATGGTGGTTAGTGTGCTTCTTTTGGAACTGTCAGAGCATAAAGCACATACCTTGTTTGTGACCTTGCTTGCCATCATGTGATGTTCTTTCTGGGTAAAATATGCAAGATATTTCTACAGGGTTGTATAGAGTAGCAATCGCCTGGGGGCCTTTTAACTCCAACCTCCCGGGGTCAAAAGCCCCAATGCCTGATGTTGAGTACAGGGGGGGGTGGATAAGCAATGGAACTCAGTTTGCCCTGCAGATAGCCCTTGCTCCAGGCATCTCAGGGATGCCTCCAACAGATCCCCCACTCAGCTCTGTCGTCCCTAGTGTCTGAGTCCAGGTTGGACTCACTTTTAATCTCCTAGTAGTAGAAAAGTTAACATTACTCTCTGTCATCAAACTATGCAACATTCTTATCCAACAATAAATTCACTTCCTCATCTCCTTTACCCGCTTGGGTCAATAAAGCACTTTTTCAACGAGCACTCCTATTCGGTCTGGAGCATTTTCCTTGAAGGCTGGTTTTGCAGCGTTTGTCTGTTTGCAGTTGTTTTCTTATGATTTGACATTGTTTATGTATTGCAAAGTATTTGATATAAAGCAGTTTTTTTTTCTGCTTTTTTTTGTAAGTGATTTCTGCCATTTGCTTTCCAATCACTGTGACTACAGGGAGACACCTTGGAGACCATTAAAAATGAATGCATTCATTTAGCAGGTCAGTTGACCTTGTCTTGTCAACATAGCTGTAGCTATCAGTAGACACAATAACATCATATTGATAATTGTTCAGTGATCTTCTTTATTAAAGGAGATCTTACAGGCCTTAATTATGTTCTTCAGATAATTTCTTCAGTTTATTTTATTTTGACATCCGTAGAAATTACAACAGCATAAAAATGTAATATTTACATATTCTGGTTCTACTCTCAAATAGATGTGTCACTCATACAACTAGTGAAAATTATACTGAGAACGTATTTTAATCAAAATGTATTTACACAATTCTTCACGTATCCTCAGATTCAGATCTGCATCTACCTGCATCTGCTCAGGTAGATGCAGCAGCTTGATACTGCCAGCAAAAACCAGCAGACCAGACAAAAACCAGCTAATCGATGGAGGTATCACCTATTCAAGCAGTAAATATAAATCAAAAAGCAAAGACTCAAAAACAGCCACCTGTGGAGAACTCTTTCCTCCAAGGGTGGAATATAAGATCAATAGCTTAATCTATTTTAGCTTGGCATTATGTAAGACAATATTTGTAAAGTTGTCCATGTAGAAGGGCAGAGAGTGAGTTCACAGACACTAAGACTGTTATAAGTTTATGGGCACAACATTTAACCTACAGTTTGTTACCAGCTGCACTTTGCAGTACAGACCAAAATAAAAGATATTAGCATCTGGTGCTCCGTTGCTTATACCACACCTTGACAATAATAAGTTTCGACTGTTCTTCTGGGAGCCTTCTCCGTCTCTGTCTGTCTCAAATATATTTCTGTAGTTCTGGATGAGCTTCACCATGATCTTGTTACAGATGATTTGGTCCTGCAATGCCTCAAAACCAGGAGCCACACTGCCAAAAAAAAGACAAAAGAAAATAAATCACATAGCATCATAGATTTCATCTGATTCTAAACTAAGTGTTCTCTTTTTTGCCCCTTCACTTTGAAGTACTGATCATATCAGACAGTGATGTTGTTTATACTAAAATAATAGTTAAGCATCAGTAAGTTAATTAACAAAACTGACAGCAGCCGCTGCGGTAAGTCTGAAGTGTGAGGCTTGTGAACAGCTGTTTGAGATGTACACTGGGCTGTAGGCCTAATTACATAACACACACACGCACGCACACACGCACGCACACGCACACGCACACACCACCTCTAATAAAGAGAACAGGTTGTACAGTATGACAGAGTATCCAGTTAATTTTAGTAGTATTCCTCCCACTGAGACCTGATCTTTTTACCAGGCAGGGTTCACTGGGTTAAACACACCAGTTAATCATGAGGGATGATTCGAAAACTTGCTGCCCAGTGATCACACATCATAAATAGACTGGTGAGAACAGCAGTACTTAGCTCAGCAGCTGGAGGGAGGCTCATTAAGACACTGATGCATCATTTATTTATGAATGATGGTAACATTCAAAAAGCTTCTAAAATCAACACTGTCTTACATGTCATAAGTCACTTACGGTACTTCAAAATCTCTCACTAGACTTAATTGGTTTGAGGTGACGTAACCTACCGGTATATCACGTGACATTTGAGATACCCACATGATTCCAGAGGTTGATGCAAATAGTTTATCCATGATTCAGAGAAAACAAAACATTTTCAGTCAGTTCTTTCTCAGAGTACCAGAGCAGTTTCAACATGGCTCTGTCAAAATGTAAAGAAGTTAATAAATGGGATGTGTGAGAAATACAGCAGACTTGTACAGAAATAACCTGAGCTTCACCAAGTGAGCTACAACACCACCTGCTGGCCATATAGTTCTACAGAGCGAGTGAGAACCAAAGAGAGGCAGAGACCAACAAAAGTAAGACTTAATAGCTCCTGTCTAAAAAAACATAGTCTATAACTTCAATAGAAATACTTTGATTTAGTTTTTTGTAAACTTCTGATTTTTCTGTATTAGCTTAGCAAGACTTTCCTCGGATGAGACTGCACTTCAAATACAAAGATATCCTTCCAAACCTGAAGCAATGTCCTTTGTTTCAAGTATAAACATGTGAAAAGTGAAATATTTTGGGGCTTCACTGATTGAAAATTATTTAAATATAGAAAACAGCTGGTATGTGTAAAATTAACTTGTGAATTGTTATCTGACTCACACTGCATGATTTGAGGGATGAATCATGCTACTGCACATGTATCCCATGGCTAATACTCACAGCAGACGCAGCAAACAGAAATAGAGGAAAGGTGATCGAAACCCTCACCTTTGGCTATCTGTTGTCTGACTGTTTTCTCAGACTTAAACGAGTTATCTTTCTATGTTATTTAAAGGCTCCAAAAACACGTCTCGCGAAGGTCACAGTGAAGGTCACAGTCAATACACAAAACATTCCAGAACTTTCTGGACTGTAAGTTATGTTTTTCAAAGACGCACTGATGTAGACCTGTTTCAAAAAATATATTTTTTAATAAGAAGAGTTGAAAAAACACTTCAACTACAAGGTTTCACTTGATATTTTTCCCTGATAAACTGTTAGCAGTCAAACTGAAATGTCTTATTGTTTATCTAAAACTACAAACTTTTAGTTGTGGATTACTATACAACTGAAGAGCCTGGTATTAAAAAACAAAGCTTAAAGAGGGCGAATATTGTATGTATTGACTTGACCTGCTGCATGTGCTATTAGGAAACTACTTGCTAGCATGTTCACCATGTAAACTTGTAAAATTGCTGAATTTATTGCTAGTTTTGGCTCCTGAAGTGGCCATAAAATCAATTGATGCTTGATGTTTATGCATTTGCTTATGATTGAAATGTTGATAAAAAGCTAAAAGAGATGGGTGACTGATAAGTGATGATGGATGAATGACAAATTTACAAATAGAAATAGATCAAGACCAATATGGAATTGCTGAAAGAGATACCAATACAGATTTTAGAGGAAAGAAATGCTCTTTCTGTTAACATCCCTGTGAGATAGCAAATGTTTAACCTACATGGATTCGTTTCCATGTGGATAGTGCACATTGTGCACAGTGGGAGCACCTCCTGCTTGACAAAATCTGGGATAACACAGTTACTAAGTCAACACTGTTACAGCCTTGATTCTCTTCAAAAAAAAAAAAAAAAAAACTTTTATCAATATTTTTTTGAGAGATCAAATCAGCTTACTATTATATATGGATTAGTCAGGCTCTAAAAATAAGTTTAAGTTTGACTCACTGAAAGACACTGGGACCAAACACAGTGGCAAGGTTGAGGGCAGTCATACGGTTTTCCTTGTGGTTACACTCAACATGGGTGAGGAAGTGGCAGAGGTAGCGGAGGAGGCTGAGGTGAACTTCCGGAAGCTGTTGGAGAATGTCTCTCATATCTGAACTGGAAACATCATCACCAACCTCTACAAAAACCAAACAAAATATCAGAACAGGTCAGTGGTTCGCATCCTACAAAATGTCATAATTACAGTCATTGTTGCTTCCCATTCAGATAAGTGAAACATTTGTTTCAAAAGCTTTTGTCTAATCTTTCTAAATGCTCCCCTGAGAAGAGCAGCATTACATTAACACTGGAATAATTGAATGATGACTGATACAAGCAACTGAACTGACTTTGGAGCAGGAGTGATAGCGCCTTCCACCTGCTCTCTGTCATATCTAATCTTGAGTTGTTGTAACTGGCAGCATGTGAGCACTGGAGTAAAGAGCATGAAAATATGTTAATGCTATTACTTGGGATACATAATTGGGTCAGAGTTGGATAAACAGATGTGACTACTTATCCTGAATGAATGAGTGATGCAAACTTTGTGCATGTCTAAGTCTACGTGAGTGTGTGCATGGTTATGAGGGTTGGTATGTGCAAGACTAAGGAAGTGAGACAGACAGGAAACAATGGCTCAGAGAAATCACAGCTGCTCTTGTTGCTGCATTTAAAGCAAATCATTATTTGTCAAAATAGGGACGTATTATTTTTTACTTTTAATCAACACGATAGAATATATGATCACCAACACCTAAAAAGGAAATACACTACAGTGTTTCAATCCTAATGGTATTATGGCATACATCATTATATTGTTCCTTCATACTTAAGGTAAGTTTAATTAACCCTTGTGGAATGTGTAACCATTGTTAACATCATGGAGGACACTTTGTAAATCTATATTGTCACAGTCTGCATACTTCCATATTCAGAAGTGTCTGTTTTTCGACACAATTGGTCTTTAAATCAAACAACTGTTTAGCAAGAAAGCTCTACCAATTTACCTAAGTACCGGTAACTAAATAATTTATTTGGTGGCATTGGCAACCTATTCTGCCAAAGAGATTGTTTTCAAAGCAGCATCAAGCCAAAAAGGACTCAAAACAGGCCGATATTTATGAGGTCTATGAGGGTAAAAAAACGATACTGCAGCCATGATGGTCACTCTCCTCCAATTAAACAGATTAAAACAAGAGATGAAGGATGTGGAAAGTAACCACTGACGCTTCAGCTGCCAAATCACTTAATTGACCTTTTATGACCTGGAAGATCACTCTCTCTCTCTCTCTCTCTCTCTCTCTCTCTCTCTCACAAACATACACTGAACTGAACTCTACATTGCCTTTCATTTCCTTCCACTTTCAGCACGCATAACTTATGGTAGAAAACCAAAGACTTAAATGTACCAGTTGCTCGGGCTCAGGACCAATCGAATGGACAATTTTGTTGTTTGCAGTTTCATTTGTTGTATTTCGTCTTGTGCTCCACTTGTTATTTGGTCTATGCCTGGGCCCCCTTCCAAAACATTCTTTTCATTCGTTTATTGAAGCTGTATTAGTTGGACTGTCATGTGTTTTTTGATGTATGAAATAAAATAAAATCATACAAATGTATGCACTGCTTGGTGCTGATGACTGCAGTGCTAACAGTACGTGGGGGCTACCTAAAGATAGCCCTGCTTATCATCCAATCAGGGTCATGACCTAAATATTTACTGCACTTATGAGTGTATCAATGTCAAATCTTGGATATGGAAAGTAGACAGGTCTCACACGATGATTGGAAAATATATAACATGATGTACTAAGCTGGTATGATATTTCTAAAAGCAAATACCAACGATACTTTGGCCGATAAGCACTTAAGATAGAATTTGGACGAGTTCGCGTAACTACAAATATAACCACTTTTCTTACCTCGGTAGTGATGAACCAGTGCCTGTTGGACTGTGGAGTCTACCAGACCTTCTGGTAGGTCCTAAGGTAGCGTTTGAGCAAGCTGGCCACCGTACATGAATCAGATTCAGCTAAAAGGTCCACTTCCTCTCTGCTCTCCAGCCGCTGTTTGAGGGTTTCCACAGCACGCACATTCCCATTCACTCTGAAAAGGCCCTCCTGATGCAAGGCTGAAGGAAAAACAGAAATAAACTGTGAACTGCTGTAAAGGTTATACAAAAAACGTAATTATATCTGAATCTGAATAATCTGAATAAAAAAAATTATATTCAGAGCCAGACTTTCAACATTCATGAAAGAACAAAATGGTAAATAAATTAGTTGACCTAAAAATGGTAACATTCCCTGTTTGGATAATGACAACACCTGGTTAAACTTCAATTATATTTGAATTAAATGATATTGGTCTCCAGATGAATGTTTCTTATTATTTGTCCTGACCATTTGTCTTGCATGTACACTGTACCTGCTGCAGGACACAGAGGAGAAGAGCAACCTTTGTTCCCAGGGCTGTCCAGCTCCTCAACTCCTAGCCTCTGCTTTATCTGGTCTCATGCACTACATCACTTTATTCTATCCTTTCCATTTCAGTATTCATACAGTTCTGGTTACTTTATTCCTGTTGTTTCTTATCCATCATTGCACTACGGTCACTTTATTTATCTCATTTTTACCTTTACAGTTATATTGTATATATTAATTCCTGTTGTTCCATTATTCACCATGCACCTTATTAACTTATCATTTAGTATTTGCCTACTTGCACATAGCTCTGTATATATATATTTATTTCTCGTTTACTGCACATAGTTCTGTTTACATCTGTTAGTCCGATCACTGTCCACTTATATCTACTCTTCTTATATTTTGTATTTTTAAGTTAAGTTTAAGCTTTAAGTTGTATTTAAATTGACACTTTATATTTAGGTTAAATATTTTTGTTTACTTGCACTGTTGTTAATTTACTGCTCTGTGTGCCTTTGAATTGCCCCCCAGGGGACAAATAAAGTTTTTTGAATTGAATTGTCTTGCATGTTGAATCCAGTGTGTTCACCTGCAACCAGCATCAGGCTGGTTCCCTACTAGTACAAGGTGTTCATTATTATTATTATTATTATTATTGTTAAAGAATACCCTATTGTTTGGTGAATATCTTGGCATTTCTGTCATTTTCTAGACCATTTATATCCTTGAACAATGATGCAGAGATCAGAGAGAGCTGTCAGAGATATGAAATGCCTGCCATGAGTAGTTTAAGATATCCACAGTCATTCACAAGCTAGCTCACTTATCTCGCTAACGCTAAGCTTGCGGGTATGCTACCTTACTAAAGCTTTCACGAAACGTTACCTCCTCTCAGTCGCACTGGACGGAGGAGTGGATACTGGACAATGGTAAGCGTACTATTCGTAACTAAAATGTCAGTAAGCTCACGTTTGCAGGCAAATATTGCATTCTCACTGACCCATTGTCCATCCCGGTGTAGTTGTACGGCAGTGCCCTTATATGGCACTGGTTGTGTAGGTATCCATGACAACCCTTAGTTACTTCAAGAGAAACGCATTTTCCTTTTGGTGGTCTTCAATCCATCCAATTACAATATATTCAAGCGGTTTCATTTTCACCACTTTACTCTTGTGATATGAAAACACAACTTAGGTGTAGTAGTATATACCTACGTTTTAAGCTACCTGTTGCGTATTAAAATAAACTGCCTTTTAAATTTAATGGTTTTAATAATCCTCCGCCTTGAGCAGTAATTTGGAACTACTTTCTGCTGAAGAAATAGTTCCTTAAAAAAAACGTGGGATATATCTGGAGCAGCAAACAGGCAGTCTATGGTAAGAGGTACGGCCTTTTACTTATTTTCCCTGTAATGTGTATTCATCTATTGAACTCTATTATCGATGTGGAGGCAAACACCTCGTCTAACAAAGCCCAAACTTAGACCTTAAAAGTTCAGCAGGTGATTTAGTTTTATTCTCTGTTTTATGTCAGTTTTTGGAGATAGTTCGTGGTGAAAAGTAATAGTAATGATAGCTTTGACGTCATAATTGAAATTGCCAGTATTTACCTTTGCACTGACATAGCCTAACAAGCAAGCAGTCACCATGAATTCAAATTGAAAACTATAGTAAAAAAATCATACAGAGACCTGTAGAGCTACTTGCAGGAGTCATAGTGGAGATCCATCCTTGCACTGACATCTATTGGTCAAACTGCAGAATTACACAGCTGATAAAGTAGGTCAACATTACCAAGCATCGTATCACAGTACATTGTGGTTTTTAAGATCTATTATAGTATTGAGAAACAAGTCTGCATTGGCATTTGTTGACGTTTTTATTATCATCAATGATGGGAGCACATACCACAGATTAAAATGACTCCTGTGCTGCAATGAATGTTATTCTTTCTTATTCTGAAGTAGACCTATATATATCTATTATTTGCCTTTCATGTTTAGAGAGTAATTGCCATCACACTTCAGTCTACTGTATTTGGTTGACTCCTCTTGGCTCAGATTTTTTTTTTATGTGATAGGAAATTAATGTCGAAATATTTTTCTCTCTATACTTACAATGTTAATGTTCCTGTTGTGTGTCAAATTAAAAGTTGCAATTCACACCTACAGAATAGCTGTTGCTACAAAGAGAAACGTGAGCAGTGTATTACATCTTAACAATATAGCATTACATAAATCTCCATGTTCCATTACAGGTAAACTGGGTTGGATAACTTGTGCAGTGTTTTCATAGTACTGTACCACTTTATAATGGAAATACTGTATATTAAAAGAAACAGGAAAGTACTAAACAGTCCAAACACAACTTCAAGATCCTTTTGTCACATCAGCATGCATTGCAAAATAGTTCAATAAATAGCAAATTGATTGTGAATTGTCCTAAAATGCTGGTAAAATCTAAATGTATTGTGTATGGACATTAACAAGTCCATAGTCAATAAGCAGGGGTGGCTGTAGCTCAGTGCTAGAGTCGGCTGACCAGTCATCTTTCGATTGGAAGGTCAGGGTTCGATCCCCAAATTACTCCCATGGCAGCGTGTGTTTTTTTTTTTGTTGTGTGTGTTTTTCCTTACCATGCTTGCGAAGATACTCCACCATCTTCCTCAGCACTAGGGGCACATTGTCCTCCATCAGGCCCTTGTCTTTCAGCTCAGACAGGGTGGCTCCAAACAGCTTGATATGCTTGGCTGCCACTGTCCTTGGTCGTAGTATGGGTATATGGACCATCTTCTTCATGTCTTCTTTAACCTGCACAGCTGTCTTATTGTGCTGCAGGGAGAATAGCAGAGAGTAACAGTCAGCCGGCATCCCGTAAGCCACCATGGAGACACCTGTCCTTGAAGAGGGAGGCTCACTCTGCTCCACAGGCTGAAAGGTACGTGTGATGATAGTGAATCCATAAATGCGCATCTCCAGAAGCTATACACTTAAGAGACACAATGTGCTGAGAGGAAGTGGAGGGCTGGCCATTTATGTGTTGCTACGACAAAGATCAAGTTACCATGCAACGTTTAAGGCAGTGCCAGGGTGACAGTCCTGCACAAATAGACAGAACATGTGCATGATTAGGTGACATCTAGGATTAAAAAAATGAAAAGGCAATGTTCAGAATTTGCCAAAGCTGGCAGGATTTTAAATGTGGATATAAAAGATTGGCTGATTAAATGTTTTTTACTCGAAGGCTTTTTCAGCAAACAAGGGACCGCATGGAGTTAATGTAAGAACTCAGAGTTAAGCATCCAAGGGCTGGCTTCTCAAAGTGACACTTTTTTTTAATACAGTATCATACTTACATTAAATACCCCAGTATTAAGTATCTGTTAAAGAATGATTTGATCATCTGAGGCAGGAATACATACAAAGAGCTTACATTGTACAGTTAAAGTAAAAGTTAAAGATGTGCAGCATATTGTCCTTATACTACTTAATCGTTTTGCAAAATGTGAAACTTGCTTTGCTTCCAATTGTCAGCTGTAACTTAAATGAATATATATGAGTAAATATGGGCATTGGTTTAGCTGAGCTGGAAGAACAGGTGCTCCATGTACAGAGACTTCAGTCCTCGTTGCACTGGACTCAACTTTTGGTCCTGTCGCTGTTAGCTGCATGTCATACCCCACTCTCTCTCCCCACATTTCCTGACTCTCTCGCTGTAGCTTTCTTATCAAATAAAGGCAACCAGCTACTAAAATAATAATCTAGAAAAAAAATATCTGAGTAAAAAAAATGCTTAGAAACGTATCCTATCCCTTTACAGCTTTTGCACTCTCTCTCTCTCTCTCTCTCTCTCTTGGATGCCACTGTAGTTTTGGTGTAACAAAAGAGAAAATGGAAACAAGAAATCAAAGCTAAAAAATATGTTTTTCAGGGCCAACAATATGTGAGAAATGGCCCTTGACGCCAGAAGAACTACAGATTTTGCAGCTTGGCTGACTGCAGCCCAGAGATAGAGAACATCTTCAACAACTGCAGCTGCTTATCGCACTACACTCTGTTACATCTCTGCTGTCTTTAGCTGCCACTCTGAATCCATTATCCGCCTTGGATAAGCCCAGGTATTAATTTAGTGATTCAATTCACCAACTGTTCAGGATTTCTTATCTGATAACTTTTCTAGGCAAACAGTGCCACATGCTGTCTCTATCTCTGGTACACAGACTGTACCACACACACTCCAACTGTCTTTCTCTGAGTGTAAACAATGTGTGTACACAGAAATCGCTCTTCAATGAGCAAACATAATACAGAGAAGGGAAGATTACTGCTTCATTTGCCCCATTTAACTACAGCATAATGCATTTTTGTTTTGTGTAGGCAGTAAATGAGCAGCAAAAAAAAGCAAAGAAACACAAACCATGAGCAGGATTCAGACACTCTGTGAGGAGAGACATACTTTCTGGACTTGGCATGTTTTCATCTGGTCGTCATAGCTACATCTACATCATGTGACATATTGTTATTATTCCAGAGTTCACCACTTAAGACGAGTGAAGTGACCCACGCACTGACATGAGAATCCCAAAGCTATAATTTACCCACAATGAGTTCAAATTGACGTAGTAGGTTTACTTTTCTATATTCTATTTCTATATTAGAAAGGCAGAAGGGGGTGCTAAAGTGGATGTGTTTTGAGCTAATTTCCTATGTAGTCAACAGTAGACAGGATTGGTTCAGACATGCGGCCACACTGAGATCAGCTGATTAAAGCCCCCCTCACAGATGGTCGAGAGAGGGCTAAGGAGGCAAGAGCTTTACCTCGACAGATGCTTTGGTAGCGTAAATAAGAAATGCTTTAGAGGACCTTGCACAGGCGATGTGTTACTGTCAATGTCATCTATTCATTTCTGACAGGTTCAGTTAAAGAATGACTTCCTTATGAATGTGTTATGGTAATTTAGTACATCTAAAGTTTGACTCCGACTGCTTCATGCTTGGGTGGATGCTTTGAAATTGTTACAGAGTGTATTTTAGTGTGGCTAGTTAGAGCTTCATGCGTTCTTAGGTTTTTGTATTTTTTCTTTTAGTCAAGGATTGAGTAATATAACCTTAAAGTCCATACATCAACTTTTGTGATCTGTGATGTCTTGATGATGCATAGGATTGATAACAGGCTAAATGAAAATGAATATATTGCAGTCTTCACGTATACTGTAGAAGTTTAACAGTCTATGTTTGGTAATACTGTCAATACGGTCACAGTAGAGTTATTAGAGCAAAGTGTTACAAACTGTCTCCAGTAGTACTACTACTCATGCAGGTGTTAAAGAGCTAAGCTGGTCTGAGCTAGCTCTGACTGTGATGGGCATTACTGAACAGATGCCCCCTAAATCTGTCTTTACTATCAAACACAATCACGCACACACACACAAACACACGCACACACACTTGTTTTCTTATTAGCAATGCAATTTATTTAATTTGTTAAGATCTCCACTAACAGGGGCTGGTGGCTCAGTGGTTAGTGCGCACGCCCCATGTATGGAGGCTGTCGTCTCAAGCAGGCGGCCCGGGTTCGCATCCCACCTGTGGCTTCTTTCCCGCATGTCATTCCCCACTCTCTCTCCCTGATTTCCGACTCTATCCACTGTCCTATCTATCCATTAAAGGCACAAAAAGCCCAAAAATAATCTTAAAAAAAAAAAGATCTCCACTAACAACAAAAGGCAAATCATACAAGAAAAATGTTCATTCTCATAGAAATAACAATATTGAGTTATCAGCCTTCAGAATCATTTATATCAGGAACACATGAATTGAAAAGAAGAATTGAATATCCCCTCTACTACATTTTTCCTCTGCTGATCAATAAAGTATTATCTTAATTGTCCCAGGCCAACATCCCAGTGAGCGTCTTCCAACCAAAGTCAGAAAAATGTGCACAGACAGAAAACCCTCTCAGGTTGGGACAATTAACACCACAAGGCTCTTAAACAATTGAAAAAACAAATAGTAAATGTAAACAATCCCTTAAGGGTGTCCACATTTTTTTTTATTCTTCTTAATTAAAACTTAATACAAAGAGTCACATTCTAAAATTATGACAACTGAGACAATATGTAAAAGAAACAATTTACAGACTGTGTTCCCACCTGAGCACCAAAGAAAAGTGTTAATGTAGGTGTTGAACTCAGTTGTTGGTAGGTTCCCTTGCAAACACATACGTGTGCTTTTGACGCTTGTTGTTGTAAAAAAAAATCTATAAACTTAGGTTGTAAATACATTGCACTCCTCCCTTTGAGTGTCTTTAACAACATAGAATCCCTCTTCTGAAGAGTTAACACGTCAAAAGCAAGGTTTTTTTGTGAAGGGGAACCTCGACATCCAAAGCCATACAGCTAATGGAAGGGAAACACTTACTGATGATTCCCATTTGCCTCCATTGTTTATGGAGACAGTCTGCTGAGATTAGCATAATAGTCCTCATCCCTTCCTCACCTCTCTCGACTTTAGAATATTTTCACACTCCACCTTCTGACAGTGACAAAGAAGGCTTTTGTCACTGACTGTTGAGAGACTCTGGGAGCTAATGACTGCCTCTTTACTTCTCTTTAGAATAACATTACTTCAAGTGTAAGCTTGAGATACTGTTGTTAAAAAAAAAGTGGTTTAAGTGAGCAAAAACATCTTCTTAATAAGAAGTTTATCACAAGTAAAACAGGCCATCTTCCTGTGTCTTTCTACCCATCTCATAAAGAGGATTGCAAGCCCAAGCATGTGTCCCTTTGCTCCCTGCCCTCCTCCCCTCTCCCTCCTCCCCCCTGTCTCTGTCCCTATGTGGGTGGCCATGGAAGCAAAAGCTCCACAGGCCTGGAAGCAGCAGCTGTTCAAGACAGGGAAACTACTTTTAGAGCCATGCAGTTTAAAAAGTCCACACATTCTTGAGTGTTTAAGTAATTTAGTTCCTTCAAAAAGACTCTTTTCAATACAAAAGTTTAGTGGAAATTGGAAAATGACCTCATGGAGGTAGTGGATCACTGCAGAAAATATGACAGTCGTGGGCAGGAAACATGAAGCTAACTCCCCTTTCTCTTCTTGTACAGTAATACTGACGTATAAGGAAGCAGACTGAACATAGGGCTGCCTAAAAGTGAATCTGCTGTCTCTGTTTTGGCTGAAAGCAAAAGTTTTCATCATTATGCCGGTAGTTACTTATTTTGTGAGTGAGGTTTAAATCATTGACGGGAAGCTTGTTTCTGTCCTTCTGGGAGTTTTAAGAAAGCCACTTGTGTTAAGCAGACCACATAAACATCAACCCATACATCTCAAAAAGGTGTATAGATACTAACACTGAATAGCACAGTCCCATTATGCATTCTTTAGCCCTTAATCACAGGTTGAAAAGGAAATCTTTGTGCCAACTCAGCCTTTGTAGCTTCTACTCACACAGATGGTCAGAGCTCCTGCCCCCATTCTTCCACAGAAGAAGAAACGCCTGCTGAGGCAGAGATGAGAGGAAAAACTGTTGCTATCCTCCCTCCTCTTCCTCACTCTGTTCCAGGACAAACTCTTGAACTTTTCCCAGTGTTGGGAATACGTTTCCCTTTAAAAAGTGCCATCCAAGCACTCTCAATTAAATAAAGCACAAGTAATCCACGTCAGGAGAGAGTTAAGTGCTGTATGTACTGGCAGCCTCTGTGCTGCTCACACCATGAGCACAGATTAGTGCTTGCCTCTTTCTCTTCCTCCCTCTCTATTCCCCTCTCTTCTCCTGGGCTGAAATCTGAGCCGAACTCTCCCATTGGCTGAGTGGCCCGGTCATGTGATTAAAGGGTTAAAACCCCAAACTTTAAATCTGCCTGCTGTATTCGTCTGCCTGTAAGTGAGGAATGAAAAGGAGGAGGGAGTTTCTAAGCACCGGGGACTGGGGGGTTGGCCTTAGGAGTAATAAAACCATGTTGCTGCTACAACATTAAAAAAAGGAAATGTGAATCAGTCCACAATGCTTGCCATACATTCTTCACTTGGACGATTCTCTGTTATGTTTTATGTATGTATCTGAAAGGACATTATTATACTATACATGTATTATCGTAATTTTTATTTAACTGCCAGCTTTATTCATAATTAGATTACATCCCCTAACAACCAACAGAGTGAATATTTAAACTGCTGAATAACAGGAAAGTTCAGGAAAAGAGTTTTACAGTAAATTTCAAGTTTATAGTTTGATTCTGTTTGTAGGATTCAGTGAAACATCAAATGTTTGCCTTCCTTGTTTGCTGACTTATTTCCTTCATTTCCTTTAAATGTTGGTGCAATGCTTCTCTAAATCTCAAACTGTAAAACATCCTGATATATTAGATATCAAGTTTAGATCTGGTGCCATTAACCCACCTTAGAAAACATGCCTTTTTCAAACATATCTTAAAATTCACAATCAGCATAGTGCTTCAAATAAAACATTTTGAACCCTAATTAGAAACCCACAATGCTTTGGTCTGTAGCAGCAGCAAATAGAAACAAATAGAAGCAATGAACACAAAATCTTTCTTTTAAAACATGACCACTAGTGAGTTTTGCCACTTTCATAGATAAACTTCTTCATGTTGTCATAGATCCAGTCGTTGAAGGCAGACACACGGGTGAATACTGAGGGCTTCTTGTCTTTGATGCAGCCCTGAGGTCCAAAACTGACGATGCCGTGCACCTCCCACGTAGGGTTAGCTCCTGCTGCCGCACAGGCGAAAGGACCGCCAGAGTCACCCTGTGATAAGCAAGAGAAGGACATAAAGATTTACCGTATCAGGGGAGAAAGATGCATTAGTGAACACATGACTTTGACATCCTCTATAAATCATCTCTCAAACATGGGCACTGTGAAAGTCACGCTGTATCAAAATGTGTGTATTCCTTGAGGGAGGTTGATGTCAGTGTTGTATTTTTTTCTTCTTGTTATTTCTTGTTTGAAATTTAAAGGCCTTTAGTTCTTAGTGTGTTTCTAGTCTTCCCATGTCTCTTGATGCGTTCTTTCTCATTGTAGCTAACAAATAATGTTCTTGTGTTCTTGTGCCCAATTATGGCTGAAAGCAGGCAGTCATTCCATAATCAAGGCTGACTGATCACAAACAAAAAAGGGTTTCATGGTGTTACATAAAACTTACATAAAACGTGAGAGGCAATTACACACTAAGATAGTGATTGAGGTAAGATTGACGAACAATAATAAACATAGAAACCAAATACCGTCTTTCAAAAATCCAATTTGTCCTCTTAAACATTCAATTTTATTTGTAATTATTCATACATTTTTCGCTGAATGTGTGTCTTTTACCTGGCAGGCTGACTTGAGCTCATCTGGGGACTCATAGCCAGCACAGATCATGGAGGGTCTGAGGATGTCCCACCAGTATGCAGGCTTACTGCAGGTCTGGAAGTCAACAATAGGGAGGGCTGCCTGATTTAGCTTCTCGGACACTTTAGGGAACAGATTACCTAAAGGAAAGACATTAAAAGTTAAGGATTGCGTTGTTGTAGTAAGCACGGACACAAGAAAAAGTCAAACTGCTGTGTTCCAGGTTGAAGTTTCTAAATTTAGGGAATCTGACAAATAACATTTCACAGCTTCCTTACTGATTAGCAACAGAAAAGACAATTGAACAGCTAAAATCCACCAGGAAATCGGGCCATATTTCAAGTTAAAACAACTCATTTGTTAACCTGTTTGTTACGGCCAATAGGCGCTTACATAGTGCCAGTTCAAGGTGGGATATTTACACCCCTGTTTCATCTCGTCTGCAATGTGTTACACACAGAGGCAGAATGGGTGTGTGAAGTCGTTCCAACCCTGATCTTCCGTTGGAGGTAGTTGGGAAATGGGGGTGGGGGCTTACACCAATATTAACACTGTGTGCAATGTGTTAGCACACATCATGCTTATATTTCAGACCTTAATCACATCGAAATTAACACGTTATTGCGACAGCCATAGTTAGCATATATGTTTAAAGTTTTGTTTTTTTCATGTAACATCGAGATCCCCTCGTATTTCTATCATTTAAATCCTGAAAGAACAACATTATGCAAGCAGTTCAGCTCCCTGAGAATGAGATCAGAGCAAAATGTTAGTCATATGAGAGTGGTGAATATAATCTCCCAGACTAAACTGCTTCAGTTACTATAGGAGTCTCAGAACTACAGTTTCTTCTACAGGAAATTGAAATGCCTTGTACCTTTCTCGTCTCCCCAGCCAGTGACAAAGCAGGGTGTCCCAGCGGGCATCACAGCCCCAGGTTTCGGCAGACAGATGGGGCTAATCTCCCTTGTCATATTGACAGGTGTGGACAAATGCACCAGGGCTACGTCATTGGTGATGTCAGTTTTATCCTGCTCGTAGACAAAGCCCTCGTGGCGGATGATACCGTCAACCATGTAGCATTCTTCTGCTGAGGGAACGTCCATGGAGGAGTTCATGTGGTGCTTCCCCAAACACATTCGCCAGTAGGAGGGTTTATTCAGTGAGCTGGAAAACAGGAATAGTGATGGCAAAAATTAGAAGCTTATTACTCTTTGTTTATGTTGCAAACAGGTAAGCCAGATAAAATGATCTCCACCATTTCTTAAGAGAAACCTAAGGTGTAAATTCATAAAGAATGGATGGGCTCCGGTGGTCTAGTGGTTAGCGCATGCCCCCAAATGTACATAGGCTTCATGAGGAATGACATGCGAGAAAGGGGCCACCGGTCGTATTTGAACCCGGTTCTGCTTGGAGGACTATTGCCTCTGTACATGGGGCGTGTACTAATCACTGGGCCATCTGGGCCCTATATGCCCTATCTCAAGTCAGATTAATATTTTCTAGTTTATTGTGAAGTCTCTAGACTCAATAGATGTGAAACCTGTTGGTGACACTGTTTACCTCCTTAGACAGCCATACCGATTATATAGAGCTTCAAATATCAGGAAAAAAATGTGCCTTTATTTGCCAGGGTTGGGTCCTGGACAGCCTTGGATGGATTTAAGCCTTGATTGTAATAATCATGTCAAATGTTTGATAATAAACTGTATTAACAGACAATTTTATTTTTTTAGCTCAAAGAAAGTGGAATTGTTGTCAGGTTGATAATAAATCAAGAACATTTCAACACTTATAAAACCTTGACCGCAGTAACCCTCAGACAAAAACAGTCTCCTACTCTGTGTGTGGCTTGTTGTTCGCAATGAGGTTCAATTGCATGGAAAGGGGCAGATTTCTGTCCTAAATGTATTCAAAGTGGCTGAATTACATACAAACAGCAATGAAGTACAGAGACGCTTTTTACTCTGCAGTCAACACATAGACACAGCACTTTTACTTTGTTTTGTTATACATTGTTTCAACAAAGATATATTTATAGCTTCTTAAAAATGGTACTATGGTTATAACTTACAACATGAAACAGTGAGCAGCAGTTAGGATCCATTCCTCGTGAATCAATGAACCTCCACATCCATGCATGTAAGGTATGGGAGACATTGGTGACGCCTCAAGAAGAGATAAATAATAGTACAAATGTAAGCCCCTTTCAATCACTGTAATTCAGGATCACAGAGGAACAGTTCACTTTACCTGCATGGAGACTTGCCAGGGCCAGGAATGGGGGATCGCCTCTTCCCCATTAACCACCCTCATGGCGCCTGTATTTGGTTTAACTTCTGGTCTTCCACAATCTACTGGCCAGTCTGGAAGTGGAAATGTAATATAACTATTTATATTAAGCTTTTATCAGTTAATAGTCTTCAACTTGGATTCTAACAGGTATAGTATAAGACAATTGTAAAGCAGACATTTGAGATGATCTAGTTTCAGATCCTGCTACAGTTTATTCCATCTTGGGAGAATTTTCTTTGCCTATAGTTTTGAATCATGGACCTCCATATGAGATCACAAAACACGACTCATATGAGTCAAATGAATCCTTCACTCACCGATTGTTATATTGTCCCAGGGGTTTGGAGGTGGAGTAGGTAAAGTTGGGATAACACTGGAGTCAGTTGTCCAGTAACCTCGAAAACCTGCCTGTTGATTGTCTTCGTTGCTAATGAAGCGAATGACAGCTGTGCTGCCAGGGACGGTGATGGTGGGTGGAGAGGCAAAGCCACAGAATCGACCTGCAGAAAAAAGAAAAGGGGATGAGTTTCTCAGAGTAAATAACAAAAAAAAAAAAAAGAAAATAAACACCAACACATTTTTTGTACAAAAACTAACCAAGTAATGCCATGCTTTGTCCGTTGAAGATCTCCACATAGTCCACACAGTTTCCCAACGTGTTCACGGCCTGTACCTCAAAGTGAGTGAAGGCTATGTGGAGGCTTTTTGCCGAAGGTACATTGATACGCCATGTGCACACAGACCCGGATTCGTAGTCCTTGGGCCAGTTTGGAGAGAGGATTTCACCCTGATTACTGCTGAAGCTTCCTCCACATGGAGCTTTGTGTGTGTTTTTGTGTTGTTGATATGGAAGAGAAAGAGTAATGGGGAAAAGAAAGAAAAACAGACATTAAGCTACATTAGTTTAGCCTTGAGGATATAACCACAGTATCTTGTCAGGTACATTTTCTCCTTTCTCACCCTCTGTTGGGTCCACTGCTTTCCAGCTGGCAGTGAAGCCTGTGTCCACCACTTTGTCATTTGAAGAGAAGCTGATGTGAAGTGTGTTTCCATCACTCACCAGGTCTTTAGGAGGCTCATGACTGCAGTGTCTGCCTGAAAGAGAAATGATCATGGCAGACTGTCAGCTGACTTATCTATCAGTGTTGTTATTGTATTTCCGAATCATTATTCTTTTCCAATTTTTTAATCATATGTTCACAAAATATACATTTTAAGGCTGAGATATCAGAAATTGTATATGACACAGCCATAGGCTAAGCTACAAATGTCAACATATTTGATAGGTCACCTAACTGCTGTACATCAAAGATATTATTGATGATGATGGTTGCGACGATGTTTTATTTTTATTTTTATAATGACGACCTATAAGATGGTTTCTATACTGATTAGAGCTCCCAAGAACTGCCGTCAATGTTGTGCTTTGCCTCTGTGCAGTGCCTGTCAGCACCTGTGTGTCCAATCGGACTCAAAGCTGATCGTTTGCTCTTACTGACATTGTTCCCTCTTTTCTAGATCCTTGCTTGTGTTGTTCTTACTCTCTGATGTACATCGCTTTGGATAAAAGCGTCTGCTAAGTGAATTGTATTGATTGTATTGTATTGTATTGACATAGTAATAAACTGAATAAGACCTACTGAGTTGCAGGCAAAGCTTCAGACTCTAATTGCAGACGTAATCATACATTTTCACTTTTTTTTGTTGTTGCAACTTTTCAGTTTGGAGCTTCAGGTTGAGGAGATATGGTCCAATTGGTCTCCTATGTAGATTCTGAACTCAAATCACACCTTTGCTCCTTTCTATGAAAAGAATGTCTCCTCTTAGATTTTTTTTCACTTAGCTTTTGAAAAGCTTATATTACCCCGAAGACAGTTGAGACAGAAATCTACATCTATATCTTTATCAGCCTCACAGTTCTCTCGATGGCAATGTCATTTAGTCAGACTCCCACTTTGATCCAGACTGAAATATACTGCCACTGATCAGTGACTTGCCATGTTTTGTAAAGACATTTGTGATTCACAGATGATGTATTCTCCTGAATTTGATGACTTCTCGTTGACGGCCTATATTTTTACCAACCACTTGCATTGTTACATTTCTTTAATGTCCCCTGACCTGTATACATCACCATCATCAGGAAAAAAGACCCTAACCCGATAACAACAAAAAAAAACAACCTTATTTGACCTTAGTTCAGATAGTTTTCTGTTTGGACTTTTTATCCTTTGTTTGAATATTGTGTTACATAATGCAGAGTCCCTTTATATTTGCAAAGTCATTCATTGATCCATTGAACGACTACGCAAATTCATTTCCAGTTGTAGGGAAACAGTCCCAGAACGGAGATAATTACATACCTAAACTTCCTACTCTGTCACTGAGGATGACTTTGTCATTCAGGCACATCTGGCTCTCCTCTAGGGAGAAATTTTGGAAACGTAGGTGGACCAGTTTGCCGTCAGGCACCTGGATGTTCCACTGGCAGCTGGCTTTATTGCTGTAGCTGCCTGGGTAACCCATGGAGGACACCGTGCCTTCTGTGCCAGTCAGGTCCTTTGGCCCTCCACAGCCAGATGCTACACAGGGAGGACAGAGAGTCAAAAGCAGCCAAAAATCCTGACTTTGTACCATATTTCATTTTTTTTCTCCTGAAAAGTAGGCCAATAAAGACCAGCTGGATTCATACTGTGCTCGTTGTAGATGTCCCTGCGGATGACATTTTGGATCCAGGGGAGGTAGGCAGAGGAGCGGGTGAACACAGAAGGTTTCTTATTCATGATACATCCAATGGGGCCGAAGCTGGTTATACCATGAACTTCCCAAGGACCACCGGCTTTATCCTGGCACACTAAAGGACCACCTGAATCTCCCTTTCAGAGCCGCAAATCACAACAAAAACAACTTTAGCATCATGTTGTTTAACACCATGCGTATAAAGTTACATTTATGAAATCACGTTGTTGATGATCAACCTACTATTGATATATTACTTGTGAGCTCTTAGGGGCTTTATATTTACCTGACAGACAGACTTGAGTTCATCAGGCAGGGTATAACCGCAGCAGATCATGGAGGTCTTGACCTGGAACCACCAGTAGTCCATCCTCTTGCAGGTGTCATGAGGCACAACAGGCAGGGCGACCTGGTTCAGGGCCTCTGCCACTTTAGCATTCATTGAATCACCTAAAAAATAATTGTTACAATACCTTTAACGTGTTCCACTTAGGAGCATAAACAAAGGCGGTATTTTCACATTTAGTCCAGCAGAGGGCATGAAAGCTCTGCAAGAATGCATTGAAAGCATATTCAGGGTACACATAATAGAAGTGAATCAAGTCATCAGTGTAATGTAGTTCAAATGTGAGACAATAGTTAAAAAATGATTATAAACTGTTTGAGCATCAATGCAGTACCGGTCTCATCTCCCCAGCCGGTGGCGTAGCACTTCTTGCCCCCCGGTAGGACCTCTTCCTCTGAGGGCAGGCAGGCATACGAGATCTCATCACTGGGCGTCACATCTCCATCCAGTCTTACAAGAGCAATGTCAAACTCCACTGTGGGCACAGTGGGATACTTGAAGCCCTCGTGGCGATAGATGCCAGTTACATCGAAGCAGTGTTCACTCGGCTCCGTGTAGGTCAGGTTGTGTTTGCCCAGGCACATGCGCCAACGCTGCAGCTCATCAGCGTATCTGGAAAATCAGGAGATTAGCCTATAATAAAACCTCACAGTTTACAAAACACCTCGAGTTACATCTAATCGTCACTGCACTATGAAGCGAACAGGGTATCTCTGCACTGGGGCAATTATACTTAAACAAAATAAAGATTAAATGTGCTTTGATCAGTCTCCTTCTGCTGCTCATAATGTTTATGTCTCCTATCTTAAAGCAGAAGAATTATAGAGCACACACACACACACACACACACACACACACACACACCATCATGCACCAACAACTATCTCTTCAGGGAACTGCAGACCATTAGCCAAGAAGTAGCAACATCTCTAACAAGGCACTGTTATAAGCCTGAGGTAAAGCACACACACCAATAACTGCCCTGTGAGATTACACAAGTGGTCTCTCAGGAAGATTGAGGAACCTTTTTGGGAAATCGTGCTGGTTTTTTTAGGCAGAATGACCCCCATAGTATTCCCCCCGTTTTTTTAGGGAAGATGTTTAAAGTTGGTAGATTGAAATTGAGCTCCTCAAAAATAAAATGTGTACATTGTATTATTTGGGATGCTGATGTAACATAGCATGTACCTCATGAAGCAATGGGCTGCTGTAAGGACCCAGTTCTTGTGAATAAGAGTACCGCCACAGATGTGGAAGAATGTGGGCTCTGGTCGACTGTCAGGCCAGACCTGAAATAAACAAACACACAACAAGAGAATGACTCATTTAAGATATTTGCATATAGAGTAGTAGAGATGATACTATATCCTCTAGGCAAACTGTATTTATAAATAAGTGAATATCAGTATCCATGCATTCAGGCATTCAGTTTATATGGCAAATATAAACGATAGAAGATGAAAATGACACATATTGCATTTTGAATATATTCTGCTGGTTTATCTGTATACTTTGAAACCACTGATATTCTGTGCTTTTAGTAGTATCTCTTTGTGAATGCTCAGCATGTACTAGCTGAGTCTCTCACCTGCATGGACACTTGCCAGGGCCAGGAGTGGGGCTTGGCTGGCTCTCCATTCACAATGCGTGACATAACAGCAGGGGGAATCGCTGGTTTCCCACATTTACTGGGCCAGTCTGGAAAAAGAGAAGAGCAGCATTGTTATCCATCCATGTTAGTAGCTGACTGTGCATGTAAGGATTTGTGTTTCTTTTGGTATGTTTGTGTATAAACAAAGCACGAGTATACAGAACAATATCTGCAGCTAACAGATAAGCCTGTGTCTCTGGCTTTAAATCACTGGCTCTGATGCTCTCTTTTGTATTTTTGAAATAATTTTCCAATAACACGAGGTTGGCACTGCTGGCTGTGGACAATGCCCCCTGTGTTTTTGGCTTTCACTAATCCACTTGTATTCAGTGTATCTTCATGCAAGCATAATACCATTCTCCTGCTGCAAACAAAAAATTCTTCCTGAATTGGATTTGTAAAAATCACAGTTTCAAGGCCAGACAGCGTGAAATCCCAACATTTCTCGGTGTAAATATATACTATGGATATCTAGTGATGATCTGAGGAGTGGAAAATAAATGAGGCCTGTAACTCTGTACCCAAACTTTGGCCCTCTATGTCTACTCTCCTCTCTTCGCTCAGCACACAGGGTACCTGAGCTACCTGTGGTCACAGTCTTGGTAGACAATAACTCAGAGTCAGCAGGCTCCATCTGTAAAACTCTATACCAGCAGTTGACTTGGCAGGAGCCTGGAACACCTGGGGCATGAAGTATGAGGTTCAGGTGACAGCAGGCAAGGAAGAAGAAAAATGTAGCACTAAGCCACCTTAAGATGTGTTCACAACTACCAACACACCCATATCTCCTTGTTTTACAGCACATTTGGTGCATCAAGGTGGGAAAGGGGCGTGTGAAGAAGGGGTGAGGAGAAAGCATGAATCAGATAAATATGAGTGCAGAACTCTGCTGGACAGGAGCTCTTTGAAAAGTAGATGGTGGTCATTGTGAATGGTGGTGGAAAATGTAATCACTACTGACCTCAAGAACCTGCAGAAAATCAAAAAACCTAAAACAGATAAAATAGTTATAAGGCTAAATAATCAATACAAATTACAATTATTTCTTTTATTACTGTTGATGTGATTGAGTCTGTTTAAATTTGTTGGGTTTTTTCAATTTGTATTTCAAACAGGCGCCCCATGTACAAACTATAGTTTTTATGCTGTGATTCAGCATTTTGTACTAAACACCTTTAAGCCAGTTAATAGCATTTGTGCGAAAACAGCCAAACCCAGAATTAGTATGTTAGATAGAGGGAAGCACAATATCTTAAAAAAGAGACAACTGAAATGGATGAACAAAATGTAAAATTACCCTTGATTCATCAGTTTGACCTCTTATGCAATGCACTATTAAGTGATCAATTGTTCTACTGAAATCATGGATAAGTGTAAAGTTGAATGTGCCATTAAAACTGTTGAGTAATGCATATGTTAGTAAACCACGTATGTCAGGTGTATAAAAAGCACCTCACCTATTTTGATGTCGTCCCATGGGTTTGGCTGCAGAGGAGTCTCTGTTGGAGCAGGCAGACTGGTATCAGTTGTCCAGTAGGCCCTGAAGCCTTTGGCCTCAGTCAACAAGTCTGTGTGGAAACGGATCACCAGCCTGTTGCCTTTTGTCTGGATGGTAGGAGGCAGCTTGGTCCCACAGAATGGACCTAGAGTGCATTCAAATAAAAAGAAATGTCGATAGTTATTAAAGTAACACAGAGACTTTACAAAATACATTCACAACAGTAATGTACACAGAATTAGAAATGACCACCTAAATATACACCACAAACTTACCATGCTTTACAATCTGCTCATTAGTCGCACCGTTGATGTCGTACACCGCTATGTTATCAAAACATTTGGATGTCAGGAAATCTTCGGCTTCCAGATCAAAGTAGGTGAACTGCAGTGTGATTTTTTTCCCCACAGGCCCAACGATGTTCCACATGCACTCAGAGTTAGCCTTGTAGTTCATGGGCCAGTTGAGGAACTTGATAACTCCCGTGTCCTCTTTGGAAGAAAAACCACAGCCCTGGATCTCTGAAACACGAAGAGTGAGTCATTGAAAACCAGCAAAAGTGAGCTTTTCAAGGCTACCTGCCTGTCACATTAGAATCTGAGAGTTATACTCGCTCATTTTTTCCTCACTTAATCGAGTTTTGGAAAATATAAAGAAATCAATTAAAGATAGAACCAAGTTTTTGCATTAAGAATATCTGATTATTATTTGTAACTTAATTAAGTAACATATCATTGTAGGCTAATTTAGAATTCTCTGGGAAATTATCTGCAAAATCATTTCTACAATAAAGACAATAGTATTCATCAAATAAGATTTACACATTAATAACCCTTCATTTAAGATGCAGTGTTACAATTAAAAAGGTCTATTCTATAATAATCCTCTCAATTTCTTAACCATTAAATATTCATATTTCAGACAAAGTTGGACTTTTAGCTAAGTGAGTGGGGTCTTTCTTCATTTTCCTGCCTGATAATAATGATAATGAAACAGACAGAGGAGTTTTATCTCCTTTTTATGCTACACCTGTGCTTTTACTGAGGCCACACTGCTTATGCAATGTGTTGAAATATGCAGCAGAGGAGCTGGATGTTTTATGGTTCCTCGAAATGAACCGTTGAGCTGCTTTTGCAACATGTGTCCCTGTGTGCTGTTTTGTTTGTGTGTGTATGTGTGTGTGTGTGTGTGTGTTGTTGCCAGTGCATGTGTGTTTGTGTCCTTGGTACCTGTGATATCCTCTGGATACACAGCCTCCCACTTGGCAGAGAATCCTCGGTCTGTGAGGCGACCGTCGGACTGGAATGTGACGGCTAATGTGTCACTGGCACTGACCACCACAGGGGGAAGGATGTAGCCACAGTGTGTGCCTGAGGAAGAGAGTGACAGAGAGAGAGAGAGAGAGAGAGAGAGAGAGAGAGAGAGAGAGAGATGGAGGTCAATGGAAAAAAATCAGGAGATGGTCCATGCTAAAAGATAGGAGTCTTAACTCATGTTCACTTTGTGGGTAGTTCATTGTGTGTTTGTGAGTCTGAGTGTGTTGTGTGTGGTTGGTTGGTGGTTGATGGATGGGGATGCTGACAACTCTGACAAATGAAGGTGACTTACACTGCCTGATAGTGTGACTTCATCGGCTACTTAACACCAACAGTCAGTCGAAGCCTTAACGGCTCTTCCATAGTTCATGAACACGGAAGATAGCACAAGCTGCTAATATTAGCAAACAGAACTAGCACACACGTAATGCGATTCATAAGCAAGATGCAGCCTTTTCTGAAGCTATATCAGCTTCGAAAAGTTCTTCTAACTTCTAAAGAAAATATATTTTGGAGTGATTAAAAAAATTAGCAATTAGAAACATTCCAGATGTGATTCAAGCAGATTTTCATGCATGATTAAAATGCAGTCACACTCCTATTTATCAATCTTCAAAATGTATTTTCATTTTCAATTTGTTGACAAAATAGTCAAACCCTAACGTCCAAATCTTTTTTTTTTATATAAAAATCAATTAATTAATGCTTGTGTCATAGCTATTCATACCAAATAATAACCAATGTTTGTATGATCACATAAACACATTGATCTATGTTCCAGTTTTGAGCATGACGTCACCAAAGATTCTCATCACAAACCAAAAAATAGAACATTTGAAAGGTAGAAAGAATAAATATTCCTGCTTTTCTTAAACATTTAATCTGTTTTCAAATGTGCAGCTTGAAATGTGCAGCATATGGGTGCAGAAAGACAAAAAAAACAGGCGCACAGCAATGCTTTACTGTCAGTGAAGAAAAAAAGATGGACAACTCACCACAGAGTATCATAAGGAAAAGCACAACAAAAATACGAGTTCAAAACTTTAAAGGCTTTTAAAAAGCGACAAATTTATGAAGGATTCTCAGTTGTATCTACAGTACTAGCTCTACAATCCTTCCACTTGCATGGAGCCATTTGTGAACTGTAATAATTTGTTTCATAGCCAGGTCGTGATTCACTCAACTACAGGAAATTACAAAAAAGTAATTGGATGCCTAAAAACTGACTTTTTCATTTCAGTCACAAAACAATCCCCGTCTAATATTAGCTGTATAATTAAAAATCTGCCCAAACGCTTTTTGTCATACGAGTCCTAATGAGGCTGAAAAGGCTAAGGATGAATCTAAATGAATGTTATAAATACTTCCTATAGAGATGTTTGTAGTTAATGCCTTTTCAGACAGACTACAGTAGCTATTCTAGTGTCTGTAGACTGTTTTTCATTTGTCTCTATAAACACATTCCCCTGGAATAACAGGACGCACCACTTACACACTCTCATCACCCTTTGTGTGTTTTCACAGAGAGCGTGTACTTGTACCTCAGCGCTTTAGTCCTTGGGGGCTCAGCAATAGATAAAGCTGTATCAGCCTCACTGCAGCCACTGAAGTGAATAATAAGGAGAGGTAATTTATAGTTTTCCCAGCCCTCTGCAAAGAAGATCCTAATCAACTGTTTTACAGCAAGGGGAAAGATATGAGCTATAAATATACTGCAGTAGAGAGCTGTTAGTCTAATAAGAGGCAGTAAACAATGTCAGAGTCCACATATGTATTGATAGGCTATAATCTAAGCAGATAGATATTAACTTCTGGCTGGTTTGTTGCAAGTTCCTTCCCATTGGCAGCAATTTAGGCTGCACAAAAACAAACATGCAAATGTTTTTGTCGAATAATCTGGGATACATGCAAGATGCTCAGGTCGCTCAGACGCTCAATTGTATATTAATTTATTTATGGCTGTACTCGGGCTCACCCAGTGTAGTGTATTCATCTGAGATGATCAGTTTGTCTTCCTTGCACTGTCCCATCTCTCCTGGGATGGCCAGCTCAGTTATCTGCAGTTTAACCAGGAACCCTTTGGCCACTATTATCTTCCAGGAGCTGTTTAGATGAGCAGGATATGGATTCGGGAAACCCAAGGACTGGATCACACCTTTACGGCCCTGAAGAATGACTGTATCCCCACTGCCTGTCCAACAGTAGAGAAACAATACATTTAATGTATAATGTGTCATTTATAATATTCAGGAGTCATTATGAACAAAGTTTTGAAATGAAAAAGGAAAAAAGGATTTAGAATAAAAAGATGTAACATATACAAATTAAAACCATGAACAGGTTCATCATGTGTTACCTTAATTGGCCACTGGGGACAACTAGTCAGTGTGCAGATAGCTTCAAAACAGAAATGAAGAAATGACCCTCAAGAGGAATCTCCCCACTCCCACACACTGAGATTCATGCATGTATCCTCATGTGTTAGCTGTAAGTTAATTGGTGTCTTGTTTGTGTGGTGAAAAATGCACAGGAGGACTTACCATTATCATGTATCAATAAGAATTCACTGGCCAAAAAGGCAAGGCTCCTTTTTTTAAGGGTATATTTTTTGGCTTTTGTGCCTTTATATGAGAGATAGGACAGTGGATAGAGTCAGAAATTTGGGAGAGAGAGAGAGAGAGAGAGACAGGAACGAAATGTGGGAAAGGAGCCACAGGTCGAATTTAAACCTGGGGCTATGCCTCTGTACATGGGGCGCAGGCATTAACCGCTAGGCTCATTTTTGTGTTGTAAATGGATCTGCTGCGATGCAAGACAAATTTCAGACTTTGTCTGACAATAAAGTTCAATAAATCAATCCTGAATTTAAAGAACTTAAGGATTAATAGTATAATAACGTAATATGAATAGGTAAGACTTATTAGAGCTTGTACGACTTATTAAACTCCCTGAAGACATGTACAAAATACAAGGTTTGGATTCACTAGCTTCTTTAGAAGCTAGTAACTAGCTTCTTTAGAAGCTAGTTAATGTCAAATTGGTGGTGATGCTATTGTCTCGTAGTGAAGCAATCAGTTATTTCATATTCATTTTTCCAACCAAAAATAGTGAAGTGAACCAAACTGTTTGATGTATACATTACTATAAGAACATTTTGAGAGCATGTGTGCTCCCCCATGGCCAATACTTCAGATCTCTTTAATTTACCAAACTCCAAGTGCAATCCCGTCTGATACTGATACTGTTTGTTTCCAAAAATATCATGATTATGTCCAACTATGGATGTGTCTAGCTAAAGAAGGGGAAACTTGTCGACATCTCAGCTGTGAATTTATTTTGACTGTCATTTTTTTCTTGTAAATTCACAACACCATTCTTTTTGGTGGTCACAAAGGTCTTTGTTCTTGTGAGCGCATCCTTTGTGAATCTCATTTGTTGTGTTTGTCAGTCAGAACTCTTCCAAGTTTCAGCAAAATCTAGACTTAATTTTTTTTTTTCGCAGTCATGCTGACAAACAGACAAACGACATCAAACCATGACATTCTTAACAGAGGTGAATATATGCAAATCCAAGCCCATTAATTCATTTGTAAGTGTTTAGGAGGCAAGAATGAAAGTCGGGTTGGAGAGAATTCTTACCAGTAGTTGTAGGTATTGTGGGTTTCGCTGTAGTTGTTGGTTTTGCAGTGGTGGTGGGAATAACAGGTGGAAGGCTGGACTTGGTGTAAGTTGCTTTAAATCCTTTAGAAGTCAGAGTGTTGTCGGATTTGAAGCGGACCACCATTGTGTTGCTGCTGGACTCCACTGGCTTTGGCATCGTCCCTCCACAGAATTTGCCTTGGATGGATTACAGTCAGTCTTAAAGAGTGATCAACATTTACATTTACAGTTCCCGCACAATAACAGAGCCATGACCCACGCAAATGACGAGTTTCACAGTCTATTATAAAATCTTACATGTCCTTTTGTCTATAACTGTGAAACATTCTGTGATGATGTGTTACATTGTAAAATACCTGTTAATCTTATACTCGCAAAGCTTACCTATTGAAGGAGATCCAGCCTTGTCGCCATCGTAGACCTGAACAAAGTCCCCACAGACTTCAGGGACCAGGTCAAAGGAGGTAAATGTCAGACGAACCCTCTCGCCTTCAGGCACCGTGATTCTCCACTAATCCAACATAGACAAAAAAAAAAAAAACAAGAACAATGATTTTGACCAAATATTGACTTGTAACAGAAATGTCTTATATCAGTCCACAGAAGTCTCACTGAAGGATCAAGCTTCTCTCTGCATCACTCCATGTGTTTCAAACGTGTAATGGCTTGAGCTGCATTGACACATTTTTTACTGAATGTATCACTTATTCTGCTCTTGTTTGTTTGGACAGGTGGGGGACTTGTCAAGCTAATGCAAAGCCAGATTAAATCGCGATGACAGCCAAATAACACTATTTGACTAAGCTCAAACCCAGCTTGTAGTGCAGCTGTCACATTGTAGCGTTTAATGTGTCCCCCTGTTTATGTGTTTGTCAGTACCTGGTACAGGGCTCCATTTATATAGTTCTGCTCTGTGAAGCTGGGGGTCATCAGATCTCCTCGGTCACCTTGAAGAAAGCCACCAGCGCCGGCTATTTCTGTTGAGCAGGCATGAAGGGCACTTCAGCGCCACATATACCTCAACAATACCCACAATACACAACTCCAATTTCACCCCATATTCATTCCCCTTCTCCTACCCCTCTCTTCATCCAGCATCCATTACTATAACATTGACTTTCTAGGTCAGTCATGTACAGAAAGACACATATCCAACATAACGCCAGAGTGAAGGCAATTTTCTAGCTGAAATGGATTTCCACTCATCTTCTTACCTGGTGCAAGCTTTTGAGACACAGCTTTGTAATGAGCCTTGAATCCTTGGTCTGTTTTTCTGTCATTGGTGTCAAAATACACCGTCATGCGGTTTGTAAGTGACACCACTGGATTTGGTTTGGTGTAGCCACAGTATTTACCTGCAAATTCCCAAACAAAATGTTTATAGACAATCAATTCGGCAACCAACATTCCTCTGCGAAAGAGAGGTAATTATGAAAATATAATAACATATATGATCACAAATGTTCAGAAAATGAACTTAAAATGACGCCTTTCAGGTCTGCAGCTACTTGAACTTTGTTACAAAAAACAAATTGTTTTGAAATGATTTCATCTTTGAACATTTTAAAGCCTTTTTATTTGTAAGTGTGGCCTAGTCTTAATCGCCTGAGGGGATAATTGCCTGTAAATATTTAAGGGACAACAAAAAAATAGAGGATCAAAAAATGTCTGGGAACCAAGTGTACTGCTTTCATCTCTGCTGTCTGGTTGGTGAACTAGTGGAAGAGAGTGTGTTACTGAAAGTAGAGCAGTGTGCAGTGGACCAGCAGAGCTGTCTGGCTCACTAGCTGAGCCTGCCAATGGATGGATGGATTGATTTGGACAGGACATAAAAAAAATGCCTCTGAATGCTGAGAGTATATTAAATCTAAGTGCAGGGCCAAACATCTACTAAATCCAAAAAAATTAAAAGGTCCACTAACTGTCCCTCCTGCGTTGGGGCTAATGTTTCTTTTTTTACCAATAATTCCCAGAGAGTCTGTCAATGTGATGAGGTCTCCTGTGCAGAGCTGGGTGTCCTCCAAAGCAAACTCCTCGAACCACAGATGGATCACCTGCAACAGAAGCATGCAGAGGTGTTTCATCTTTCTTATTTTAAATCTGAGAAGCAGATAAGAGAGAAGAGCTGCCTCAAGGTGAGAGAGAGAGCACATGTGTGAGAGTATGTGAAACCGTGTCAGTGCATGAATATACCTATGCACGGGTTCCCTATTTAGGTTAAAAGAGAGACAAAGGGAATGTAGTTGTAAAGGGAGCAGCAGACAGGCAGTAAGTATGGCAGCTATGCTATCAGAGGAAGCAAAACCCAGGATTTAGTTTTCTACTGTGGGTGTGGGGTGAAGTGCTAGGAGGAGAATAGAAGAGACAAGGCAGCCATCTGTCCAAGAAGCTACTGCTGCAATCATCCCAGCTGTCCCCACTGCTTGGCCTCACATAAAACAGTTTCCCCAACTGCTACATGCCGATCTCCGATCATTAGACCCCAAGAGAAAAAAAACAAACAAGACCGTGCCTGAAATGGAGATTTTAGAAAATGGTTTTTTTTGTGTAAAAAAAGAAAAGTGGAAAGAAAAATGCATTAAAATAGAAAAAATTGTTTAGGCCATTGCGGAATAATCTCAGCACTTTACCGGTTCCTGTGTCTTTTGTGCCTGATGAATAAAAATCGTACAAATCTTTTCATTATCATAAATGATAAAGCAGGGCCAGAGATCTTCTTTTTTTTATTCCACATACTCCTCCTCTTTGTCAAAACGTTGCACTTGTGTTACCCATGATGCTGCACAAAACCTTCAATTCAGACAGATATGTGGGTGTGTTATGCTGAAGGCAGCATATCACTTTGAGTCACTGGCCTGAAGCAGAGATCAGGGGCGATTTAGGTCTGGTAAGATCACATCCACCATTTTTAAAAATCATTTTAAAGCCTGCAGTCTTCAGAATAAATGGATGCATCACATTACTATGCACATGGACTCTCAATACAGACTTTGTTGTTTGAAATCCCCCTTTCAGATTATGGCAGTGGAGATCATGATAATAATGATTGCAGCTGTTGCTTTCCTATTCTTTTTATACTACTTTTAACAGTTTACAAGGTACTGTACATATTCCACTGATTTAGGTTTGAAAGAGACCTCTGATGTTGTGTGTCACCTTATCAGGGTCCACAGTGATGTGCCATGTGCAGCTCCTGCCGTTGTCATAGCTACTGGGATAGTGAGAGCTGGTGAAGGTGCCTGACTCTCCAGAGAGCTCCTGGGGACCACCACACCCTGATTCTGGCCCTGGAAGTGTATGGAAAAGATGTATGCTTGTTATTGTATAGTTCTTAGATTATAGGACCTTCTCTGCACTTATTTAGAAGTATAATGTATTATTTACTGGCAAATCAAAGTGGCTTACACGACCAGCATTTCACCCAATGACCACATTGACTCGGCTTAGTGGACGCCCCGCTCTATCTTCTTAACATGATGAACCCCTTACAGCTTCTGAAACTTCATAACCGCTCTCTTACTTTGCCATCCACGGAGCCATGCTTTCAATTTGAAGGTATAATATGTGACTTTCAATCCAGTAGATGCCGCACTTAAGCGTCAGACTCTCAGACCAAAAAAAAGAAAAAAAAAAAAAAAACTGGCTCATTGCACCACCTCCTCTCCATCTCACCCCTCCCTTATTGTTCCAACCAAGTGCAGCCGTTTGTAGGACTGATCTCCATTCAGATGTGAAGCCCCAATGTTGATGCTGCCATTATATTTTTCAGCATTTTAGACCAAACAAAGTACTTCCTTCAGTTTGAAGTATTTGTGCATCGACACACTACTGTGCCATTGTGCCTCTACAAACAGCGTTGCAGCGCTGTCTCCCACATGTGTTGGTAAGGCTGACGGATGGAGGGGGAGGGACTCCTCATGTATGAAACATGTTTGAGCCTCTGTGCGAAACATAAACCTGCTGAAGGAAGAGTCGTGCCATCAATATGAACACAGAGCTGAGAACAACAGACCCAGTGGAAGTCTTACTTCATCCTCTCTTTTTTAAAATACATTACTCAAGGATCTATTGAGTTAGGATTTATTTGTTATATTGTGTTTAGAATAATGCACATTATACCGTTAACTAAAAACATTATTGTAATTTTTTCACAAATTTTGTTGAATTAACATCTTCAAATCCAAAAGACTTTGAGAACAATATATGGTATCTGCATTGGAATTCAAATCAATTGCAAAGTCCTTGGCAACAGCATTGATTATACAGTATGTCATCATCCACAGCAGCAGCATGCCTTCCTCCCTGGTGGCTGCAGCAGCTTGTGTTGCTGAGCCGGGAATGCGGCTGTGTTTAACAACAAAAACTGGCTGACATTTTATCATTAGGCAGAACATAACTGTCAGCACACTCATAATGTTTTTTCTCTTGTGTAAAACATGCTAACTCATTCTGGGGGCAATGATCCTTTTAATGCACTTCAAAAAGACAGACTGCGGTTTCCCATTATGTTACAATGAAGTCTCAGCGATGAAATAATGTGAGAACAAATGATTTAGTCAGTGAGAACAGTGTGCAGATCATCACTTCTTGTTGTACATTATATGCCGTGCAGAAGATGATGAAAGCAAATTGGTTCAGCTGATGAAGGTTTAACCACTTTATCCTCTCGTGCAAACGCAAACAATTCACCCACTTCAATTTCAAACGAAAACAGGGAAGCAAAACGTAGTCAGCCCTCTTTCTGCAAGAAGTATGTTTCCCTGCTTAAGTCCAGAACAAAGCATGGGTTTTTAAATGAAAAAGGAAAATGGAAAGAGATCAAGTAGAATTCATGGCGTAGGCGGTCATTTATTGGTGTACTACCGCTATTATGAAAGCTGATCATGTATTGATAACCTGCACAATATTAACATGACAAATGTCTACAGGAGTCAGTGTATGATCAGTAGTTATAATACAGTTAGCCTTCTTGTGTCATGTCTCCGTCTTTGTAATCTTTTTTTTTTTTTTTTTTACATATTTGACACAAGAAGAGAAGGTAAGAAATATGGTAACATATTCTAATTGAATGCTGGCCTGTTTTTATAGATGTTGTGAAAAGATTGTGGAAAATCCCCCCCCAAAAATATATTTGACATGTCTTAAATGCAACATTTTAACAGATTTGTTGGTACCGTCACAAACTATGCCCACAGTGACATGAGTAATGTTTTTGTTTAGATTTAATTGGGGGATTTTTTGGGCCTTTAACGGAAAGACAGGACAGTGGATAGAGTTGGAAATCAGGGAGAGAGTGAGTGGGGAATGACATGTGGGAAATAAGCCGCAGGTTGGATTTGAACCCGGGCCGCCCGCCTGGAGGACTACAGCCTCCGTGCATGGTGCGCTCTCACACTAAACACTATTCTACCGGCGCCCCAATAACTAATGTTAGATATTAAGCAGGTATAATGTCTATTCTGTGAGCACCATCTTAGTTTAGCACGTTATCATGAAAGCATTTGTTAACTAAATATAAAGACAAAAAGACAAAACAATCTGATGTGATTAGTTGCAGGTATATGTTCTTACACTACTGTAATTTTGGTCCTAATGGTAGCTTGAGAGGAAGTCTTTAGAATTCATCATCTAAAATATCTGATAATTATTCAGGTATTATAATCTGGACCAAAGCTTGGGATTGCTGTAATAGCTGGGAAAAACTGTAAGACATACTCTGTAAGCAATAATAAACATTTAGTCAATCTGTCAATGAATTGACATTTCACAGATCATTAGTTCTCTTCAGACAAAGTGGATCCTTTAAATGTGATGTTTGGGCTGATTTTAGTGTCACATTCTTCGGACGAATCAGTTCTCTTTTCAGGTGCATAATTTCTAACCCTTAAAAATGGACACTTCTAAATGTCAATGAAGTTCATAATTTGCCACCCTGCGAAGGTGTGATGGATCACTTTGTGCAGCCATTACAATTGACAGAGGGGATCAATTACAGTGAAATTGTTCATCTATCAAGAGAGACTGCAGGTCCAGCTCGACATAATGCTTCTCAGCGTCTCTCAGGAAGCTCTCACCTTTTATCGACTTCCTTCTCTGTCGCTCACTTGACTTTTTGTTATTCCTCAAAGCTGCAGTGCTTTGTCTACATACAGTGACAGGAATGTAGCTCTGATACACCTAAGAATAAAACAATTTAACAAAATTCCTCTTTTTAGAAAATATCAGGCAAATACAATGTTTTGAATTGTTTTAATTGCCTTTTGTATAACTGTCAACTCTCATCTTGAAAGGACTAGGCCCATCAAAGTGAGCAGATAAATTCAGACATTTAAATTCAGCATCAGTGAAATTTTGTAATATGATGACAAGTACTGTACTTTCGAAAAATGTGGGCATTGAAATAGAATAAAATGTATTTCTGCCTTTACACACTCACCTTCTGTGTATGTAGAAGACTCCGCTTTATCAGTGAAGTAGATAACCACCAGGCCGATGCAGGCGCCGGTCATGGCCACAAAGAGAAATATCAGACACTTTTCAAGGGTGCTCAAACCCTTGGAGCGAGGACGACCCTTCTCCACATCCATTTTTCCTCTTGAAGACGCACCAACCTGTGCCTCGTCCAACAATTCTCCAAATTATTACCAACACAAGGAGGGCTATGGTATATCTGCAATTGATGGAAGGATGAACTTTGAGCCCCTTCAGATGTGTGATAACAAACATATTTATCATACAGTATCATAACAAGTTAATGAGTATAGATATTAATGATGTCCCATCAAGAGGCCATTGTGATATCTTTTTTCCAGATAAGTGGGAGAAATATAGGCAAAAGTTGAACCTCAGACCAAAAATAGGAAGCCTCTTATTATAAGCATTTTATTTCACCCATTCAATCCTTTAACTGCAATCTTCAGCCAGGAAAACCAAGGTAGTCTTGATTTACTGGGACAGTAAAATGTTTTTCATTCACTTTTTTTATTGCTACATCTGGAAATCAAGTGCTGTCTTGGGTTTTATGTGCATGCTAGAGTTAAGTGTTGTAGCGATTAATTAATAACCTAAAACTGATGACTAAGTCAACACATTTAAATCAGCGAGACCTTGACCACAGATTGTGAGGACTCCAGTGACCATATAAGAAATTAACTTTATGTCCTTGGTGAGTTTTTTTGTCAGTCAAAAACTTTTACGAGCAGGTTATTTATTAGGTACTGCAGTTCATTTTGATTCCATTTTTAGATCAAATGCAATCAGCGAACAAAATTAGGTGCAATTCAAAGTGCATTGTAGGTGTCTCATAAGGGGATATAAGACAGTTTCCTACATTTACAAAATTGATCAATTTTAGACTGATGCCCATGAGAAATAAAAATAATCTAAAAGTAAATTAAAACAATTCAGTCAAAAAAGAGAAATAGGAAAAATGATTAGAAAATCAAAATAGTAACAAAAAGGTAACAATGATCTGTTGCTTGAATACAAAAAGCTGCCTCACTGGAAGATTTGGGACAAAATTTAAAGACTTGAGGAAAAAACAAATTATTTCTATCTAAGCTCAAACAGCCTTAAATATGTGATCACAAATAATACAACTTTACTCTTGACAGCTCATATCAGACTTTGATATGTTCACCTCATCAATGTAGAAACTGATATGTTCAACAAAAATAGCATTAGCTCTTGGCAGCTAATTCACAACAGCTAATAAATGCATCCTACCCACATCAGGCTAATGTTACAGTCAATTAGCTTTATGCTAGGTGTGTAAGCCTTTACTGTATCATGTAGCCTCAGGGCGCACTCACACTAGGCCCAGTTGTCCCATATCGTGCTGAATCACGATTTTCACCCCTCCCCATTCCCTCACTGGCTTGAACTTCTGTGGCTTATTTTGAGTGATTTTCTTCAGATACAGCCACAATACTCGGGAATTTCTCTATAAAGGAAGGCTGTCCACGTTTCGTGCCTGTGCTTGTGCTCGTGCATGAACTGTACCGTGCTATAGCACACCTCTTCCAAGCGTGCCAAGGAAGTGTACCGTGCTTGAGCATTGAGCGTGCTCACACTAGTCAAACGAACTGGACTTTGAGGGTGAAGTGTGCTTAGGAACAGGAAGGATTGCCTAGTGTGAGTGCGCACTAACACCAAACAGTAAGATTAAGATACAGCTACTTCCCAACTAATCAGTACTATTAATCAGTAAATGACTGAAAGCTAATGTTAGCTGCTGTCAGACTGCAACGGTCTCATCAAACATATTGTTTTCACTTGTCATGTGGCCAGATTTCCCTCCAAATTTCAATTTAAGTTGTCTTGTTTTTTTAAATATGAAATAATCACATTTTTTTTCCAAATTTAAAAAAATAAATGTATTTACAGTCTATGGTTTGAACAAAGATGGTTTAAAAGTTTTGCTTATAACACACACACACACACACACACACACAAACACACACACAAAAATCATTTTTTAAAATCCGAACAGTGATGTTTCTGCAAAGTAAGAAAAAGTGAGTTTCAGTGCCTATTCAGACAAAAATATGAGGATAAACTTCCTTTACAGTGTTGAAAAAAATGCAGAGTGACACAAGAATTAAAGTTGGAAAAGCACAAAAGATTGATTTCATTCATGCACTGGATTCACTTTGGATATATCCAAATCTGAAGCAAAAAACCTTGAACCTGTTGACTGAAACACTTCCTTTACTTACAACATTAAGATTCCTCTTCCATTTTCTCTTTTTTTTTGACAACCAGCAGTACAATAACAAAAGCTGCTTATTGCTCCATAGGGACACAGATTTCACAGGAAAGTCATTTTTTAGGCAGTTAGATTTAAAAAAAATGTACTGCAGAAACCTATAAGGCATTCTCAACAGCTACAGAATAGTGATACACGTGTGCTTCTCTGTCATTCTGTCTCTCTATCTCTTTCTATTGCTCTCTCGCTTCCCTTCGCTGTGTTCCACCTCTATCAGTGTTCAGTTTGTTTTGGATCTTCTTGCTCCACCAGGGGACCTATGATTTATGGGCACATCTGTCAGCCATAATAAAGCAGTCTCTAATGAAGCCAGTGAAGGTGACCTTTGTGTATATATGTGTGTACATATGGGTGTGGGAGTGAGCTTGTTTCAGAACGTGCATCCTTGCACATGTATGGTTTGTTACTAAGGTTATGAGGGCATGTGCTTGTGAGAAATCAATGATGAGCTCTAAAAATGCTGTAAACAAAGCACATAGGAGAAAAAAGAAAAGCAGAGAGAGAAAACCACAGAACAGTCAATGGTCCAGGAAACAAAATGAGGTACGCCGCAGAAAACTGGAATCATTCGACAAAGGAACACACTCTCACAGACCCACACTGCACCACAAACAAATGTAGGCCACATACTCCACTGGGAACAGGGCGGCCATCAGGAGGACGAGCTTCACTTCCAGCTATCTGGCTGATACAATATGAGAATAAATAAGGGAGCAGTAGTAGCAGGCTGTTTTATGGGGACTAGTCTGCAGAGTAGAGGCCAGCAGAAGCTTTAATCACCTCTTTGTTACTGGCTTAGGATGCTTCATTATGATATCAAACACAAAGAGGGAGATGGGTGTCTGCGACAGAGAGAAACGGGGGCTTGGAGAGAAAATGGGGGGGGGCCGAAGTTGAAGGGGTAGTACATGGGTGAGCTCAGAGAATGAAAAAGGTTTGAAAAACGTCGCAGAAATGGTTGAAAATGAAATCAGTCAGAGCTTTTACCAGTCAAATCTCCAGAGTTTTTTTTTTTTTTTACATCCTGGGTTATGTTGAATGAAACAGCAACACTATGATCATCAGCCACCCCCTAATTACCCACCCTACAATCTCAAATTCCGATCAGTAAATCGCAATTAACGCTCTTTCCCATGATTAAAAGCTGATTTAATATGACAGAAATTATCTGCGGGAGGATATTTATTTAATTCTGATGATCATTATGAGTGCTGTTGCATTGTAAAGGTTTCTATAAGGAGTCCTATATGAGCTGAAGAAGCTTAATAGTGTTTATGGACCTAAGTGGGTCACTGCAAGCAGATCTCAAATCCCAACACCAGGACAGGCAACTTATCTGTGGGACTTCAATTATAGCTCAAAAATGTTGCCGCCGCTGCCTTGATTTCCCCCCTGTGTCCACGGATACTCTATCTGAGCTAGTCATGGTGGATGTTTACACTTTGAAATAGGAAAAGGAGTCTAGAGTGGCTTCCAAGAAAGTCAGGGCAACATTTTCCACTCAAGAAATGATTTGGTACTGCAATGTAGACTCAAGATTTTGAGATTGTTATAATCTATGCAGCAAGATTAATTTGATTCAGGAATCAATAAAAAGATCTGCAGGTCAAACACTAAACATTATAGACCAATTTATTACCTAATAATGAGTACATTTTAATCAAATAAATTAAATCTGACATTATGAAAACATATGGACTTTGTATGTTTGAATAACAAGTCCTGTACAGATTCATACCACAATGAAAAATACTTGATTTGATTTTCCCCGGCCTGCTTGCAGTAGCAACACCATCAGTTTCAACATCTCTGCAGGAGTGAGGGGAGGCCCTCGAGGGCTGTAACAGGGGGCTCCTGCTTCCACGCACGGACAATCACTCCTTAATTTTGGCTTCTGACACAGCCCTGGAGTTTCCTTGTTAAGTGGTAACACTTGAGAGATTATTATTTGGTTCTCAAGCTGCGAGTTAATGCTGAGCCGGCAGCGTCAGGCTCAGAGATATGTGTTTAATCACTGACGTTTCTCACAGTACATTGTGAAATCATTTTTATTTGACACAAAAGCAATTTAAAGTATTGAAAGGAAAAAACAGCCGAACACTTTAATGTTAAGTTTTAAGAAGCCGTTATTAATTCTGGAATAATTCACGTTTGAGCGCTACAAAATCACTTCTTTTGGCCCTTTGTCAGCTCACTTGGTATGTTGTACATCCTTTTATAATTTCAGTCATTCTCAGTGGTCATCTTGTTATTAACGCATCTAATGAAAGGACAAAAAGCAATAATTTGAAGATCCTAATACCAAAGCCAGATTTATTTAATTCCTCTGTGACACATCAGCCTCCATTGTTGTCTAAATGGTCAATTAGCCACACTGCTTCATTGGGTCACATTTTCCTTTTACAACAATTAAATACTCACCATTGCACCATGTGTATATAAATCAACAGAAAAAAAAAACAGTGCCAAGGTGTTGTTGGAAATAACCAAGCCTTTGAAAAAATGAGACTGTATATTTTTTTACCCATTTGTAAATTTTTAAATCTTCATTAGAAACAAAATTATGCTTGAGGGTGCCACAAACTGGATAGGGAATAAACAAAAAGACAAATAGTTTGACTTTTTGGGAAAGCATCTTCCTCCATCCCCCCGATTCGGCCTTATCAAAACATTTGACCAAAAGCAACCTGTATTAAATCTAACATTTACCAAGTGTTGTGTAAATGATTTAGCTTTTTACTTTTTTAGAGAGAGCCAGCATATACTGGCTTCATGTTATTAAGACATTTACAGGGTCTATTCTTGCTAAACACAGACTCTGTTGTTTGTCTCTGTGACCTCTACCCCCACCCCAAAACAAGGGAAGTAAATAGAATTTAGGATGCTATTTCCTGTTTGATGCTAACAGTACAGTAGCTAAGCTAACTCTGGCTGATTCTTTGTATTTATACTGCGCAGGTAAAAAAAACAAAAAAAAAACAGCATTCGTCTTCTGATGTAACTTTCCACCACAATCCTGATCTTTTCATTGCATTTGTAAGCATGACAAACTTTAGACAACATAAGCCTTATCCCCAGAGACTTAAAAAAAAAAAAGAGAGACAGAAAACTAGGGGGAAGAAATGTGAGGATGACATGCAACTTTAAGTTCAATGCTGGTTTCAAATCCAGTAAATCTCTCACTTGCAGTTTGTGCCTGTGACTAGCAGTGTGCGCCACTGCCTGAAATAATTTTCATTAAAATATGCATGGGGGGCACGGAGCACAAAGTCAGTGAGCTGAATGTTAACAGCCAGTTGAATGCTGTCCTCTGGTAAGTGTAGCAGCGTGTGGTATTTGTCCATGTGCCTTTGAAATCCCTCACCATGTTCCTTGTCATTGGCATAAATCTCCCTGTGTGCTAACCACCGCCTGTGGCTGAATCCATTCTACTCTTCCAAATATGACCCAGGCATGGAGAGACAGCGGGTGGGTTTATTAAAAATTGAAATGTAGCTAATGAAGGCAAAAGACTCAGAAAGAAGGCTGGTGACTGGGCCTGTAGGAACCGACAGAGTTTATGTATAAAGGAGAGAATATTAAATTGACCTGAGGCTGAAGTTGATATTTAATCTGACCCGACGGATTTGTGATGTCAGTTTGACACCTCTCCATCGGCTCTGTAGACCAAGAGAGGGCTTAAGGATGAGATTATGAATGTAAAGAGGTCACAGGGGTCCCTCTTCCTGAAACAGCAGGCTCTTCGCATCAGAGCAGGTAGGATGGGACAGTCACAGTTGTCCTCTGATCCTCACTGGATCCAACCAGGGCATTAAGATTAAGCGCCTTAGCCTGTGTTCCTCTCTACAGGTTGTGACATTTCATAGCACAGTGACTACATTTATAGAAGACTTCCGCAGAGGCTATCACATCCCGACGCTAACAAGAAGTGACACTCTTGTTAGGACAATAAAAGTAGTCGCTTGAAATCAGCGCTACACCCATCAGGACAGTAAATTTACTCAGAAGGGACGAGTAAACCATGGAAGAATGGTTCTCTGGAAATGTTCTCCTGTGTTTTAGGTAGAGAAATGTCCTTATATATAATATGATATCATGCTATCACATTTTGAGGGCTTTATATGATTTTTAAATGGCAGAATCCCGAAGGACTCTACAGTTAGCCTGTTCTTTAATTAATGAGAACATGATCTCTGACTGATGTGGTATTGATTTACACGCTTTTTTTTTATTTAACCTTTAGTTAACCAGGTCATTAACCCATTGAGATCAAAATATCTTTCACAACAACATCACATGATTAAGAAACACAGTTTAACACACACTATTGGATGAAGAGCCACAGCTCTTTTCATTGTTGATTCAAATGCTTTCATTATTTTTTCTCTTTAACGTTTATTTTTCCAGGAAAGCCTTGTTGAGTCCTGGCTAAGACAGGCAGCAGCATCAGGGCTGAGTGATATTCTCTATTAGTCAAATCATAGTCGGAATATTATATTAGAACAAAGTGCAAACCAGCCGTCAAAACATTTAAGAGACAGTCTCAATAAATATCTTGTTTTGTCCAATTAACAGTTCAAATAACACAAATGTATTCAACAGGAAGCAAGAAACACTCCGCTGTGGGAAACTGGAGCCATTTAATGATTGACATGTTTGCTTAAAAATCACCTAAAGAATTAGCCCATTAGCAGAATAGCTGCAGATTCATTTCTGATTCTTCTATAGGGTGTTGCAGCTTTGATTAGAACGGTTTGTTCGAAATTGCTTCAAAATAAACTTAATCTCCTAAACTGTATAAAAGGAGCGTGCATGATCCAACATCCTGTAAAAGGCATGTGAAAAGCTTTAAACGCTAATTGTTCCTCACACTTTTCCTCCCACTGACTACTGCAACTTTGTATGCCTCATAACTCCATGACTTTCTGGTGCTATTTTTAAAAGCTGTATAATTAAGGCTGTCTTGGTATCCTTACATTGTATTTCACAGCTAAATTACTGGAATGAAGCTGCTTTTATATAAACTGCTATTAGTCCTGCTAATCAAATTGTCTGCCCTCAGATCCCTTTAGCACTCAGGTCGCAGGCTGGAAAATACAATTAGTGGAAAGATAAAAACATAAACTGCCCATTTTATGCTGCAAACAGTCAGTTGTTAGGTTGCACACATGCAGACTCATGTATACTTTTTTTACTTGTTGCAAGTTACTTTTTTTTCCGTGTTATATTCAATCTCTCCTGTCTTCCTTGAATGCAAGTTATTTGTAGCTGTGTTTGCTGTTTGAGCACTTTAAAGTGAAGTCTTTCAAATCCCGTTGAACAATTCTATAATGACAAGAAAGGCTTTCTGTTTCTATTTAATTACATCTATGATTCAGCACAACAAGACAGTAATCAAAACAAGTGTTTCTTGTTATCAGAAATAAACAACAGACTCTCTCCTGTCCTTCACTGACAATATTCACAAATCTTCCTTTAAGACTAAAGTGATGCTTGTCAATGGGTTTATTGAACAGCATGCATGGATTGATTGAAGTGTTGTGTCTATGCCCACATGTACACCTTCAGGGATGATCCTTCTGTCGATCAGAAGAAGATATTCAGGGACTAAGAAAGCCATTGCTTCAAAGTAAACTTCATTCCCTTTTAGTGATCAGATCTCATGAGGCTTTACAAAATGTATGCAGCGTTTACTCAACCTATTGTAACTTTTCAGGAAGCTGCAGTCCGGCACTTTCTTCTACCTCCTGTGAACTGAGCTACTGTGGCCAGTTGCTCTCACATCCTCATGCCTGTACTTAAACACAAACACATTTGTGTCATCTTTTCACAGTATTGATGTGCTTTTTTGGACCCTTTTATCCAATTTCTTTCCTTTTTTCACCTTAATTGCTCTAAAGCACTGCTTTGGTAAAAAAAAAACTAAAAAAAAACTTTGAAATGACGTGTTAAAAAACAGTGTAAAATTTATCCAAAATACATATAAAGTCTGCTATAAACAAGTTTCGACACAAAGAATACAGAAAGCTCGACTTAGTTTTTCCTTTGTTTTAATAGAAAACCAGAGATTAAATAGTGCTTTTATGCACACTGTCCCTTTTTTGCACAACATAATCACTCGCTAAAGGTGCATCAAAAGAAAATACAGCAATCTTATAAATATATTCCCCCGAAAAACACCTCAAAAAACATACTAAATACAATAAATGAAATGAGATGTCTTTTTAATATATTCGCTCAAATATTCTGACAGTAAATAGTACATGTATCCCATAATAAGTGTCTTTCACTGCAGAGGTTTAAGCTTCATTTAAAGTCATACACCTTCCTTTGTAATATACATGCGTTATTATTATTGCCGATTATTACAAAAAAGTATTTTCTCTCTCTTTTTATATCTATCTCTAGAAAATAAGTTGTACATTGTATACGTCTATTTTCTACCTTCTTTGATCACAAACATCACATATAGTTTGACTCTTTATGCTACATCACCGGTTTACTTACGTACAAGGATGGTCGCCTCGCCCTTGGCATTGCAATCTCTGAGGGGGGAGGGAAAGTAAAAGGGGGGGGGGGGGGGGGGAGAAACATTTTGACCTCTAGGAAACAAGGGAGGAGTCCCATACTGTAGTTTACCTCTGTGCCTTTACTACTCGAGGACAGAGGAGGGAGGGGGGCGCACGCAGCAGTTGGGTCGTCTGACATTTCGCAGCATTGACCTGAAAATGTTCTGCTGCCTCCTTTTGTTCTTCTTGCCTTTTTGCGGCGAGTCGACCCCAGACACCGACTTCCTGATCGAGGTGCGGGCTACCAGTTTCCTCTCTTGCTCCTTGATTTTGCACTGCAGGTGGCTCTGAATGGCAAAACCAAGAGATTCTGGGTCCACAGAGGCCCCATACACCTCCCAAGTCATCCCTTGTTCATCCCAGACGACATCATGCACGCTCTTCCCTTTCTCGTTCGCTGACTGGTCATCCTCTTTCTCCTTTTTCTCCAGTTTTATCTTCTGCTTTGATTTCCCCTCCTTCGCCCGGCTTTTACCTCCATCTTTATCCTTTTCCTTTTCCTCAGGACGTCCAGCTTTATTTTTAGCGGGTGCTGACTTTGATGTGGTGTTTGTTGTTGTTGCTGTTGTGGTTGGCAGGGCCTGGTTGGGCTTGGTTGAAACAGCAGCCTGAGACAGCGCTTCATTGTTTCTGTCAGCAGGTCCAGACTTGATAGCACTGACTGTCTCTGGGGGCACTCCCACTTTGAGAGAAGGATCTTCCGCAGAGGCTGTTTTTACTACAGATGCTTTATTCTGGGAGTTACCTATCTGTCCTTGCTCCTTGAGGTTGCTGTGTTCAATGTTGATTTGATAAACGGGCTGAGTGTTGCAGAGAGATGACCCAGGGTCTTTAGGCTTTGCTTCCAGCCTTTTGTCCGACAAAGCATCCGAGTTAAAGACCACACTCGCATTCTGGTTTGGGCACATCTCTGCCTCCACTGTGAATCTCTCTGACCTGGAATCGTTTGGAAGTGCTAATACATTACTCATGTTTATATGATGTAGTCCCACATTTCCATCAGCATTATAGACTACAGCCAGGGTCTGCGCTTCTTCGCTTGCACTACCACTCGGCCTGCGAGCCACATTGAAGGGCAGCAAGCTCGGACTTGTGGCCACACTCTTGCTGCACGTATTTGCCACTGCTTGAACCTCCATATCTTGACGCTGCTTGACCGGGGTCGGGGACAGGGATGAGGTCATCGTAGCAGCTTCCCTGTACTGCTTGCAGGGCTGCTGCTGTCCTTCACAGACAGCTGTGTTTTTCTGGCTTGATTCTTCGGCCACCTGTCTGAGTGCGGCCATGTTTTTTGTATCCTGAGGCAGAGCAGAGGAGGCTGTCTGTGAAGACACTTGCTGATGTTTATCTGAGGAGATTTGCGGTTTCTTTGCCGGGGTTAACTCTTTCTCTGAATGTGTTGCAGTGGAATTCTTGTTCGAGAATCTGGCTTCTGCATCTTTGTTTGTACTAAGCGGGGCTACAGATGTTTCCGTGCTTTGTATTGTTTTAGACATCTGCTGTGGACTGAGAGAGCTTTTTGAGCAGATATGTGGATGATCGGTCTCTTTAGGTTTCTGTTGAACAGCAGTGTCCTTGTTTTTTTGAGCTGGTAAACTCCCTTTTGTATCCTGCTGTGGTTCTTCTGCATTATGTCTTAACTCACAGGCATTGTTGAGGTTTTTATTTGGAGAAACCTGTTTTGTTCTTTCCTCTTGTGCTGGAGCATTTGTCGAGGATGTCATCTGTGCACAGTTCTCCTCAGCTGCACTTAGCCCTTTTATTCTGCAGTCATTGGTAAGCATGTCGGCCTTTGACGCCGAAAGAGCAGACGACACAGCGCCCTTACAGATATCCTTCTCATCAGTCGGGCTTAACATTTTCATATTGGCGTTAGAATCCCTCCGGTCGTCTCCGGACTCACCCCCACCTAGAGACAGGTCAGGTATCTGTTTTTCTCCACTTTTCCCATTTTCAGATTCTGTTTTGTTTCCATTAGAAGTCGCTGGTTTGTCTGACACAGTGCTGCTAACTGGTTCACCCCCCGTGGAAGCTGTTTTTAGGGTGTTAGTGGGAGAAGCAGTCAGAGACAGTTTGAGGTTGGGCTCTTTAGTCCAGTTGGCGTTGGGCTCCTTGTTGCCCAGCGTGTCCACCACGGCCAGCTGAGGCACCATCTGGACTGTCACTGTCCTTTTTGGGTTAGTTCCCATACTGGATTCACTCTTTTAGTCTTTAAATATTCTTGTAATCCAAAGATGGAAACAGATGCGAGATATCAGCCACTCTGTGCAGTTTCCTAAAAGAGGAAAATAAATAGACTTAGTTTGTTTTCATGATTTCTTGAGCATTACGTTTCATTAACTTAAATCCTGGTTTGCGCAAAAACAATTAGACCAGATTCACACAAGAGGCCAAGCCTAGATGAGCATTATGTAAAGTGCTTCCTTTTTTTCTTTGAACAGCCATTAACATTCATTTAAATAATCAATGTCAGAATAAAAGCAAAGCACTCAAACAATCAATGACCCCAATTTGCCTAATTCAGCCCTTCTTTTAATTAAGATTAATGTAATTCAAAGCCAAATGACTTAGGTAATCATAGCAGACAATCTTAGTAAGAAAACGCTGAGAACAAATCATGATAATGTGAGGTGTTAATGTATGTATTTAACAAGCCCTTTCTTTCACTTTGATGTAGGTTTTTAGGTTTGTTTCTGAAAATCTCTCGAGCTTTATCCGTCGAATGCTCTTTGAAACTTGCTTGTGATGAAATGCCACAGAAACACATAAACTTACACTTTATGCAGGATTTAGATAATTCAACAAACAGGTCGTTTCATAATTGGAATATTAAAAAAAATCCATTAAGGAAGCTAGTATATTTAGAATTCAAACTTTTTTGTTGAGTTGCAGAAAATAACCAAAAAAAAAGAATGACGGAGGATAATCCCCGAGGGGCATGCTAAAATGCTGCGTCAGACTTTATGAATCCAAATGCACAAACTTGAGAATACAGCAGGCAAAGTATATAAGAGGAAAACTGAATGGATCCTTTTTTTTAGGGGGAAGGGGGGGGGGTTGTTTAACGAAGAAAAAGGAAAAAACAATCTTGCCTTGTTTCTATTATTCATGTAGTTCACATCATAATTCTCATCTGTTTTCGTAACCTGAATGATCCCTGTTGTAAAACAGGGACAAACTATAACTGATCAAAACATTCTCTGTTTGCTTGAAGAGGGATTATATTAAATCTTTAAGTACTGTGTGTAAATGGAAAACTGTTTAGAAAGGATGCAGGACATAAATGAGGCGGATTATTGCGAATCAGCCTAACACCATTAATCGGTATAAAAGCAATCAGCGAACAAGTTGAGAAATGCACCTACATTATACTTTCTATAAGCAACTTAGAAAAATAAATCTAACGCAAATGATGCAGGGAAAATGTGTTTAAATAAGCGAGAAATCAAGCAGTCAGATCATTTTTTCTTCAGAATGTTCAACATTTTTTATCAGTACTGTGACATTATGCTGTCTTGGGTGTGATCATTGTTTAGATTAGATGATGTGTGTCGTGTAAGGGTTGAGAGAGCTTTGGAATATTTAACTGTCTTGATTTGAATGTAAATGTGTTGGGGGGAGGGGGGCCGGGTCCATATCATGCATCTATCGTTGTTTATGCTGTGTAATCAAATTATCCAACAAAAATTATAAATTTGCCTGTAAATACCAAACTTATTCAAAGTGTCTCCCAAAAATCTATGTCTTCCTGTTCAACTATCATTTTCTGTCACAGGACTTCTAAGAAATACATAGTGTGTGTGTGTGTGTGTGTGTGTGTGTGTGTGTGTGTGTGTGTGTGTGTGTGTGTGTGTGTGTGTGTGTGTGTGTGTGTGTGTGTGTGTGTGTGTGTGTGTGTGTGTGGTGCATGCCTTTGCATCTTTGGATGCTGTTTTATCCTGTTTTTAATCTAGTTCAAATACCTACCTATTGGCCTACAATCTCACACATCTTTTCATCCTCATCTTCAGCCTGATGAGCTCTGTCTCCTGAAGCATCTGGGCCAATTCTGCAACTAATGTGCTGCACTCAGCACAGGTCTGAAATATCTGATCCTTCAGAGGAAGACAAATGACTCCACTGTGATCAAGACTTCAATCATACAAGAAAACTGCTTTGAGGCTACAGAAGAACCAAACGATTTGCATGTGATCCACAGGGAGCACGTTGATGTCCTATCCACTGCTGTTAATGAAACACCTTTGCGTATTTTTCAGATCATTGAAATGAAACTAAGATTGAACCCAGGCTTGTATTTGGGGTTACCCCGACCCCGAGTCATCACAGTGCTCCTCTTTGGGAGGGACATCAAACATGATACATTTCAGATGATCAGGTTATATTTATGTTGAGCTGGCTCAAGAAATTCTCTTAAAATGCAGTTTCCATGTGTGACTTCAATACAACAAAACAGTATGGCTTCTGTTTTCATGGACAGGTGTTTGTGTGTTCTCTCCCACTCTGCATCTGCTTGTCAGTTATCAGAGCGCAAATATTTATGGCAAGCATATCCAGACTGTAATTAGATATTCAATGATTAAAACTACCCCGTGTCTGGGCGCCTTTTCTGCCTGCAGCAGTTAAGACAGGGTGTATGCAGGATGTGGATTCATGCACATCGGCAAATGTTGCATACATTAAAGTGCTGCACACGATCTATCCGGGCCAATCAAAGGTCTATATGGCATGTTCTTGATTCGCAGTGCTGTCCCACCCCAAGATCCAAGAGGCCACAATATGCACTTCTACCATTTGACCTTGCGGATAAATTCATGATCTGAATCGAAGTAAAAAAAAAATAGTCTAATGGAAAAGGTGGATGGCTTACCTTGAGAGATGCTTTTTGTCCCGCACCTTGGGGTGCCGTTTGTGCGTCCGTGCCAGCGAGATGAGAAAAAACCTTGGAAATGAATATGGAAAATCAAAATGTGTCTGTGACAAAAAAAAAAAAAAGCCACGCCTTCCACGAGAATAAGGGTCTTTTTTTTTTTTTTTTTATTGGTATCGATCCTCCGCGGAAGAGCGCAAAAATTCAAGCGCCCCGGCTCACTGAGTGACTGAATGATCGTGCGCAATGAGTCACCGATGGATGCAGCCTCTGAGGTCTTTACGAGCGTTGACTTATGCTAATGACAAAAAGTGAACCTTTCGTGAAATGAACCCCTCGTGTTTGTGCGCTATCCCAGACTGAGCGGGTCCAGCATGCAGGCAACGTGGTGCAGCAGCAGAGTAAAGCGAATGAATGGAGGAGAGGAGGAGGATGGACGCGGCATCAGCCGCAGGAGCGTCACCTGCTTTTTAAATGGATTATTTCTTGATCCCAGCATTATTTTTTCATCTCCTTTAAGAAAACATGTACTATTCAAAGACGATGGGTTACATCTATGCGAATGTTTAAAGAGCAAGCTTTGGAATTATTTGGTATAGTAATATTGCTTAATGGATTTCATTCGTATAGGTTGTTAGAGTCTGCTGGATGCATTACCTTTATCCTTAATAGTAGGTGCGGCCAGACACTATGACGAGTTCTGCTCTTTCAAATAGCAGTTTATGTGGACAAAAAGGTTGTGGTGAGAAAAGTCAACTAACACTATTTTGATACATAAAGATCATACAATTAACACCAATGATAACAAATTGGATTTAATATTATAGAGAAAAGTAACTTCATACATTGTATGAAGTACTGTACTTAAGAAATATTATGAGAGAGCCTGCTTGCACTTAACTGATTTTATAGATATGAGCCACTAAATCACTATGTCAGAGGGAGGTACAGGCCTCTGCAAGTATACAGAATACACACACACATATATATATATATATATATATATATATATATATATATATATATAAATGTGTACTTGGAAAGACTGCAGACTAGCCAACATCTTCATTTAAGCTCATGCTATGGGTACTTCACTGTGCTCACAATCACTGCTTTCAAGTTTGATCACACTTTGTAATAAATATTTTATTATTATTATTATATTCTGATATTTTGTTTCATCAGTAAAACAGAACATGTTCTGATCCCCTAATATTAATTAACCCTATATTAAGACACCGTAAAAGAAGATGAATACTATGCAGACCTGCACAGGGGGTCAGAGGAGAAGAGAGTATCTGCTTTAAGTAACTAACATTTCAGAATGCAAAGGAAACAACACAATATAAACACACACAAAAAAAGTTGTGTTGTTTATTTTTTTTTATAGTAAGGCATACAATAGACAATAGTGCATCATTCAAACATCTCAATTTAATTTCTGTGATCACATCTGATTATTTGTTATCCAACATTTACAAACCCTTTGCTGTAATGAAAGATGTCTGTGCCATGACCTTCAGTTCTATTAGAACTGTTCCAATATCATCATTACAGACTCATTTTTACCTTGGCCTAGGCTGACCTCTTGAACTGTTATTATGATCTAAGTGGGGACTTTTGGGGATTCAGTTTTCAAACATAGCCAGGGTCTGAGGCAGGAGCTCCTCCTGGAATGCAGTAATTGTAAGGAATAGACCTCCTGCCTCTAAGCCCAGAGGGACTGATTAGTTGGGAAGGTAGGCCGAGACTTAATTACAGTTGAGTGCAGCATTGGAGCAACTCAAGGTGGCTGCACCAAGTGTTGTTGTTTGAGACTTTTACTTCAGGGTGAGAGGGCCAATTCATGCATTTGACACAAGTGGTAATGAAATATATAATTTAACAATAAGGATGTGTGCTTTGTTGCCAACATTCAACATGTTCATAAAGGAAAAGAAAGGGCAAAACGGTTTCTATGGAAAAATGGAGGCGCAAATCCAAATAATAGAAACGTAATGACGAGCCTATTAGGAATAGACTTCTGTATTAGGCTACGTGTAAAGCACAAAGTCGCTTTGTTCAAATAGCATCATCTGGTGGATACATTGGAGAAGGCAATTACATGCCTTAATTGAAATCAATCTAATCCTTATAGACTGATATTATTTTCTAATAAAGTAGGCTACTCTCAGCCTCGGGAAATAATGATTCTTTATATAAATACAAAATTATAATGCTACTGCTTTAAATACGCAATTTTTGAACATTCCTCCGTTGCCTTGGAGCAAAGTCTGTGCACAGCAGATAGGATTTGGACAGTGGATGGCGTTGCAGCAGCGTGGCAGATGTAACCGGCTGCCAGTGACAGGCTTGCGTGTGTTCCGTTCAAGTACGTCATGTTAATCGGGATTTTCCAACTGAAGTTTCTTGGCAGTGTCTGTCGTTTCTTTTTTTTTTTTAATTAAGAGCCATATACTCTTAAAAAAAACATTATTATCTATACATATTGATTAAACGAAATGTGAATGTCACCAAAAACATCCCGAATTAACGAGGTTTTTTTTTTTTTTACTGATGAAACCTTAAGGGCTGTTTGTCTGATGGGACCCTTGAACGCATCAGAGCCAGACTGTTGTCAAGAGCAGCGTTGCTAACATTACGACGCACACGGCTGGTAGCTTTGTGAGTGAAGAGAAGGTCGACTATATCCATTTGACAACAACATCTCTGCAACCGGAGGGTAGGATTAATCTAACTTTATAACTTAATGTTGTTATAATGGGGCTCGTTATTGCCCGCGACACAGACTAAACTGGGCTGAGACAGCTAACAGTGACAACCTGTTGTTGAACCAGTTAACTGTCCTGTGTGAGTTGTTTAATCTAGTTAACATAGATAGTAAATCATCTCAACAACAACAACAACAACAAACTAAGCGTTTTCTTACAGGCATAAGCTTGCTTAGCTCACCGAGGCTTTGCTGTTCTGAGCGGTAACAATTGAAGTTAGCATTAGCGTGTGTGCTAGCTCCTACAGTGCTATTGTTTTGTCTGCTCGATGGTGAAGCTGTCTTTGTTTCATTGTCACGATCCTGGTTTTTCTTTTTAAAGTAATGCATTTGGATTCAAATCCGCTGATGTCCTCAAACATATTGAATAATAAATAAATTGAGTTGCCCTAACTGCTCCATGGTTATTATCAGAGTTCATGGTTTCAGTCCTGCAGAGGTGGAGGAAGTATTTAGATTAATGTTGATGTCGTGACACATTTTAAAAGTGCTCACTTAAAAGTCTTGATTTAAAACTGATAACCTATATTGAGGAAAGTGTTATCTTATATACATCACTCTTAGTGTGTTATGCTGTTGCTTACATCCCAGATTAATGTGCTTTAATTTGTTTTGAGCACACTCATAAATGTAACAGAAGGCTATTTTATTATTATTATTTTTATTATTAATAATAATAATAATAATAATAATAATAATAATAATAATCTAAAAGTGGTATATTTAAGATGTATTTTTTTCCAAACCACAGAATGGATTTGTCTGCTGTAATATAAGACAGGAAAAAAATGTTGAACTGAATGCTTGACATTTTCAGGATGAAGATAATAATTAACACCGGTAATAAAATAAGCTCCAGTAGCATAGACATAATATTTATGCAATTTTAAAGTAGTGTTGTTTATGTGAAATTAGCTAGTGTGCCTGAATATGGTCCTGCGGATAGTTTTTTTTCTTTTTTAATTTTTTTTTAAAGGCAGTGTTTCCCCTACCATTATATTAGGGGGTTGGCCCGCACCCACCATGAAGGTCAAGTAATTGACCAAATTAATAATTGGATTTTTTTTAAAGATTTATTGTTGGGCTTTTTGTGCCTTTATTGTAGATTTAGGATAGTGGATAGAGTCGGAAATCAGGGAAAGAAGTCATTTAAGGATACCTTTCTGATAGAAAAGGACTGCTGTCATTAAATTAACACATGAACACCAAGATTCCTTCAAGTGTTTGTGTTGGCGTGTCAGCATGCCCCCCCCCCCAACGCTGTAAACCTAGGGGAAACACTGAAAGGAATATTTAAGTTTTATTAGAAGCTTATCTATTATGTTATAGATCAGATTTTCTGCGTCTTTCTTCTGTCCATGTTCCAGGAAATGCTGGGGTATATCTGGCAGTATGTCTACACATCCTTTCTAAGATACTGGCTGAAGTGGCTCATCAGACAGGCAACAGGCAGATGTGAGCTGCAGAGAATATGCTCTGGATACAAACCTGGGGCAACAAGGACAGCAAAAACAGGTGAGTCAAATCATCCGCAATCTTGTCTTCTTTTGCTAATATATTTGTACCATTATGTTAACCTACCTCTTGTGTCCTGTCACAGAATATTCTCTCCGCTCCTCAAAGAACAAGGTAAGAAATGTAAACAATGTTATCAGTAGGATGTTCAGTAGGAGAACACACTACCATTTGAAGGCGGTCTGAGTGTGCGTATGTGCAGCTCCTGCTGAGTGATTACATGCCATGTCTCTACTGATTTCTCCACTGGAATGAAGGCGAACTATGTTACAGCAATCTGTGGCTATTTGTATTGAAGGAAAAGTTGTGTTTGACTGCATTCAAATAATTGTTGGTTGCAGAATTACAAATGTGCTTTATCCTTACAAAACGCAGGAACACATAGAGGAAAGGAAGTTATAATTTTTCTATGCGCTTATTGGTAAATCAAATCTACTCACTTTATTCAAAATGAAAGTTATTGATATTTTTAAAAGGCACAACAGAAGCTTTGGCTTGTGGCCTCCATCGGCTGAAGAAGCAGTCACAGCCTGTAGACTGTCTGAGTCTGGGCTTGAGAATAAACAGAATGTTTAGTGAGTCAGTGTCAGGGTGCCAGAATTGAGTTAATGCGATTCCTTTTATTAGATCAGGACAATTGTCTCGCTGCCGTTCATGTGATATAGAAGTCTGATTAATTAGCGGTAATAGTTAAACCATCCGGGCCCACAGAGAAGTGTAAAAGAAACACCTTCATTATCTGTTGTATGTGTGAACTTCCATAGGGACATATCCTCTTCCCTATATCAGTCCTTATCTCTCAGTTCTATTGCCAAGCTCAGATGAATGGACTCCACCTGTCGTTGGTGAATATAGCTAAATAAGCATTTTCTGATCAACAGTTTATTCAGCTGTGAAACTGAAGTGCTTGGTCATCTTTTTTTCCCCTTACAGTATGTTTAAGGTTGACTTGGAAAGATTCTACTTTTTCACTGTTGGCTGCATAGATTACAGTATCTAGCAGTAGATTGCTAGTTTTCTGTGTTGTATTATTCTGACTTCCTCCTGCCCGCCTGGGCTCTTTTCCTCCGCAGGTGCTTAGAGGAGCTTTGGAAACCAGTAAAGATCAATTAGAGCCATGTGTGGATCAAATCCTGAAGGAGAAGAGTGTCAAACCCCAGAAAGACCCACTGTAAGGTTATTCTTCTCTGTCTGTAGTCATATCTAATTCATGTCATTAATGATACATTTATTAATGACTTGTTTACTCTTGCTTCTTTTCTAGGTTTAGGGGAAGCCTGCTCACCTGTCTGTTTCAGATAACAGGCTACAGCAGTCTGTTTGTATCCGTGGAAGATGTTAGAAAGGAAGTCTTCGACTCTGAGAACCAAGAGCACGAGGCCATGCTGTTGAAGGTGCACAGTCCTGCTTCTTAAACAAAGTGTTAGTAAAGCAGAGCGGTGAATGTTTGTGCCAAATCGTTACTGCTCAAGACAAATAAATACATTTATGTCCATAAGATATAAATGTATCAAACATGGATTAAAAACAACTTGATTAATAGAGACATGATTTTGATGGACTCTAAAGTAACACACTCTGTTGACATAGACACATTCAAAGTAGGTGCGACTATAAGAAAATACCATATTTATAGGTTCTTTGGAATTAAAACCATGTAACCAAGGTAGATGGATATGATTACAGTGCAAAGGTGTTGCTTATGAATCTACACAGAAAAACAATTGTAATCGTTTAACCAGTAACAAAGTAAAGTATTCATTGAAGTGTGTAACCTTGGAGTTATTTGTGCTTTCAGCTGTGGGATCTGTTGATGCCAGACGTCAAACTGGAGTCGAGGATAACCAAACAGTGGGGAGACATTGGATTCCAAGGAGACGACCCGAAAACCGACTTCAGAGGAATGGGCATGCTTGGGCTAATCAACCTTGTGTGAGTCTTCAATGAACAACAATGAGTCATTAATTAATTAAAAAGAGCCACAGACAATGTCTGTACTGAGCCTCTGGACAGTAACCATCTTTTGTCCTTTTTGTCTATCATGAGGACCTTTTTTTTTACCATCTGGCACCTTGATTAAATTGCATAGTTTTGTAGATCTTCCGGTGCAGTCTCACTTGTTATTTTGCTCCAAAGCAAGGTAAACAATCGTTTAAAAAAAAAAAATCAATAGGACTAAAAAAAGCAACAACACATGCAAAGAGTTAGACACAGAAAGCTGACCAAGCAGAACACATTTCCCAGCTGACTTTCAATAGAAGACTGATAATGCAAACTCAAGCTGACCTGGAAACCCGCACGGTCAGCTAGACTTGAATGCACTTGTGTTCTAAATCACACAAACAACACTAAAGCTGAGTTTTATCCACACATGCACATTCACACCATCGCCTGTTTCTTAGTTTAAATGATTTACACAAATGTCCAACTCTTTATTTAGACCAACTCTTCTCAGATTTCTATTAATTTGTATGTGTCTCCTACTCCTACCACCTCATAGTGTTGTTACCCATATCGCAAGATACTGTCACGTCTCAAAGAAATGACGCGGTGGCAAAATATTTTGAGAAAGGTAGCTTTCACATGAGACTACAGCAGCTGTGGAAGTGCTCTATTTAATAGTCCACCCTCAGCTTCACCCGCTTCTAAAACAAATGTCTATAATAACAGACTCAGGGGACAGTGAGGAAAACAACAACTGTCATCGAGTGTCACAAAGCTAGAATTTCCCTAGAAATTAAGATTGTCGGCAGACTTCTTGTACACACTGGGTGCACACAGCCACTTAGAGTTCAGCTGGAGAATTTGTTTTGTTAAGCTAGCAGGCGATAATCAAAACTCGAACCTCTTACCTAAAGCAAAGATAAGGTGTTCTGTTTAGTGGTCTTAGAAGCTCAAGTGTTTATTACCATATCATCTTTTTTTTTTTTTTTTAAATGGATTACATTTTTTGTGTTACGCAACTTTTATCTCAAATGCAGGCAATATTTCTCCTTCAGACGACATGATCTTATCTCTTGACTAAACATCGAGTGTAATCAAAGTAATCTAATGTTTATGATTAACATGATATTGCTCTGCTCTCTCTGAAGTTTTTTCAGCGAAAGCTACACAGAAGAGGCTCGCCAGGTGCTGTCGCATGCAAACCATCCTACACTGGGTAAGAGACAGACCGACAGCTTTGGTGCTACTATTAACAAACTCTGTCAGTTTAATGTCAAAAGTTTGGTTTCCCTTAAATCTACATTAATACATTTTATGAGACAGGCAGAAGTAGAATCAAATGAATGGGCTTGACTTTACAATGTTCAACATGCCCTTGCACTTGGAAAAGTGCACTGACATTTGCAGCATGCTGGTCATACTTGTTTATTAATCCTCATGTTTTAGGTATTCGTATGCCATTGTTGGGATCAACTTGACCGAGATGGCCTACAGCCTCATGAAAAGTGGTGCTTTGAAACCCCATTTCTACAACACAGTTCTTGGCGCACCAAAGCTCCAGGACTTTCATCAGCTATACTGTAAGAAAAAAAAACACATTTTTTCCCAATTCTTCCATTCTGTTTTGATTGTCCAGAATAACACTAAGACAGAAAGTACAATGCTGTTTTCTGCTGTTCTAATAAGGACATCACCTACATATGTGTGTTTTTTCTACTTTCAGGTTATCTGGCATATGAATTTGATAAATTCTGGGTGTCAGAAGAACCAGAGAGCATTATGCATTTCAACCAGTACAGAGAAAAATTCCACAACATAGTGAAGACACATCTACAGGACCCTGACGTTTCCCTCGCATTGACTGTCTCTAAAAACTAAAGTAAACCTAAAGCCTTCCCTGACCGCTCCATGAACACTGAAGCCACATGTTCAGGTAGAAAAAGGTCAGAAGCATGAAAGCAGACTGAAACTGGTGACGTTCCTCCAAAACTGGAATAAAGAAAATCCACTCATTCATTTTTTGGTTGTGCCCTGTTCATCGTGTCACAGTGATAGAATACAGCACAAACTAACTGGCTATACCTCAAAAATGACCATTCCCTTGTTTGATGATCCTTTCTTAAAGAGAAATATGAGCTGCTGCGGGGTACTGTGGTGATAACGGGTCTCTCTTTGGAAAGGGTTAACGCACTTTGAGTGAGCAAGCAACCAAACTGTTAGTAAAGACAGTTAATGAAATATGAACTTACCTACATATTTGTAGCTGTCTTATTTGTACTTCTGTAAACACGACTTGTGTGTTCTAAAAGTTGTTGCTTTGAGGAAAACTCACCAGTGTTTGCATGTTTTAATGTGCGTCCTCTGATGTCATCTGTATCGTGGAATATAGGTGATGTGCAACTCAAAAACAATAGTTTTCCTCCGTTTTCTTAAATGTTCGTGTCCCAATAATACTTTTTTAATGTGATTTTCTGCTGTGATTGACTTTTGAGGAAGGTATGTAATGATTAATACATCTTACTCAAAGTTAATAAATACACAATTGGCTATTTTGATATGTGTTTTGTGTTGTGGAAGTGTTAGCATAGGTTAATAATCAAGCACAGAGTCTGTAAAACAAGTCAAATATATTTATGGGTTGTTTCACATGTTTCTGGGCAACAGTTTTTTTTTTTTTTCCTCATATAAAGGTACATTTGTTAAAGCTGCCTGTAAATGTTGGCAGATTTGAATGTCTTAAAGTGCAAACTCAGCTTCTCAAAGACGGTTAACACTTCCTAATGCTTGCACCATTCACTCCCATTCAATGTGGAATGGGTTCATACTGAAGATTTAAATACAAAACTAAAACTGCATTTCTTTCATACGTCACATACATGGTACACTGTCCAGTATTCCTTTTTCAACAAAGGATTTTCTTCTTTGTCATCCGTAGACAACTAAGACCTGACTTCATATTCAGTTGGTTTCTCTTAACGATGTTTCAGCACAGTGATGGTTCAAGTTCAATCTCAGTTGCTGTCCTCCATTTTCTTCTTCGTGACCATCATGGCTCTCTTGATTTGTTCAAAGGAAACAAACATCACAACGTTCCATGATCCCAACCTCAGAAATGAGGGTACAAACCTAAATGAGACAAAGAAAAGACATTGCTTACATTTTCTTTAAAAGGGACATATCATGAAAAATCCACTTTTACAGTGTTTTTGAACATATGATTGGGTAACCTGAGTGTCTAACCACAAAATGTGAAATAAACCCACCCAGTCCTTTGTTTGTGGTCTGAATAAGTCTTACAACACAGATAACAATGCTCTGTTTCAAATTTACTCAACTTGTGATGTCACAAGTTGGATTCTGGTAAAAATAAATAAATAAATCCCCTCCCCTCCTCTGATATCTCCACCGATGGACTCCATCCCCAGCCTACAACAAAGCTTTTGGTCAGGTCAGCCATTTTTATTCTCATTACAGAGGAGTGATATCTACCGGGATAACTCATTGGGGGCTTATTGCATTTAAAGAGACACACGCACCAAAACGGAGCGTTCTGAGAGAGCTGGTTTATACAGTGTCACAAACCTCCTCTGGTGCTTGATTCATGTTATATTTTGACCAAAGCACAGCACAGATGTTTCATTTAGACCACAGGGGACTGTTTTTAAAAGGTGGAAAAGGGGTATAATATGTCCTCTTTAAATGAAATTACAAACAGTACAAATGTGTGCGCCCTGGGGTCAGAGATGAACAGCTTACCCTTTGTAGAAAGCCGTCGGCCCCTCTTTGGTCAACATAGTCCAGGAACAGTTAATCGCACTCTTGTACTGGCCTGGAGGTGAGTTCATGTACCGAGTTTTTACCACATCCACTGGGGAGGCGATCACTGTAGTAACAAAGCCGGCTCCAAATGCAGATACGAAGTGGCATGGCAGATTGTCTGTGGGTGAAAAAAAAACAGGACCAGGGTTTGATTGGCAGTACGCAGAGGGGCCTTTGTTCTGAGCTGCACTGTATAGAAAGTCATGTCAGCAGATTATATAACCCTCCGACTGGGGCAATATAAATGATTGAGATAAATGGCACATTAACCATTATATTTACAGCACTGTGAGGGGATAGATACTGCATGTTCTGTGTACTGTTATCAGCAGTGGTGGAGTTACAAGGGGCGAGAGGGTGTGTGGGTTTCAGCCAATCAGCTGTCTCTCTGGGATGGCTGTGTGTGTGGTGTGTGTGTGTATGTTACTGCAGTCCAAACAAACATGCAGGAGATCAGCCTCTCACCTGACAACAGGTTGTGCTTGAGGATGGCTTCCTTGATCAGGTCGTATGTCACCAGCTCTGTGCAGTTCACGAGAGCATTTCTTGTGATGTTTGGCAGTGTGCCTAAAGCGGACAAAAGAGAACATCAACACTTGATAAATATTACATTTTTTTTTCTTTTACCAATCAGTTATTAATCACTCCTTTAGCTATCTCAAGGGCACCTTTCCAGAGTCCACGCATGCCCTCGTTCTGAAAGATGTGTTTATACGCCTGCATGGTGCCATTGTAGCGACGGGCCACACCGGCCAGGTTCGTCTGGGCTTGGAATCGAACCTTGACCACATCAGTGGGTTGTGCAAAGGACACTGCCATGGCCCCTGTGGTGCAGCCAGCCAGGATACGTATCAACACATTGGCGTCTGGAGATGGACAGAAAGACATAACCAGGGGTGAAATAGGACTTAGTACATTTACTCAATTACTTAGAGACTTCTGAGGCACTTGTGAACATAATCAGACCTGCAGCTTGTAGTTATTGTTATTGGGTAAATATCAATCTTTTCTCAATAAAATGTAAAATGTAAAATGATTGGTTGAAAAAATGTTTAACAGCAATTTCCAAAGCCCACTTCGACTCTTCTTGTATTCAAAGCCGAAACACAATCAGTTTACCATGAGAGAGAGCAGTACAGAAAATACAATAAAATATTTATGAAGCTGGAATGAGAGGCACCTTTCTTAACAAATATATCAAAACCAAAGTAATCTTCTGTGGACAGTTTGGTGTTAAATGTATTAATTCAAAACAAATCTATGTAATGAATACATGTATAGTTGCAATTCTAAAACACTTAGAGTGCAAATTGAAACCTTAATACTAGAAGTCTTAACACTAAATAAAAACATCATCAACAGCTGTTGCACATCTGTCTTTGCAGGATAAAGAATCAGTTTACTATTGCATTGGCATTTTAGGGATTGATTTTTCTCTTTTTCTTTAATCACATGAAAAGAAAGATTAGGGATAAGGGGATGTGATAGTTTACAAAAAATCTATGAGACATAGTTGAACTCTTGACTCTAGGTGAAAGTAGTGGAGCTGATTTTCATTCGGGAAAACTCTGATCTGTGCTCGTGCTCGCTTTATTTATCTACAGTTGTGCCATTATAAAAAACCCTCCATGCTCTTGAAGCGGACCACTTACTGTCTTGTCCCCCAGTGTAGAAGTTTTTGACATTGTCATAGAGGCCGATTCTGATGGAGGCAAAGCACAATTGCCTCTGCAGCCCGGCTATCAGCCCGTTATACAGTGAGCGGGGCCCTTCTGTTCTGATCATCGTGCTGATCGTCCCAAACACCCCTCTGTAGCGGATTCCTCCCACCGGCGTCTTCTCTCCCTGAATCTGGAGTCACAGACAGTACTCAAGGCTCAAACTAGCTTTACAGAACACAGTTGGAAAATGTATTGTTGCAGCTGCAGAAGTGTGAATGAATAGAGTTGATTTAAATGTTAGGAAAAAGGTGGAAGAGAAGCTGCTTAGACAATAGTCTCCAACATCAGAGTCTAATATAACAATATAATAGCACAAGCATTACTGTAAATGTGAGTTTATGGATATGAAAAAAGATTTCCTTCTGTCTTGTCAGTCTTTCTGAACACATACCTGTAGTCTGACTTTGGCTGTGTCTAGAGGAAATGTGACAAGATCAGCTATGCAGGCTGCAGCTCCAGCACTTGCCATCTTCACCCCCAAGGGAGGGGGAACATCTGACGGTTTAAGTCCCACCATGGTGCCTAAAACTGGGATTACAGGTATGCAAAAGTACATGCACACGCACATACACAGACATTAGTACAATTTTATCAAACCGGCAAAACATTAACCTCAGATGCTGTCCCTGTCATTCATCTTTTAAACTGCAAGGTAAGTGAAAGATAATGTCTTTTATGAGGCAACAATTAAACATACTTACATGATTTTGTCTAGAGTTAAAAGTCCCTGTTGATCCTTAGATATTTGTTACAAGGTACAATTTGATTGGCCGGATTATAATCCATAAAGGACCCCTCTTCAGAGAAAGGAAAGATGCATCTTTTGCCGGGTCTTTATATATCTTCTGGCTGGCTTTTTTTTTTTTCTTTTTTTTTTATGACATCCACAGAGAGGCGTTACTGTGTGTCACATACGCACGGGTAAAATCAAAGTCCACGGACTGTCAGAAAGTCAATGTTCAATGAAGCTGAAGCAGGCTCTTTTCAGAAAAACAACTATTTGACTTCTGGGTTCTGTCAGTATAACATCATTTTTTGCATCTAAAATTGAGTATATAAATAAATGTCTTTAAATGCCATAACAATTTCTAATTTATATTTTCTTCTCTTTCATATGTGTTCATCACTATTTCCATGTTCCCTTTATTAATATGAAGTCAGTGCTTACTTCAATAGATCAGGTGCCTACACCTCACAGCTGTCATAAACAGTACTATCAGACTGCACACTTGTCTCTCAGCCAATGAGATCAGCTGTGTGAACAGAGAAGGTCACACCAGTCTGCCCTTTCACTTTTGTTATTGCTTGTTTCTTTAATATTATACAACGTATCATATGGTGGTTTTTATGCTTTATGAATGGCAGACAATTTTCTAACAATTGACTTGTTGGTATAACAAAAGCATTATGAGGGCTATGACTTGAACTAGTGACTAAGGTTCACTGTAGCAGATAAGAGCTTTGCATCACACTGTCTTTGGCCTCCCAGCACTTTGGCAGCTGCGGGGCCTGTTTCACAATTCTTTATCCGAAGTCTGACCTGCACATCTTCTCAAACAGGACAGACACTATGGGAAGAACAGATTTTGGGAAGAATAAAAAATGAAGACTCTATACTTTATTAACATGATACTTGGCTGCCAGTTTATGGAGTTCAAGAAGATAGACTTTATGTTCAGTTTTTGTTTTAACTGAAAGGAGACTGTAAGGTCTATTTGAGGCTGTAGGTTATTGTCTGTTGAGTTGTATTGTGTCATGCTGATAATAAGATAACTTTATTTAAATAGCACCTTTAAAAACAGATATTCAAAAAGTGCTTTGACAGACAAAGCAAAGGAAAGGAGGTCAGGACAATAACACAATAAACATCAACAGTCATGCCAAACAGAGAGAAGTCTATAAAAATAATATACATGAAAATAACAGGAATAAATAATGGCATAAAGCATTACAATTCATGAAAATTAAATACAAGAGAAGAGTCAAAAAGCTCATGACAATGATGTGAAAATA